GTCTGCACTTGTCCACAGCCGTCTTGACAAGTTGTCGCCCGCCGTCAAGAGGCCTGCCGGGGTTGAGGAGGGGGTGCGCCATCACTCCACTTTGAGAGCTCACTGCGACATTGCCCTTGGTTTCGATATCTTATGCCATCCCTCAAGTCTGACCAAGGACAATCGCCAAGATGGAAAAACGACACGACAAGCTGTGACTGTTGGGAAGACGATTGAGTGGCGGGCGCTGCTGAAACCTTGAAAACCGACCAGCTAGAGCCAAAACCACAGAAAACCCTCCGGGCCCAAGACGCGGCCCACACAGGGCTGCCCCCGGATCGTGGCAATGCTGGGTCTGGGTTCCTCGTAGCGTCTCTGCGAGTCTGCCGGTGCGTGTGATGGTGAGGATGGAGGGGAAAAAGGGCAGGTTGAGGCTCGGATTGGCTGAAGAGCCGTAATCAGCCGGCTGTGTCGAGTCTTGTGTGAGAGTGAGCTGTGCGAGCTGTGGATGAGTTGTGCAGCCGTACAGAAATAATGTCGACCTTCTGGCATGTTGCCGTCTCCTCTTCTTCCTCCTCTGTTGATCAAGCTCGCTCGCTCTCCGTGAAGCAAGTCAGTTATCCCATCTCTGGTTCCAGCCGTCAATTCGACCCCTAGCTAAGACTGGAGACGGGCAGAACCAGCTGAGAGGCAGGAGACAAGAGACATAAGAAAAGTGAGTCTTGATCGAGGCCTTGCTTTGTGCGCTGCTTGTGGTTTTGTGGTGGTCCCTTTGTGCGAGGCGAACAGCTCAGCTCTGCTCACAACTGGTGACAAGGTCCAAAGAGAGGCTGACGAGAAGGCGGAGGCCGCCCCTCCTTCCGACTGTGCGTCTGTTTTCGCAGCAGCAGCAGCAGTGGAAGCTGCTCCGCTCACGCTCCTTCTCTGTTGGCTGGTCCGATTGCTCTTCTCGCCTTCCTGTTCGTTTTGTCCCCACCTTGAGAGGAAAGCCCCGGCCCATCTTCCCCTCGGCTATCAGCCAATGGTAGACTATCAAATACCCCACACGTCTACATACTTGGCCTAGGCCGCGACAGCCTCGCCGAGCCTTGGGCCCCCCAATTCCAGCCTGCGCCAGCCTTATTCCCTCTTCTTCCTCTTCTTCTTCTCTCTCTGTTTGTCCCTTGAGACGGCGAATTTCTGCTTCTCTGCGGCCTAGCCCAGCTCCTTTTCTGTTCTCCTCCATTGGCCCCCTTCCCGGCCTTCTCCTTCTGTCCTGTTGTCCCCTTGCCCTTCTTCGTGCCGTATCGTCCGATTCGATTCTCCGCGTCGTAAAGTAGCATCGACTTCTGTTTTCGCTTCGTCGACGTCTACCAATTACACCGCTTTCTCCATTCTCACCAACCGACTTGATAGGAGACGAATCTTTTCAACCCCCGCCATCTCCCTGTTGCTAGGCCACCCTTCGACTCGGTCCCAGCTCCCGACTTTGACCTCAGATCAGATCAATGATCACCGACGACTTCACCTGCTGACGATAGCCTCCACCTCGATTCAATTCGCAGCCTTGTCCTCTCTGTCGATGGAACCCTCGAGTAAAAAGCGAAAGCTGGCCCCCAAGGTCAATGCCACGCCTCCCAGCAAGCCTCAGCCTTCCCAGTATTCCCACGAATCGGTCAGCTCTTGATCCTCCTAGCTCTGCATCTACTTCTTGCTAATAGGACCTGGATATCAGCCTCAACAACACTATCCAGTGCAGGATGCCCCTGCTCCTGCCCCTCTCTCGGAGCGCCATGACTTTGAGTCCTTCGCCCGTCATCTTCAAGATGCGGCCATGCTTATCCAGAGGCAGACCGAGCGCCACCCTTATACCGACGTCTCCGTCTTGTTACTAAGGTGGGAAGAAGATGAGTCAGTTGACGAGGACTTGGCCGCCCTCGAGCAGGTCTTCCAGAAGCAGTACAAGTTTCGCACTGAGCGATGGCATATTCCCACAGTGCCCAACCCCAGCATTAAGCTTGGGGTTCAGATGGCGAGCTTCCTCGAGCACGCCCGAGCCAACCATCTTCTCATCATCTACTATGCTGGCCACGGCTACGTGGGCACCGATGGCCAGCTCTACTGGGCTTGGTGAGTTGGCAATTCTCTCAGATGTGCTTTGCCTCCTGCCTCTGACAGCCTCTCGATAGCAATGCTCGGGAAGATGCCGCAAAGCTCAAGTGGGATGGCGTCCGCTGCTTATTTGAGGATGCCCAGTCGGATATCCTCTTGCTGCTTGATACCTGCTCTGTCCCAGACCCTCGAATGGCTGGTAGCCATGGTGTTAAACAAGCCATTGCAGCTTGCCCCTCAGATCGTAGTCCCTCTGACGGCTCGGAGCGTTCCTTCACCTCCAATCTAGTTGAGGCTCTGAACAAGCTTAACACTGGCCGCCCTTTCACGGCGCAGAGGCTACACGAGGAAGTGTTGTCATTGAAGCAACAGCAATCTAGCCAAGCTCCACGAATAGCCAACGGCAGCACGGCCAATTCTCCATCTTCTCAAAACCCCGTTTTCATCCCGCTTACTCCTGGGAAGGGCCAAAGTCTCAGCCTCGCGCCGATGACCTCCAGGCCACGCACTGGCTCACAGAATGGCCTTGACACAGATGGCCAGGGTAATCGAGATCGTGAAGAGCAACTGATTGACCCAGAGTCTGTCGTCGACCTTCGATTCGAGGAGCACCGAGTCCTTGTCTGTACCACATTCGTTGGCGATGCAAGCCCAGACATGTCGTTCTTCTCCCAGTGGCTGCACAACACACCACCTCTTGGCGACAAGATTGCAGTTGAAGGCATGTTTTTGGGCCCGCCCACCATGCTCCTCATTTCTATGCCGCACTCTATTTGGAACGTGGTGCAGCATGATAAGGTGTGCTGTTTCTTGGGGTACATCAGTTCCCACAACATGATTCATCTGTACCATAGACTGGTTGGCTCTTCTGGCATCAAGCCGTCTGCTAAGGAAGTTGAGGATGGTCGCATTCTTCTCGAAGCGAGGGACCATGCGGTCGGCACGCCCGCGCGTATCCGCCGTGACGACGGGCATGAGCACGCTTATCACTCCTCGGCCACGAGAGATCCGCCAAGCTCTGTTGAACGCAAGGAATATAGATCGCAAGCAAGCCCTACATCGGCGACCTATGCCAATTCGTCAGGACCACGACCCAAGGCCAAGGATGACGTTGAGGACTCGGCGGAGATGCAAGAGGCCGCAGAGCAGCTGAAGGCTTTGAGCCATGTTCGACACCGGAGCGATGAGACGCCCCAGCATGCACCACGTCCTCGAACAATTCTCCCCGACGGAATGCCTGAAATCAGAGCTGAAAACGATGGCGATGAGGCTGCTGGTGATGATCCCCTGTCACTTCGAAGCACGAACCCGACAGCAAAGGCGCCACGTCGTTCACTGCCCAAGCAAGATACACGTTGCAACCATTGCAGCCATGCGCCGTTCAAGGACTCATCTTCGCTGAGAAAGCACATTGCCGCGGCTCATACCAGGCCATTCCCATGCGCATTCTCGTTTGCAGGCTGTACAAGCACATTTGGCTCAAAGAACGAATGGAAGCGGCACATTGCTTCGCAGCATCTGTGCTTGCAATACTACCGCTGCTCTTCGTGTCCGCAGAGCGCCGCCGATGGCAAAGGAAACGAGTTCAACCGAAAAGACTTGTTCACACAGCACTTGCGGCGTATGCACGCGCCTTTCCAAATCAAGCGGGCTATTGCAAAGGGCGACAGCAAAATCCAGACGGAATGGGATACTCACGTCAAAGATATGCAGCAGAGTTGTCTTGTCCAGCGCCGTCACCCGCCTCAGCGCTCAGCTTGCCCAAAGCAAGGCTGTCAAAGCGTCTTTGAAGGGCCCTCATCTTGGGACGAATGGACGGAGCATGTGGGACGGCACATGGAGAAGGGCGAGGGGGGTAGGCTTGGTGTTGACAGCCTTCTGGCTCAGTGGGCCTTGGACGAGGGCATCATCGAGCGCAAGGCTGACGGCGAGTATCGCTTATCTGCCAGCAATGGGATGGGAGGACCTCCAAGTAGCAGCGGACCACCCCCTCCAGCCTTGGAGCAGAAGGACTCGGCGTCCATGTCGACACACGAGACGTCGCAGATCGAGGACACGATTGCCGTGGAGACGAAGCCTCCAGAGGACAGGATGGAGGTTGACACGCCTGAGTAAAAGGATTGAGGAGGACAGGAGTTGAGCATTCTTTCCCGGTTACGACACGTGTGCAATGCACGGCAACGACGAAACGAAGTACATGACACGACATTTCTATACAATTTTTGTGACGGTCGCTACCTTGCTCGGTCACTCGTTTAGCAAAGATGAGTCTCTCGTGAGATGCGGTTACGGAGTATCATGAGGCGTTGGATTTTTCAAAATGCGTGGAGCAAGAGATAGCATGTGAGAAACGAAAAAGTCAAGAGGAAAAGTAAAATTAGCATAGAAACGCATCTTTTTGGACTGTTACTGAGTATCATTTTCATTGCCTGTATGTTGGTGACGGCCATTGATGGTGTTGATCGGGGCTCGTGTGGAGCCGGCAGAATGATAATGCGCGAGTTAGAGTGGCCGATCGATGGCATGGAAGTTGTGTCCATTTGAGGACGTACCAAAGTCTGCTAGAAACGCCAGGCTAACCCAAAGAAAGACACCGGAAGCTCCATCTCGCAACCAACACACCAAGACCATTCTACAAACGTTCAAGACCCAAGTTCCCGGGTGGACAAGATATGAGCTTTCCAACACCCCAAGGCCCAAACCCCCACGATCCATCTCTATCTTCGCCGTCATCGCCCGCTCCAGCGCCGTCGCCCTCTACACCCTCGGCGCGTCACTACCAACAGCAGCAACAACATCAGCAACAGTACCAGCAGCAGTACCAGCAGGTTCCAGTCAATCAGTACCCCCCGCAGCCCCAGCAGCATCAGATTTTCGGACATCACCAGCAACAACAGCAACAGCAGCAGCAGCAGCAGCATATCGCCATGATGAACGGTATGAATGGCACGAATATGGCGGCAGGAATGCCTGTGCCAACACCCGCGGGTCACCAGGCTGAGCTGAACTACATCTATGGCATGGTTGAGGAGCTCAGCCGCCAGCTGGCAGAGAACCGCCGGGTGACAGAAGACATTGTCAGCGGGCTGGGAAGAGTGAGGAACAGGGCCAGGACCCACGGTGTGAACAACCAACAGGTCATTGAGGGCGCCTCGGACGACATCAATGGTACGTGTGGCCGCAAACCCCTCACCCGAGATTCTTTTACCCGGAATTCTGCTAATGGCATTGTACAGGCCAAGAACAGAATATCGATGCCCTCATTTCTCTCCTAACCGAGTCCCTCGAAAAGGCCAAGTTTAGCCGCGACGCCAACGCGAAGCTTCTCTCACAGTACGCCAGCGCCATGGCCAACCTCTTGCGACAATTCCACGAGTACAAGACAAAGCACGTAAGCGACGTCGCTTCCTGGCACCGCTCCTACCGCAAACAACTTTCCGATGCGCGTGATGAGAACGCCCGTCTGCGCGAGCAGATCTGGCAGATGCAGGCTCATGCGGGGCGCGCCAACGAGAGCCTGCGCGAGTTCCGGTGCAAATACGACGAGGACGAGGCGCGCTGGAACAGACTTGTGGATGAGAAGGCAGTCAGGCAAGAACTGCGATTCTGGAAGCGCATGGCTATGCCGGAACTGGAAGATGACGACCCGTACTGGAGTGACGACGACGATATCATCGACCCGGCCGAGAAGGACCGTCTGCGTGAACTGGACCTTAAGGCGGCACAGGAACAGCTGGACAGTCAAGCCGAAGACAGCGATGGCCAAGGTCCTCCACCGCAGCTGCCATTGCCGGGGATGGGGATCGGTATGAGCATGATGGGAGGTATTGCGATGCAGCGCGAGGACTCGGCGGCTGGACACGGTGTGCCGGTGCTTCCTCCTAGGCCGCTGAGCGCAGCGTCGAGTACGGGGTCCACTGGACAGTGAAGTGAGGCATGATGAAAATGGGAATGTTTTGATTTAGCGATACCCAGGACTGGATGGAAATGTACAATAGTGGTGGATAGGATCCAATGTTGATATGAAGACCACGGGCTGTGCCTGGAATCTCATGCGGCTTATTAGTAACGTGAAACTGTTTAAGACTTGTTTGGCGGGCGGTAGTCGAGACAAACACGACGGCTGCCGTTGAGGTAGCTTTACTTGAGCAAACACTGTCTTTCAGCTTGTCTTCACTAAGTAGCTGTGAAACAACAAGGGCGATGCGTAACTCTCACAGACACAAAATACCTCTTGATCCTAGAACCGGGTCCCGTGATATACACTGGCCCTTATAGACATACCTAGGTGTTGGGTCGTCCATGGATGTGTTGTCGTGGACTTGGGAGTTTAGGTAGGCCAGCTAGTCACACGGCAGATAGGTGAAGACGAAGGATGAAAAAGGAATCAAATATGCCGTGATCTGTTCGGCCTAGAATGACTGACACGCCCTTTGTAGTTTACACTAATCATACATGAATCTCGCCAAGAGATGTGCCGTTCATCCGTCACCAACATTACCTCGCTCGCCTTGATATTTTCTTGCCAAACTCATCATCCAAACTCCATCGTTACCTCATCGTTCAATATCCGCTCTGCTCCTTTCGACTATCTCCCTCTCCATCACCACCACCCTCTCTGGCTGCCTTTTCCCCAGCCTCCTGGATACCCTGCTCGTCACCTCTCAGCTTGGCAAAGTAGGCCTTGATGTCTTCGGCACCGATGGTCTCGCCGCTGTCGGCAAACTGCTGGAAGAAGGGCTTGAGCTTCTCCTTGAGGTGGTTGTACGCCATGACGCCTTCGATGGCGCGGACGCGATCCACGTTGCGTAGGGCGCTCTCTCCACGTTCGAGGAGACTACCGCTGCCGTGGGAGCCGCCTCCGTTACCACCGTTTTGGGAACCGCCATCGGACAGGGGCGGCTCGTAGACTTCCTCTTCCTCTAGGAGCTGGGGGTGAGGGTTGAGGAGAGGGAAGCAGGAAGAGCAGCGGCAGAAGGCCTCACGGAAGCCTTCCTTGAGGAAGAGTGAGAATTGGCCTTCCGGGGCTGGGGGAAAGTTCTTGAGCTTGCAGGGGAGAGTGCCGTTTGTGGAGGATGTCTCTTCCTCGGGGGCAGCCGGCTCTTCAACTGGCTTTTCAGCTGGTTGTTCAACTGGTTTCTCAGCTTGATCTTCGGTTTGGGCCTCGCTCTTTACGCGCTTGGCTTCTGTACCATCCTCCGCATCGTCATCTGCCTTGCGCTTGCGCGAAGGAGCTTCGCTTGTATCGGCTGTCTCGGCTGTAGGGGTCTTGGTACCGTTGCTTGCTGTCTCTTCGGTTTTGGGAGCAGACTCAGCCTGGTTGAGGAACACGGCGGGGAGAAAGCCTGAAGTTCCTGCGTAGCGCTTGATCCAGGGGTGTGCATCAACACACTTGTAGCACAAGAAGGCTTCAAAGGCATCCTCTTCGGGGAAACCTGTAGGCATCGGGACCTCGTCGTCGTCGTCCTCTTCGACAGCGGTCTCCTGGGCACCATTCTGGGCAGCATCTGGTTGGTCCTCATTGCCCTCTGAGATGGTGGTCAACTTGGCACCCTCTTCACCCTCCTTGGCCGGCTTCTTCTCAGGCTTCTCCATCTTCTCGAACCAGTTGGGCCCCATACCAACGAGACAGCCTGGATGATACCAATCCTCGCCACAACCGCCAGTCTCGTGCGTTCCCAGGCCCAGGCACTGAAACATGGTACCCTTCTGCTGGAAAGGATCATAGTCGCACTCACAGCCGCAGAAACGGTTACGGAAGTTGTGATTGTACTTGTTATTCACATCAGGTTCTTCCGAATGAACTCCGCGCGTGTTGGTCGTCTCGTTCAAACGGAGCGTGCATGGGCTTGTGGATGGGATGCGCTTGGTTCCACAGTCGCAGGTAAAGTTTCGCTTCTGGAAGATCTCGACGAGGGTGTGCTCGCCGTGGCACTGGATGGAGCATGCGTAGCAGACGCCGGCGGGAGTCCAGTCATCACCGGGCTTTGCGGGAGCGGGATTGCATGTCAAGCAGGCGAATACAGCTTGTCGTAGAGGACCGAGGATCTTGGTGCAGGATTCGATGCTCTAAGGTCGCGTGAGTGGGAGGTATCGAGGGAGGGAATTCGCGGGTAAGCGCATACATATGGCAGAGCCTCGCGGGCATCAGCTTCGAGAGCTTCCTGGGTACGGATGAATCTGGGAAGTGTCAATGTACAATTCGCCACGAGTATTGTTGACTCAAAAGAAGGACATCATGCGCTTACTCGGCTGCAGTTTGAGAGTCTTCCGACTTGGCAGAGAAGCTGTCCTTGCGCGATGGAGCAGCTTGTTGAGGGGCGTCTTGCGCGGGCGCGGAAGCTGAGGGAGGATCTGTCGACATGGCGATGGTCGTATTAGGGAAGGTGATGCGTGTTGTAAGAAGATTGAGATGAAAATTTGATGAAGAAGATGACAAAAATAGAAGGGAACGATGGAAATGAATGGCAGATTTCCCCAGAACCGATGCGATGGGTGATGGAAGTACAGGGAGGAGGAGGGTGAAGCAGAGTTGGAGGCGATGAAGCTTGGGGAGGCGAAGTAATAATGGCGACACTTTCTGCGCTAGATAAGACCCAAACTGATATCATATTTTTGTCCGTAATTTCCACCCTCCAAAAGCACTTTACGCGTATACAACCCAATGCGCTTAGCAGCCACAATCAATTAACGCGTCAAGTCGCGTCGTGATACGCGAAATTGCTCCCTTGTCGCTGGCCTCCACTTGGTTGTCCCCTCGTCCCGTTTCCCTTCCAACGCATCTTCTGGCAAATTCAGCCCCTCACTCTTTGACATTCTCAACACCAATTCTCTGCGTGCTCAACTGTGTGTCTGTATACCATTTCGCAACACTCATTGGCGCTACGTTCTTGATTGGGGCTAGCAAATATGAGGTCAGTATTTCTCTTGAGGATGCCCCTTTCTGTGAAGGGACAACATCTAACACCCCAATAGTTCCCCGCTACACCCTTCTGCCGGCCCTTCGCGCTCGAGTCGTAAGCGATCGCGAACTGGAGGCGATGATACCGCCTCCCCTATGACTCTGGGGTCGAGCCCCATGCCCTCGTCTCCCCCTGCCGAGTTCAACATGGTCCATGGTGTCGAGGACGATGACGATATCGAGGAAGAAGCCCAGATCCAGGACGATATTGACGACTTGGACGAGATGGCTGAAGATGACGTCGATCTGTTCCGCGAAGGCTTCGAAGCCGATTACCGAGGTAGGGAGGACGACATGTATGAGGGCATTGGCCTAGACGACGAGGGTGAATATGGCGACATGGACCTGGCTGCTCGACGACAACTCGAGGCCCAACTCAACCGACGAGATCGTGAAGTCGCACGAAGACAAAGGATTCCGGCTGCCTTCCTGCCCGGCGATGAGGACGATGGCGATATCGATTTGACTGCCCAGCCTCGGCGTCGCCGTCACCACTACGATGAAGATCCTGACGACATGATGGACACGGATATCATGGCTGAGGAATTGTCACTGGAGGCCCTTGGTGATGTCAAGGCTTCGACCTTGACCGAGTGGGTGTCACAACCTTCAGTTCAGCGAACCATCAAGCGCGAGTTCAAGGCCTTCCTCACATCTTACACCGACACATCTGGTTCTTCTGTCTACGGTAACCGTATCCGAACACTCGGTGAGATCAACGCCGAGTCCCTCGAGGTTTCATACGAGCATCTTTCCGAGAGCAAGGCCATCTTGGCCTACTTCCTTGCCAACGCACCTGCAGAGATGCTCAAGCTGTTTGACGAAGTCGCCATGGATGTGGTTCTCCTCCATTACCCCGACTACGAGCGCATTCATTCCGAGATTCACGTGCGAATCTTTGATCTGCCTGTTCACTACACCTTGCGACAGCTTCGTCAATCGCATCTGAACTGTCTGGTGCGGGTGAGTGGTGTCGTTACTCGACGATCGGGTGTCTTCCCTCAGCTCAAGTATGTCAAGTTTGACTGCACAAAGTGCGGTGTCACACTGGGACCCTTCCAGCAGGAGTCCAACGTCGAGGTCAAGATCAGCTACTGCCAGAGCTGCCAGTCAAGGGGCCCCTTTACTCTCAACTCGGAAAAGACTGTCTACCGTAACTACCAGAAGCTCACTCTCCAGGAGTCTCCCGGTACAGTGCCTGCTGGTCGACTGCCTCGACAGCGTGAGGTTATCCTGCTGTGGGATCTCATCGACAAGGCAAAGCCTGGTGAGGAGATTGAAGTCACTGGAATTTACCGCAACAACTACGATGCTCAACTCAACAACCGAAACGGCTTCCCTGTGTTTGCCACTATCCTCGAGGCCAACAATGCCGTCAAGTCGCATGACCAGCTGGCTGGTTTCCGCATGACTGAAGAGGACGAGCATCAGATCCGCAAACTGTCCCGAGATCCCAACATCGTGGACAAGGTCATCAACTCGATCGCTCCTAGCATTTACGGACACACTGACATAAAGACGGCTGTCGCTCTGTCGCTTTTCGGTGGTGTCGCAAAGACAACAAAAGGTGCTCATCATCTGCGAGGCGATATCAATGTTCTTCTCCTGGGTGATCCTGGTACAGCCAAGTCGCAGATCCTCAAGTACGCCGAGAAGACAGCTCACCGAGCTGTGTTTGCCACCGGTCAGGGTGCCAGTGCTGTCGGTTTGACAGCCAGTGTCCGCCGTGATCCTCTGACCAGCGAATGGACTCTGGAAGGTGGTGCTCTCGTGTTGGCTGATCGAGGAACATGCCTTATCGACGAGTTCGACAAGATGAACGACCAGGATCGTACATCTATTCACGAAGCTATGGAACAACAGACCATTTCCATCTCCAAGGCTGGTATCGTGACTACTCTTCAGGCTCGTTGCGGTGTGATTGCAGCTGCCAACCCTATCGGTGGTCGATACAACTCTACAGCTCCCTTCTCCTCCAACGTCGAGTTGACAGAGCCCATCTTGTCGCGTTTCGATATCCTGTGTGTAGTGCGCGACACTGTTGAGCCGGCTGAGGATGAGCGTCTTGCGCGCTTCATTGTGGGATCACACAGCCGAAGCCATCCTCTGAGCCAGCAAGAACAAGATTCGATGGAGGTTGAGCATGATACCCAAGCAGATACCCAGGCGACTACCGGTAATCGTAAGGCGGAGGGCGAGATTCCCCAGGAGCTGCTGAGGAAGTACATCCTCTACGCCCGAGAGCACTGTTCGCCGAAGCTGTACCATATCGACGAGGACAAGATTGCACGACTGTTTGCCGACATGCGACGAGAGTCTCTTGCTACTGGCGCCTATCCCATTACGGTATGTGCTCAAATTCTTATCCATACTATTTAACAGCATACTAACAAGACCAGGTGCGTCATCTGGAAGCCATCATCCGAATTAGCGAAGCATTCTGCCGCATGCGATTGTCAGAATACTGCTCGACGCAGGATATTGACCGTGCTATTGCGGTTACGGTGGACAGTTTCGTCGGCAGCCAAAAGCTCAGCTGCAAGAAGGCTCTCGCACGAGCGTTTGCCAAGTATACACTGGCACGGCCGGGTAGCCAGAAGAGGACCGGAGCAAACAGCCAAGCGCGACGACAGACCGCAGTTGTAGGTTAAGTCGTGGGCTGTGAATGCCACTATTGGGATACTCGAGGCCGTGATGACAGTAATGGTTGGGGGGGGGGTTCTGTATTTGCGGAGTGAAGGCAGTGGGCATGACATGGGAATGGGCATGGTGATGATGGAATGGATATGACGGAATTGTATCATGAGTTGATTATATGTTACTAGATGTAGATTTAATGTTTGCAAGCTGGTCGTTGCACTTCATCAACCACATCTGTAAGTGATACTGAGTGCCATGACGAGATGGTCAGTTGGGCATCCATGGGCCGCATTCCACCAGAGTTACAGCACAATAAGAGCGCTTGATTTACAGGTGGTTTGTTGTCCATCGATGCCATCGATGAGGTGCGCATCATGTCTCCGCACCAGACGCCCACTCATGTCGCTTGGCCTCCAACGAGGACTTGCTAGGCCAGTGATGACGGCACTTGTTCCACTCCCACAGCAACATGATACAGTCAAGGTATGTGCTGCGAATGTACACCACCTACACCTCACCATGTCCAAGGGTAACGACAGAGAGGAGACCTGGGGTGCGCGGCCCGAACATAAGGCTCTCGGTTGCTTCAACGAACCAAGGCGTTGAAGATTGTCTATTCTTCAAGCCTCCTTGACTTGCGGTTTTGTAAAATACCCCCACTGCTTTAGCAGTTGCCCCACGCCAAAGCACCAGCAGATGTGATGTCGAAAGCCCCCCTCGGAGCGCATCCGGTTCATGTGCCCGAACAGCGGCAGAAACTCAGGGACACCTGGCGGAACCAATCTTCTTATAACATGGGATGGGAGCTGACCTTTGTCATAGAGATCAACGATTAGACGACACCCCTGGCAGATGCGGCCACGCTCCCGGCGGCCCTCCTTGTTCAGGTAGGGCATGCGTATGGATGCCATCCCGCCATACTCGTCTTCCGGGAGGTCTAGATTGAGGGGTAGCATGGATAGATGACGTCCTATCGGCGCTAGCGGAGCTTCGTGAAATCCTCTGAGCATCCAGTACTCCTTCGTCACGGCCGAGTTCCTCTCTATTCCCCGGGGCGGAGCCCTGGGGATTAGCTTGGCCAAGTTTTGGGGACCGTGGATTTGGAGGGCAAGCTTCTTGACCTGCTTGGCACACACGAGGCGAACCATGCGCTTCCGTGAGATGAAATTGTTGACGTTGTAGGTGTTGGGTATGCTATATAGGATGGGTATGCTCTTGAGCTGCTTGTCCGTCAGGTCGAAGCACTTCTTTGCCGTGTTGAGCGTCATCATGTGGAGGCCTCTGTTCTTGTGCATACACTCGAAGCAGACCCTCTCACACGTCGGTAGGAAAAGAAACCCGCCGAAATCGAAGCAGGAGACGCAGTGGGCCGAGCGAAGCGTCTGGCGGAGGAGAGCGGCTGAGTGGTACCGTAGTAAACGAGTCCTGCCGAGGGCGATGAGGGTATCTCCTGCGTGCCGACGCATCTCTGCGTATGCGGGCATCGACTCGACGGTTAGCTTTGCCCGTAGGCAGACTTGTGTGAAGCGGAGGAGAGATTGGAAGTCGAGGTATTCGAAGATGCAGAGGAGGATCTCTAGGGGTAGGGTGTCTAGCAGGCCGATGGGTTCCATGGGAGACTTTGGCGGGATATGCTTCATTCTTTTGAGTTTGAGGCCTCGGATGACTAGGGCCGTGTTGTGTTTATCGTCCCCTTCACCACGCCATGTGGCTTTTTTGACGATTTCTTCGGTGATGGGCATTGAGTATCCCATGGGTCCTGGTCCTCCCATAGGTATTGATCCTCCTATGGGCATTTGTCCTCCCACAGGTATTGGACCTCCCATAAGTGCCTGTACTCCCGGGGGTATTGATACTCCCATGGGTTCTGGCGGTAAATAAGGCGGTCTTGATGGATCCATTGCGAGGTTGGTGATGCAGTGACGTTGGATCAATTGAGGCGTCGCCGGAATCGAGTGGCATTGGCTTATCACGTGATTGCGTCTGACAAGGTCACACTCGCATCGAACGACACGAGTTCTCAAAAGAGAATTTTCTATCGGGGGAGTATGAGATCAAGTCAGTACTATTCACTTTCATTTCACTGGGACAGAGTCATGTGGGTTCGTAGGATATCTAGGCTTCAATCGAACATGACTAGTCACATACCCTACTGTCGAACGCCCAGGTGCTGGAGTGATTGTCTAACGCAGTACCATTCACAAACGGCAAATTCATTAGTTTAGCCGCGTTTTATACAGGTTTTGTATGAAGGCTTATTAAGAGAGAGAGTGTGTTAATATTGTTATCTCTTATTTGAACAACTGACTATTGATTAGAGATACCTGTGATCGAGGTTGCCCTCAACACCCAAACGCATTCTTCCAACAACACAAATACTCTTCAACCCAAACACGTGTCTGCCAGCTGAGCTTCCTGGCGGCCAATTACGGCTCGCTCTGTGCCTCTGTTTGCTGCCTGGCATGTTTGTCGGCGTCCAATGTTTGCTGGATCCTCTGGCTCGGCAGCCACCGATCGGCGGGGACAAACCACCAAGACAGCAAGGCGAGGATAGTTGTGCCGCCCATAATGACGGGGGCATAGTTGAGAGTCTCTCCAGACACGGGGAAGATGTATGGGGAGTAGAGTACCGCAACCACCCAGCCGTTCCAAAAGACTGCGATAACTTGGAACGGCTTGCTCAGTCGACCCAGACTCCACGCCGGCTTAGGGAAGTTCTTGGGTGTGAGGAAGAGTCGTGCTAGACAAATCAGTCCGTAAGCAGCAGCCGAGGGGACACCTGCAGCGGAGACAAGGGAGGTGAAAGCAACGGATGAGGGGAGGATAGTGCAAGTGATGACGGCGGCAACGCCCCAGACGACGAGGACGGCGTTACGGGGCTGGCCTGCGACAACTCGGGAGGTCCAGCTGGACCAGGGGAGGACTCCATCGCGGGCGACAGCAAAGACTAGTCGAGAGGCGGCAAGGACAGCAATTGCAGTGTTCTGTCTCAGTTAGTCTCGCTTTTAGATAAGGCTGGGTGGAGAGAAACTTACAAACCACAGTGCCATAACGCAAACAATGTTCATCACAATGTGTCCACCTTCTCCAAGAATTGCAGCGTAGACAGACACGAAAGGTTGGGCGCCGCCGAATGAGAAGAGAGTCTCTGCGTCAGGCTGTTGACAACGTTTAGCTAGTATCCTTGATGGTGTTGTTCAGGCCAGATAGCAACTCACAACACAGAAGAGGAAAAGGATAACGACGGCAAATCCTCCCAAACCACTGACAACGGTACTCCAGAAGATACCCCTGGCTGCTGCAACAGAGGCATTCTTGGTCTCCTCAGCCACGTGGCCCGAGGCATCGAAGCCGATCAAGATTCCAGCAGTGGCAAGATAAGAAAGACACCAGTTCCAAGCAGGAGGAGCTCCAGTGCCGTTGTAGGTCGTCATGAAGGCATCATGAGTAGACCGGAATCCAATCGTCTTGCTGGTGGTGATGGGCAGCCAGATGAGATTCAGAACAAAGTCTAGAACGACTACGCTGCTGGAGAGTGTAAAGATCCACTTGAAGTATCGAGCTTATGGGGGTTAGACTGGGTCTTGATGGGGAGTAGATGTGTGAAGCTTACGAGGAAGCAGGTTCCAGATGGCTGCGAGAGCGAGCATCACCTCAGTGCAGATCCATTGCACGGCACGGAACTTGACACTGGTAGAGTCGGATGGGAAGTCTGTGTTGAAAACCACGATTTCCTAACTCACCTGTTAGCGAAAAGACCAAACAAGGTGAAATTAGGCAGGGTGATACCCACCGAGAGCATGTAGTTAACTGCAGCTTGTGTGTTGCCTGGATGACTGGTTAGCTCGAGCTCAAATCATCGACATGGGTGATATTCACGTACTTGCACAGAACGTAGTCCAGGCAGTGGTACTCCACCATGCAACAACAAAGCCAAAGAGTCGACCAAATCGAGGACCGCCAGCCTCAGCTGCCCAAAGGTAGATGGACCCAGCCAGAGGAAGAGATGAGCAGATCTCTGCAATAACAGCAGCCGTGATGAAAGTAAAGACACATGTTACGATATAACTCGTCCTGATGGATTGTCAGTCAGGTTAAATGGCTCACAGGTTGGGGTTACTGACCAGTATGCGAGGTTACCGCCGGCTGCAATTCCTGTTGAAAAGGTGACGCGAACACCACCAATGAAGTAGAGAGCAGCTATGTATGGTCAGTGGATAGTCTAGAGATGGAGTATAAGATCTCACCAAAGGTAGTCGCAAAGTTGTGAAACTGGTTGAAACTTCTATGCAGCACCTAACAGGGTCAGCATCCCGACCCAACCTCATGCAGCACGAGAATGAATTACAGGCTTGTATCCTAGGTTTTTCTTTTTGGTATTGCGTCAGCTTGGGGGGCCTCATGCAGGCAAGGGGGCGATGAAAAAAACGAACCAGCACGGTGTTGTCAGAGGCGTTGGCATCGAGGTCTGATGACGTCCCCACATCCTCGCCGGACACAATGTCCGGATTATCTTCCTGCAAGGTTTTGGTCATTGTTTGACACCAAAAGATGTTTGATCGATGTTGATGCTGTTGTTGTTGAGTTGGGATGTAACGTCGTTTTGAGTTTGAAAGGGCGAAAAGCAGGAGCATCAAAATTCCGGACCTCCCTATCAATCCATATCAGGACTTTATAAAAAATACGACAAATTACCCGATCTTATTAGATTCGCCGAACCGGGAAGTCGCCATCGACGCCTGGTAACACAACACCTCTAAACCCGGCACAGTCGGCATCGTTCCGCACTCTTTGGGACGTGAAACATATGGGTCTTGATCACCGTGCTCAGCCCCCGATTCGTTGCATCTGTACATGTGCCAAGCACGTCATAGGCGAGGTGATGGTGCCATGGAATAAGACCTCGCTTGACCGAGAAATTGGGAATTTTGGCCGTTTTTGAGACCCATAAAGGTCCAGAATAACGGCTGAAGATCCTAGATTGAATTAGATTCAAGACGTTAGTGGATGAACTAGCTGTCAAAACGTCTCGGGGTCTGATCCTGTCATTGTCGAAGCGGGACCGTGAAATGTGACTCCATCTTTGACATAAGATCAGATCCAGGGTCCCTGTCTTTCTTCTCTTGCAGTCACAGAAAACAATTTCGGCCAAGATGGCTCTTCTTAGTGTTCCGATATTGGCGGGAGCCCTTCTTGCGGCTGTCATTGTTCACGTATGACCTAATGCCAAACCCGGGCTAAGCTAAGCTGATTGCGCGTAGAACTTGCTTCGAGTATTCACTTCGCCTCTATCAAAGATCCCAAATGCGGGCTTTGGTGCAGCTTACTCCAGGCTTGCTTGGGCCTTTCCGCGGGAGTACAAGGGAACGGTGACAATTGACCTACCCAAACTTCACGAAAAGCTGGGTAAGTCTCCTTGGTCAAATCAGCACTCTTTGGAGAGCCAAGCTGACCGAAAAAGGACCGCTTGTTCGAATTGGACCCAATGAAGTGTCTTTCTACTCTCGCGAAACGTACGAGACGGTGCACAAGGTTGGCAGCAAGTTCAGAAAGGATCCAAGAGTGTATGGCGAATTCGTTCAAGGTGGCCACCCTGCTCTCTTCTCCATAACGCAAGTCCACCTCCTTTGGTACATGATATGGTCAGCTCACACCCGATAGAGACCCGGAACAGCATGCAAAGCGAAGAAGGATCATGGGCCAGCTGTTCAGTCGAACAAAGGTGCCGCAGCTGGAGAAGCTCATCTCGTCTCACGTCGACCGCTTCGTTCAGTTGATCCGAGAAAATGGCCCTAATGTTGACTTGGCGGTGGCATCCAGAGCACTTGAGGCGGACATCATGTGTGAGTGGAATGCCGGCTTCTTAGTTCAACAAATGACTTACTCTCGAGTTAGCTACCTTCTCCTTTGGCAAGTCAATTGAGGCCGTGGATTCTTGGGCAAGTGGAAAAGAACTGGAAATGGTCGCAAAAAACGACCTGAAGGCCACCTGGATGCCTGTTGTGAGTTTCTTGCCGCTTTTCAAGATTTCTGGTGCTGATTCTGGCGGTTTCTTAGCTTACCAACTTTCCCCTTCTGTGCGAACTGTTGGAGCAACTTGAGGGTGCGATATTCCGTGTTACTGGTGTCAGGAGTGCGTACACGAAAGGACTCACGGAATTCCAGCAGGTAAGATGATCAAGGAAGAACCAACACGCATCAAGTCATGCTAACCGAGTGAACTAACAGTGGTGCCGGGATTCATGGAAGTTGGCTATTTCAGAAGACTCTGAACTTGACGAACCTGCCACCAAGTCTCCCAATTTGATCAAGTCCCTCTGCAACTCTGGCCTACACGCTGAAACCGCGCTCTCCGAAGCCAAAGAGAACCTGGGACCAGGGACAGATACGACGTCTGCAACACTTGCTCACATTTTGTGGGCTCTTGCTCAAAATCCAGACTACCAGAATGCTTTATACGAGGACTTGGCGGCTGTCTCCTTTTATACTGATATGACGACTTTGGAAAGTGTGCCTCGTCTTCAGGCCTGCGTGAAAGAGGGTATCCGGTGGGCTGGTGCTGCTGCGGCAATGCTTCCGAGAATCGTGCCGCCTGGAGGCATCGAACTGCATGGGAAGTTTATCCCTGAAGGGGTCCGTGAACAAGTAAAACCCACTGGTTTCGAAGCTGACTTTGTGTGCAGACGGTCCTCACTTCATCTCCTATCTGGTATCAACACGACAAGACGGCGTTTCCGAATCCAAAGGTGTATAACCCCTATAGATGGTTGACAGATGATTGCAAAGGGATGAGCGAGGACAAACTTCGTGATCGGTTCTATATCCCGTTCTCGAGAGGTGCCAATATTTGCATGGGAGCACAGTGAGTCAACGCACCAACCGGCCATAATATTTCACACGATTGACCATGACTAGTTTCGCATACCTCGAGTTGTACATCTCTGTATCTCAAGTCATCCGCAACTTTCATCTTGAGATTTGCAACATCACTCAGCGTTCGACACTGGAGAAGAATGAAGAAACCAATTGGACCCCAGTGCCTTTACCGAAGCGGCGGGAATGGGTTGCTGCTGTTCCAATGGAGAAGCTCGAGGTAAAGATGTGTCCAAGGCTGTGAATCGCCCATGATAAGAGTAGATATGTGGCGCATTGGTTTGGCCGTTTGACACATAGAGAGGGGAAAAGGGGCCGAAAGCTACTCCAGAGCCCATGGCAGCGTGATGGAAAGAGATGCATACCCTCTCGGTGCAAATGCCCCGCTCTCTAGGTACTTAGGAAAACAGAAAAGATCCCGGAGAATACGGTCGACTCGTTAGGAGTCCCAGGGTCCGAAAGGTGTAGTTCGAGTGCCCTGCGTGAAATCTGGAGGGATTTATACGGGTCGAATATGGTTGGGGGGATGACACATCATGACATAGCTTTTCAAATAAAAGTTTCTTCATGAGCCTGTATTCTTAAAATAACAATCCCATATCTGCAGACTAAACACCCTTGTGAGGAACCAATTGCTGTCTCAATCACTATCATCTCCATCTCCATCAGTATCGTCGAACAAACCGTCGTAATCACTCCATTCGCTAAAAGACCGAAACTCACTCTCCGTCAGCTCAAATTGACGAAGAAACCTAGCTCTTGTTTCAGAACCGAGCTGTGGGACACACTCATCGAGGAAGGCCGTGATGGCCTCAACTCTTGGTTCATAACTGTCATGGCTTTGATCCTCATCGCAACGTCGGGGATCGCAAACGCTGTCCAATTTGAGAGGGAGATGGCGGTGGTATTTGTTGCTTGTCTCGAAAGGTAAGAAGTACTCGAGTGCGATCCACCACGCGATCCAGAAAGATTCAAAACGATCCGCATGGATTTGATAGAGGCAGAGGTATAACTCAAGGTAAGAATCCAAGGCTTGTTTTAGATGATGGTCTTCTTCTTGGAGTTCCTCCAGTTCGCTGCTGCTGTCATCACCACCATAACAACCGCTGTAGGAATGGCCATAAACGCGGTAGCAATCACACGCCCAATGAGAGCATGTATGGGCCATGCCTAGGCGATCAAAAACTTCCAACCTGCAAATATCCGCAAATGTGTCTGGGCTAAGGGATAACCCTAAGTAGGAGTACCTGGCTATGTTGAAAAGCCAGCGCTGGCGGTATCTTGGTACGAGCCAGCCCCAAGAATTTTTCCTAAGAACTATGCCAACTGGGGTACAACCTGACGTACTGCACCAACAGTAGCAGCCATCGCGTTGCTCAACTCCATTGGGATGAAGTTGCGAGAATACGCTCAGGGGCCCGAAAAGTTTCGAGTCTTTCGTAATCCAGACATTAGACGAAATCGAGAGTGTGAATTCTGTGGCTTGGTCAAGAAAGTCGGTATACTCCATTGATCTAGGCAATTGGGACCCTTTTCTCAAACACCATTGAGCGAACCGGATGCAATCCCAGGTATAACAACGTAAAACTGTGTTCATAAGAGGCGAATGGCCCTTTCCGTCTTGTTCATCGATGCTGCAAAACCCGACATCGTATAGCCTCTTGGCCAAAGTGTCTGTCATCCAACTGTGGTGGTAGAGAGTGGTCGTAGACCCAGGCCATAGGGACTTGGGCACTTGCACCTTGCGAGCTTCAAGTTGTCTGAATATCTCGAGAGCGTTGTAGTCAAGCAAAAGTTGGGTCTGCTGTTGTTTGTTATATCCCAGGCTGTTCAAGCACGTCTCGGGGAGCTGCTTCGTTGCCAGCTGCAGCAGTTCCAGTCTTCTTTCTACCACTTTTTGAACCAACAGGCGGATCACATCTGAAGAGGCTGGAACCAAGGTAGCAAAGAATATTGCATCTGCCTTGAGCTCTCGGCCATGTGTAAAACTGCCGCGACCAAGATCAAACAAGGAGCAGCCATTATTAACCAGCAGCTCGATGCTTGGAAGGTGATCCTGCCAGATACCTGTCAAGATGGCGTCGTCTGGATTTGCCCCTGCTTCCAGTAGGATTTGCAGGCCAGTAGTCCAACCAACAGCAAGGCTCAGAAGAGAAGGTGTTTTTGTATGCAAGTCGATCTTGTTCTGCATCAAGAGGAGCCTTAGCTCTACCTCGGATCTTTTTATCACAGCAACATGTGCGGGATATTGATCGTGATCTTCAACCTATTAGTGTCTTATAATTTTGTGATAAACAAAGGGCGGATGAATTTTACCTTCTAGGAGATGATGGTTCTTGATCAACATCCCTACAAGATGTGGTTCGGTCGCCCTGTATTGCAAGGCCTGCGATGTGTCGCATCCGTGCTTGATAAGAATCTCGTCCAGTTTGTTATCCTGAACATCAGCCTTCTTCTTCACAGCCATAGATGCGTGGCAGAGAGGATTAACAGGTGACCCTGTGTATGGTCTAGCTTTTGTTGGCATCATTGTTAAGAAGAAGGCGGCTTCTGGCCTGCAGGGTTGACTTACATGCATGCGTTGGGGTCAGCATTGCCCGCCACAAGGAGCTTAACAATAGCATCCAAAACACGATAGAGGGCCCCATGTAAACTAACACATTGCGCCGCAACGGAAACAAAATCCTGTCACTGTCTTAGTACGAAGTCAGAAAAACGACATATTTGCTGACGTACGTGGAGAAGAGTTCTGCCATTAGCCATGCGGTCGCCTGGAGATGCCTTGCCAGATTGAAACGCTTCACGAAGTTGCTGAAATAGAGTGTCAAAGGTTGCTTTGGCTTCCTCCTGCACACACGATCTGGCTGAAATAGAATCTAGATATGATGGCCACTGGTAATCTGTTATACAGACTCCAGGTGGCCTCAACGCGTCGCACCGCTCCTCCAGAGATTCCAGGGCCAGGCAAGCTTTGTCTATAGCAATGAAAGCAGGAGATTTCTTTCCGTCGACCATGTTGTGAGGGGATAGTCTTCCAACCATGGATAGGGTCCATCCACCAAGCTGGATTCCAACCATCATCTGGATTCTTGGGCTGAGGGCACGCACGCCGCATGACCACGAAGTCGAGCTATCTCGTTGAGGACAATTCGGCGAGTGGGCGGTCTCCTGGGAGCAGAAGAGTTGGAGTCCATAGATGCGTAAGTAAGTACTGGAGCCGGAAGGCCGACAAGTGCAAAACGCGCCGTTGCGTCTGGGTCGGCGCCGACGGCGCCCAAGAGGGCCGTCGAGAGAAGGAACAGGGTCCTCGTGAGAGCCGAGCCGCTTCATAATAGCTCTGTTTGAGTCTATAACGGCAGATGACTAAATCCTATGTCAGATCTTGGGGGAGCCGATGGGTAAGTCTCAAAGGGAGTTAACATGCCTGCTGAGCGAGGAGGCCTATCCTCGTTTCGACAGCATTTTGAGAGATTGTGATTTGCGAACTGCGCATATTAGTGCATGAATCTCGCACGTAGGCTTGTTCTCACAGTTGATGTTTGACCCCGCGCAGCCCTGCGTTACTTTGATGCTGATACCACAACTGAAGCGTGGATTTCAACGACTCGATTCGACGGCACCTCTCTGCGATGTCCTTTTCCTTGGTTGCACCTACAACAGCGGACCAATTGCGTCTCACTGTGCTAGAGTTGTTGGAGGAAAGTCCCTCGAGGAGTAGCGCGAGCTCCTCAGATTCCTTTCTCGCATCGTGAAGGATCGATGTGATTCGATGGGTGACATGTAGGGAGTGGACTTGGGAGTTGATGGGCCCGTCAAAGTCGCTGCTGATCATCCAGAGTAGATCAATGAAGAGTTCCGTGTTCTTCTTGAGGGTCTCGATCTCGCCGGGGATGCTCTTGAGTTTGCCATACAGGCTGGACGACGCGACCAAGACTCGGGTGCTGAGATCAAGTAGCTGGGCGGCGCCCGCTACGATCCCGAGCACCTCGGCCATGGCTTCGGTGTGAGTATCCAACGATGAATGGATTATGCGGTTATGGGGTTTGGGGTATTTGAAGAGTTTGCCAATGTCAGGTTTGGGGTCTGAGAAGAGAGAAGAGGGAAGGAAACAGGGCGGGGAAGACAGCTGAGACGGGAGGAGTAACGGTCACGCTCTCGGGTTGTGCCTTGTTGTGTAATTTGGCCCCTAATTCGTCGCCGAGTCGCAGTACCAGTTGGCAGACGCAGTTATGCATGCCCAAGCCACCGCCAAGGTGGTCACCGCATTCGAGAAGGTGCGCGGGAATCAGGCTGCGAATCGTGGAATTGAACTGCTTGGGTAGCGAAAAGCGAGGCTGACTGGGCTGAAATTACTGATGTGCCGAGAGCCTGCTGGAAACCTGCCATTTCTTCTGTAATCATTTCTTATTTACATGCGTACATTCAATCTGTCTACTCTCCAATGACCTGGCGAGAGGTCAAGGGCACTAGGGCAGTCAAGGTTACTGCTTGAGCCCATAGGGCACATTCAAGAGTGCCATGAGGTTATGTACTTATTGCACGATTGCTCGGTAGAGGCTGTTAATACTTTACTGGGGTTGATTGGGTGTCGAGCTCTGAGCTGCATAAGGCAGAAATCTCGTGGCGGCTGTGAGAAGGCGCAGCAAGTTTCCTACCAACCACGGAGGGAACCAAGGCAGACAGAGCGACAACTGATGGGATATTAAAGGACAACAACAAAATAAACGGCTTCAATCACTCAATGAAGGCATCGCTGCGTGAACCGTCAACACAATGTCGACCCCTACACCAAAAGACAATCCCATCGAAGCTCTTCCCACCCAAATCTTCCACCCATTCCCAAGACTTCCGCTTGAACTTCGCCAACAAATCTGGAAGCTCGCGCTACCACTGACCTCGGAGAAACCAGGAGTATGCATCCTCTCAGGATACCTGGAATTCCAAGCGGATATAAGCAATCTCACAGTCAACGAGTACCACTCGTTACTCAAGGCCGTCAGCCAAGAAGCGCGCCAAACAGCTCTTGAAAACCTCCCTGTGAAACGCGACTACAATCCCCTCATCGACATTCTATACATCGGCCGCGACTGCTTCTTCGCTTTCTGTTCCAGGGCCACGATTGATGACTGGAGCCGTGTCAGGCACATTGCACTTTCTCTCCCGGTTGCAGAGATGGGTCTCAACATGCCCTTTGCCCTGTTCGGGCTGCCCGGTTTGGAGGAACTGTCGGTTGTTTATCCCAAGTCAACCGGAACAGTCGACTTGTTTGACGACGTGCATCTTCCCGAGACAGGTCCACGAAAACTCAGGAAGTTGACGGAGACCGAAATGTCGAGTTTGGTGATCAAGGCGGATTTCATATATGAGACTCATGGCGGAGATGTTCCTATTGTTTGGGAAAAGGATGTCAGGACGCATCTGGACTTTGTCATGGAAGAGTTGTCGCGGGAGACGTCTTCTGGGCGGCCGCCGTGTTGGGATGAGGAGAGTAAGAGGTTGGAGTTGGAGATGCATGCGTTGTGTTTTGATGTAGATGGTGGGCGATAGAGGTCGTTTAATTTATGAATGATTGCTTCTAAATAATAAGCCTCCCTCGTTTTGCAACGGACGATCAAGAAGTGACGGTACATGATTGCTCCCATTCCGTGATCAGGGGGTCGATGTAATGATGCCATTCATGATCCAGCTTGCCCCTGAGGATATAGAGTAGTTGAAGCGGGTACGTCGCAATGTACCATGCTGACCTCAATTTCTTCAGAAGAAGGCAATAGTGTCCGAGAAAGATCAACGCTATTGGATTCTCTTCTGCGAGGAGTCGGGTATACTCGATTGAGACTGTCGTCGGCCAGTTGCGAACGGCAGTCCAAGTGTCGAAGCCATCGCCCAACGCTTCCGCAGACGCGAACGCATGCCCTAGCTTGCATGCCGCATCGGTGAGGATCTCGTACTCGGTAGGAGACCACATGTCATGTCCGTCCTGAATGACGGACATCAACCTTTCCTTGGTTTCGGACGCCTTCTGTTGGCTCATCTCTGTGTTGGGTTCTCCCCATATTTGGACGAGCTTCCCAAGTGGACCAGTTGCGATGATATGTCGGTAGCCATTCACCAGGGAGCATCCGTTCCGTATGAAGTATAGCCAGCTACATAGGCCATCTGGATCTGAGCTGCAAGATCGGGTGAGGAGGAGAGTGTTTTCCTGCCTCTCCGCCCCAAAAGCGTAGACAACGAGCAGATGCGAGAAGGCGGCAATCGCTTCACAGTTTGTCTTAGCCACATGGCCAATCGCTTCTCGAAATAGTGCCATGGCTCTGTTCTGGTGTTTGTGTGCTAGTGTGAGGTAAACTTGATCCAATGGATACTTTGTTGCGAGGTGGAGTGATGAGCAAGCCAGTACCGCATGCATCAGGAATGGGTTGTGCTCGGCGATGCTAGGGACAGCGAGACGCCAGATTTGCTCGTGCTGACTTGGGAGGGTCTTGCATGTTACTGTCTGAAAGTGTTGAAGCAAGTTTTGATCTGAAGTCCCTAGTGTTGCTGCTGAACGTCTTGCTATCTGAGAGCATTCATGTTTGCCCTATGAACTAAATGTTATGCAAGGTGCAAGTGGTGATGAATCAGAGTACTTACTCTTGTTTTAGTAATGTCTATACTTGTAAAGTAGTGCAACAGGTTTCCACGGAAGAATGTTTGCAACGGCGCTGGAGTCCAGTCGATATCTGCATAGCCATGGCGTCCATGTTCCGAGAGCCAATGCTTCTGCATCCGCTTGTTGGAAATGCACAAATATTCGCAGTCAGTGTCAAGGCATCTTAGCCCATCAAAAACTGGCAAGTAGGGAATCGGAAAGTCGATGACTCGAGCCTTGACGACATCCCCAGGCTCGGATAGGTTGTACTTGGCCGTATAAGTGGTATACGGGTGCCGGGCAGATCTGTAGATCTTGTGTATTTCTTTAAGATGCCGGTTGATGGCCCGGGGCTGGATAGCGTATTGACACTGTGTGCATACAAGAACTCGGTACTCGGGGTGATAGTCAAGCAGTTTCTGAGGAGACGGCGGCATGACGAGGATGGAAACAAAGATGATGAGTTCCCACGGAACGGCACCTGAGGTTCTTATGTACCAAGTGGCTTATTAATAAACTCTACCGCTTGTGTAAGTTGGGGGAGCCTTGATTGGAGTAAGACCAGGGGCGTCAGCTTTAAATCGACGGTGCCGTTCCGTGAGACCCGCTTGTCCTCTTGGTATCACGAGATCGCTTATCATCGACACGCATGGTTTCTACGCCAGTTGCACAGAGCATGAGGGGTCTTTTCAGAGAAAGTGCACAAATGGAGCTGACAAATTGTTAAAGAAGATCGGAAGTTGGGAGTGTGAAAAGTCTCCGAGGAGCCAAGCCATCGCTACATAAGAGCGGCTGCGCACATGGGGCATAGAGTATCAAGGATGACCTACACCAATAAAACATCCAAACTTAGTAACTCTTTCTTTTTGCCATCTTGACTTAAATACAACAGTCATGCGTGTTGAGTTTGGATCTTGGGTGTTTGGCCTTCTCAACGCCACCTCCTTCTCCTCTCCTCCCAAATCTGCCAAGATCAACGCCCGACAACTCGTCGAACTACCCAATGTCTGGATTGAGAACGTTGCCTTGCGCTCCAACGGAAATCTCCTTCTCACCACCTTTGGGAACGGTGACATATACTCTGTGGATCCCTCGATCCCAGAGGCCCGTGTTGTTGCCAAAGTCAAAGATATTGATGCCCTCACCGGAATCGCAGAGGTTGACAGAGACCTGTTTGTTGTCTCTGGTGGCATCTACGATGGAGGAACTTACTTTGAGGAGGGATCTATGAAGATCTTGCTTGTCGATTTTCGAGAATGCGGAGAGTCCCACCATGGTAGTCCATTGGTTCACCCAATTCTCGAAGGCAAAGATGCTGGCGTCATCAATGGCATGACTGCTTTGCCGGACCACCAACATATTGTTCTCGGCGCAGCTTCTTGGACGGGCGAAATTTGGCGAATCAACACAAAGACTCGTACTTCTAAAGTCATCTTGCGAGACGACCTGCTGGCTGCTATCCCAACAGGGCCTTATCCTCTTGGTGTCAATGGTCTCAAGATTTCGCGAGGTTATCTCTACTTTACCAACACTGGTCGTCAGCTTTTGGGGCGATTTAAAATCGATGAATTTGGAAACAAGATCGGGGACGTCGAAGTTATATGGCAAGCACCAGCTGACACGAAAATTGCCCCTGATGACTTTTCGTTGGATCAGGATGGGAACGCGCTTGTTGGCTGCTTCCCCGACTTGTTGATCAAGATCACTCCGGACGGTGAACAGACTGTTCTTGTTAATGGGACACTTGCCGGAGGTACCAGCACCGTATTTAGCAAAGATGGTAAAAGTCTTTTTGTCGTTACGACTGGCAAGGGCGTGAAAGGCGTGACGGGTGGTCAACTTGTTCAAGTCGACCTTTGAAGGCAGACAGAGGGGGGATTTGTTCAACAGTATCTGCTCTGCCTAAAATGGGTGGCACAGCATAAACTGCAGTTGGTAAAAGAGGGGACTGGGTGGCAATTTCAACGTATTCTGTCACAGTTCGAGAAACTCTGTATTTAGCTGTGGGGTAGTGGGATACATATTGCCACGGTAATTAAGACGAGATACGAGATGTGCTCAGGGTGGTTCTATTGTGCAGTTGGTGTGAAATGAAATAACGCTAAATTACAACCAGATGAATGATGCATGCTCCTTAATATCATCAATGGCACCATCTCTAATCAACCTATCTCTGCCTCGCCAGGCTTTCGTCATACCCAGCTTTTCCCAGTCGCTTTGTGCAGGTAATCCTATCCATCCCACCCTCCTCTCTCTGTATGTTTTCGTTGAACCAAGCCTTGACCTCTTCATCATCACAAGAATCCAAGACACCGTCGTCCAGCATCAGGTCCCCGTAGAGGTAAGTGATGGCCCACATCTCTAGGTTTGATGTCCACTGACTCATCTCAGGCTCTTTGACTATTGTATGAACGAAGCTCTTTAGGAGCAGCGGTGCGTCCGGGTAGAAAATGTTATCTTTCTGGGTGAATCTATCCGTGGTTGATGTGGTCGAGATGTGGGCGTATGAGGACGGTAACAGGACAACCCTCGCCTTGGCCTGCTTGTCGGTCGGGAATCGGAATTTCAATGAGTGATTATCAAGATTGCTGTACTCCTGGGCCATCAGGCGATGAATTTGCTTCATCTTTGGGTCTGTGTACAGTGTTGGATCGTCGCGGGAGCCATAAGACCAAGGAGCCTCCCGAAAGCCATTTTTCTTCAACTTCTGAGTCGCAGCGTCCAGATCCTCATCGTCAACAACTAGCATGTAATTCTAGAGTAGTTTCTTTTAGCAGGAAGACGTAGAAAAAAGATTTTGTGCCTACCTCGCACACCAGGCCAACTTTGAGAGAGGCCACGGCCAGGTCTCCCCAGGCTATTGCCTTGAGAGGCCTTAGAGCTACAGCTATAAGGTCCATAGGTCCATCTAAACCTAATGGCTGGTTTTGCGGGAGAAAACCTAGGAAGAGGCGAGATCTTGAGCTTGTGATGACTTGGGTGTAAGCGTTCTTGACCGCCCAACTTGGTCACTTATGGCGGTGGGGGTTAATGTGGCACAAGGAACCTCGAAGTCGGTAGTTGATTAATTTTTATCCGCAAGACATCAACAGGCAGCAGCCGTCTACCAAGTGAGCTCTTCCAAAGTCCATTGGATGTACCGTTGGGGGCGGAAACTCTACTCACAAAGAACTCCACTCACAAAGACGTGTAACCGCCATCATCAAGAAGCAACGCAATGCTCCAGCCCAGGTATTAGTTCAAGGAGTTTAGAGAGAAACAAGATATGGAGATTATAGCGCGTTCCCATTTCCATTACCAAGGCAATTCAATTCTATACCGCAGGCATAGTTGTTTGCATCATGGCGATGAATGCCAGTGCTACATAGAATGCATGCTTGCTCCCATCCTTATCTCTTCAGTGGTGACAGATGCTTTTTGCACTTCTGCCTGATCTGGCAACACCGGTCAGGTTCATCCGTTTCAAGCACCCGGCTCCAGACGACGAGGCTCTTGGGTACCATGCGAATCTGTAGGCGGAGGCCTGGGCGCTGGATTTTTTTCATTGTCTGCAATGATGACAAGAAGCCATCAGCCACAACAGCACAAGACACAGTTATCAATACATGACGGCATCAAAATCCAATACTGTGAGACACTGTTACCTGATGGCTTTGGCCTTTCTATGGCTGTAGCCATATAAAACTCATCTTCATGAGGGTGGCTTATATCATTGAGCTTTGCCGTCTCTGGTGAGCTCCCTCGAAAGACCCCATCCTCCTGCTGTACACTTGCGTGACCTGGTGGCTCAAAATTTGACCGTCCCTGCAGCCACTGACTCCATAGAGAAAGTAAGGGCCTCTTTTATTTGCTCATGCCCGTCGATGCCTAATAACAAGACCAACATCCTTGTTCAAGGCTCGTCAATGTTGGGGGCCATTCTGTTGCGAGGACCAACACTTGACGGATGATGGCCTGGAGAACAGGATGTTAAATGCTGAGTATTATGAGCATAATGTATAAAAAGCTCCTCGTGTCAATTCCCCTCATCTTTCTGCTATATACTTGTTTAGATGCCACTGTCCCTCAATGTCTCCATCCAGACATGCTTCTTTTCTTACTCCAGAAGAGCTTCTGCAGGCTATAGCCAAGCTCTCCCAATTTATCTCTCAATCAAATGCACGATTCAGTATTAGCGGTGGTGCAGCAAGTACTATCATCCGTATGCAGCTTGGCCTCCCGCAGCGCACGACCGAGGATATCGATCTCGTCATTCAGCCGAGCGGCAGCATCACCGCCGACAGCATTTCGACATGGCTCTTGGAAAACTTTCCAACCGAGTTTGTTGCAAAGACACAATATGGTGTCACTACTCCGGCCATTACCTTTAAAAGGCACGATAGATCTGTCAAGCATGTTAAGATTGAGATGTTTGACTATCACGCCTGGCCCAACAGGCCGCAGTACAATCTTGATGATCCAGACAACGATTGCACTGTAATCACCATCAACGGGGTAGAGGTACCCGTGTTCAGCGCCCGCTGGCTCCTTCGAGAGAAGATAAGAACCGCTTTTGAGCGCAAGGGCAGCAGAAAGGAACGAAGCGACCTCGACGACGTTTCCATTCTACTACAAGCTGTCGAAGCAAATAGTGTCGATCTCTCGGGCAGTGAACAAGCGGTTCAACACCTGATTGAGTGTCGACCGCGTGTGTCCGAGATACTGGGGCTAAAAGTCATCTGTCCGGTGGTTCTTGGAGATCCTTGGAACTGGAATGACTCGGCCGAGGTTTTTTGGGGGTTCAAGGGGGACAGGCTGAAGTATTTGGACGCTAATGTTAAAAGTCATAGCTTCAAATGGGACGATGCAAGCCAGGTTTGGTACTTTCCTGACCCTAATGGCAGGATGTGGTATTATGATCCGCAAGCAGGGGACTTGATACTATGGACGTGATTGCCTGTCTATACTTGGACCACGATTTTGGATGTTCTTGGCAACAACTAGTATTATATGCGTTTGCATACGTTTCTCATTCCTGAAACTTGTTGCTCTTGTTCGAATTAATAAAAAGGCTGGGGATAGCGAGAGCTTGTACTCGGGCCAAACATGGACAATTCTCGACTAAACTAGCTACCTGACATATTAAGATGGATCGTTCCTTCCTTCTATGTACCGACATGGTATCAATTCAAAGCTTAGTCAAAGATGCTGCGCCTGCCAAAGCTGCTCCCTATGTGGATAGTTGCTCCGCCGCGTGCCGTAATAGCCAATGCCTTGTTCTCAGTCCTGTCCATCACAAGAGCTCCTTGATTCAGCACACTCTCACTCCATTCATTCCCAACTCTGATCCTCTCCATCTCTTCAACGAGAGTTTTCCCGGGTTCGTTTCTTGTTGCAGTCGCCTCCAGCTTGCCCGTAATCGCCTCCGTCCTGTCGGCTATCGCCTGCATCTTGTTTGTAACCACTTCAGAAAGAACGCCATCGGTACCAGAACCTGCATTTTTGAGAGTCGAAAGGCTCATATCGTCATCAACCGCCTCCATCTCTAACCCTACAAATCTGCGACGCTGCATCTGCACGGGGTACAGGTTCTCGAGATTGCCGACGAGCCCAGCAATGTCTCCTATCAGTTGGTCCAAATACTTGTTGCTATACAATGCCTGGCTGGCCTTCTCCAGCAATTTGCCTCGCTTCTGCCGTTGATGAACGATATCCTCCATCCGGCTATGCAAGTTGCGGGCCACCGGGGTCAACTCTGAATGTGTCAAGCCGCGTGAATCCGCAGGAGGGCTGTATCGACTCGATAGCCTGTGCACCCCTTCGAAGCACAGCCTGGTTTCCTCTAGGACCCTACAGACCCGTTGCGCAGTAATGTCGTCAGAGTTGTCGGTTGCGAAACGAGGCTCCGTGTTGACGCCGACGGCCTCACCCCCCATCTAATGATGCGGGACCCGGTGATGGAGAGTTTCAGCTGGCATGGTTTAGAGCCGCGTTCAAAGAGACGACCCAGTTGGATGTATTCAAAGCGGTCGACGGTGTTGATAGTACTGCAACGCTTGGTGCGTTAGCTACAGCGCCAAATGTTTCGGCCATGATGATTCTGGAAAGGTGAGAGTGGACAGCCTGATGGGATGTGTTGGCCAAGAGTTTCAAGGTCCCACTCAACGAAGAGAGGAAGTCAAGAAAAGGCGGATGGGATTGGTTCGTTAAGCGCCGTGGCAGCCAACAAGAAACTCCCGTTGTTTGATCAGGCTGCGAGCTGAGCCGACCTCCAACGCCCTCCTTCGTTACCGTCCCCCGTTTTCCGTCGTCCTTCAACCACGTCCTCCAGCAACTCGCAGCCAAATATGGCATCGTTTCAACGCAAACGCTTAAACAGCTCATCCAACGGATGTACAGCCAACAAGATCAAGTCACTACGTGCTGATGGGAGCAGCAGAGTTCAGGTCGGAAACACCTACACTGAGGTTCACAACTACGAAGGACGACACGCCGACGACGAATGTCTTCGAGATCTACGAACGACCGACCCACGCATCGACAAGACACGCATCGAAAAAGGCAAAGGAGGGTTAATGCAGGGCTCGTACCGCTGGGTTCTCGAGGACTCCAAGTTCCAGCAATGGGCCCAGGAAACAGAGGGTTGTCTTCTTTGGGTCAAGGGCGACCCGGGAAAGGGCAAAACCATGCTCCTTTGTGGTCTCGTCGACGAGTTGACGAAATCTCAACATGCCCTATCCTACTTCTTCTGCCAAGCTACCGACTCCAGAATCAATAACGCAACATCGGTCCTGCGAGGCCTTATCTACCTCCTTGTGGATCAGGAGCCATCTCTGAAGCGACACATACGGACCAAATGGAATCATGGAGGCAAGTCTATTTTTGACCCTCCAAATGGATGGCATGTCCTATGCAATATGTTGAATGACATACTTCGTGACCATTCCGAACCAACTTGTCTTGTCATCGATGCACTTGACGAGTGCGAGGGCAGTTCTCTGTCTTCACTTCTCAACTTGATTGTCTCCACGGCATCCGAATTCCCTCATGTCAGGTGGCTTGTCTCCAGCCGCAACCTACCCAATATCGAGCGTGGATTGGGAGGTGCGAATCCGAGCTGGAGGCTTGACATCAGTCTCGAAGCCAACGCTGGGCCCGTGTCCAGAGCTGTTGCTGATTATATTGGCCATAAAGTCAGCAACCTTGCGAATTTGCATTCCGAGACAGAGTTGCGTAAGGAACTTCAGGAGACTATGCAAGACAAAGCCAATGGTACATTCCTTTGGGCAGCTCTCGTCTTTGACAAGCTCAAGGCTGAAGAGGAGGAGGAACTGGAGAACAACCGGGACATCTTGAAATCTCTCAACGAAGTGCCCCAGGGGCTGAGCAGCCTCTACGCCAGGATGTGGACACAAATCATGTCTCTTCCCGGTACGTCCAAAAATTTGGAATTGTGCAAGAGGATCTTAGCAACGATGTTTCTTGCATACCGACCACTCCGACTCCAGGAATTGGCTTTGCTTGCGGACCTCAGGGGCAACTTTGCCAAGCATGATACGCTTGTGAGACTTGTCAGGCGATGCGGATCTTTCCTGAGTATCCAACAAGGCACAGAGACGGTCCACTTTGTTCATCAATCAGCCAAAGACTTTCTCAGAGACAACAAGGATGTCCTTGATGGAATGTTTCCCTCTGGTATGGGAGACGGCCACCACCAACTGTTTTCTCGTTCAGTTAAGGTCATGGATGCTAAGCTACGTCAGAACATCTATGGCCTGCGCAATCCAGGAGTTTTGACCAGCGAAATCGAGATCCCAGTACCGGACCCTCTTGCTGCGATGCGATACTCATGTGTTCGCTGGCTTGACCATTTCTGCGAATTGGTTTCTTTGAAACAAATTGAGGACCAAGATGGTGGAAAAGAAGTCGCTACATTTCTGCAGAGAAAGTATCTCTACTGGCTCGAAGCCCTTGGTCTCTGTGGAAGTCTCACCGAAGGAATTCTTTCCATCAGAAAGCTTGAGGCTCTTGCCGTAAGTACATCAAATAAGCCATATCTGAATGATCTTTATCTAACTTTTCCAGACACGCAATCAGTGGGGTTCTCTAGCAACTCTGGTTCATGATGCTCATCGATTCGTCCTCACCAACAAACGGGGAATAGAAATAGCCCCATTGCAGGTTTACGTTTCAGCGCTCATCTTCTGTCCAACTTCCAGCTGGATCCGGGAGAAGTTCAAGGAATTGATACCAGAATGGATCAAGAAAGGACCGAAAATACAACCTGAATGGGATGCATGCCTGCTGACTCTTGAGGGTCATGCGGACGGAGTTCACCGCTTAGCGTTTTCTCCAGATAGCAGGATCATCGCGTCTGGTGACCGGGATGGGATAATCAAAATATGGGATGCCCACACGGGGGCATGCTTAAATACCATTTGGGGTGATAACGCGCAGATTGTCGAACTAGCCTTTTTATCTGCAGAATCCAGCACAATTCTCGCATCTGCAGAATACGAGTGGGGAAGATATGGCCGTTATTATTCAATCAAGATTTGGGATCCATTCAACGCAAGTACACCACTCAGGACATTTCCGATGCCCAACGAGATGTCAGACGTCATTACCTTTTTGCCAGGCAGAAAAACGGCAGTGTGGGTGGATGAGGAGGGCACCTTGATCAAGTTTGACCTTGACACGGGGAAACCGCTAGACGAAATCAAGCTTCCTTCCACGCCCATTGCAGTTTCACCGGACGGCCAGACCATCATCACACAGGTAGAGCATGACGGTTGTTGCCGAATTCGGGGTTGGAGCAATCCAGAAACAGCTCGTTTCACATTGGATGCTTTGTTTCCAGATAAGTACTATCGGGTGGCGATCTCCTCGGACAGCACAAAGCTGGTAGGATGTCGAGAAGAACCGAGGTATGGTCCTCTGCGCATCGAAGTTTGGGACTTGACCAAAGGGACCTGCATCACCTCGCTCAGCAATCCCAATATTTCCGACGAAGACGTCCTTGCTTTTTCGCCAGATGGAATGGTGGTAGCTTTTGTAGGTATGCAAGGCACGGTCAGCCTATGGCATACAATAACAGACACAGTGGAGGTGTTCAGCGGTCATCACACTGATATTTCCATACTAGCCATCTCCCCAGACGGGAGGCTACTCGCATCAGGATGCGAAGACAAGACAATCAAGATCTGGGACCCGACTGTCAGAGCTTCATTGAGCTCTGACCCAGATACAGGGTGGGGGCCGGGAGACTGGCTTCTGTCGCCGAATGGCTTGTGGGTTGCTTCCTTGACAAACAACGTCATTAGAATGTGGAGCTCACTGACGGGTGAATATGCTTTCGATCTACCTAAACCCCTACCGGAATGGGCCGACGAACTGGCAGACACTTTGAAATTCTCACCATGCGAGAGATGGCTGACTTTTGAGGGTGCTGATGGTATCACGATCTGGGACACCACAGCGTGGAAAAGTCAAGACCTAGTCAGGCCCCATGCTGCTATGTGGAAATTCTCACTGTCAAGTAGCAACCTGGCACTTCTATTAGACGAGAGTGAGACTGTCGAAATCTGGGACTTGCACACCTGCAAATTCAAGTCAACATTTTCGAGCTCTCTATGCGGGGATTATCATCTCGAACATATGTTGTTTTCCCCAAATGGGCTGTGGTTGGCGTTAGCCTCATGGCGAGGCCTCGAGATATGGGATTGGGATGCGAAGCAATGCATACAGGTGGTCAACGAAGCAACAGGTGAAATTTCATGGCATCCGAGTCATGATGGTTTACTTTGCACTCCTGATCGTACCTATTGTGTTCAAGGATCCGCGGGAAGCTACTCAATCGACGAGGTCCAAATTCAGGACGAGGAGGACAAACGCCCAGTTCAAATGACCAAAGACGACGAATGGGTCACAGTCCAAGGGCGACCGGTGCTTTGGATTCCTCCTCAGTACCGGCCTCGCTTCAAGCACCATGACTGGTATGGTCCGGTTGATGAAAGGGCGGTGGATTGTAACAAGTCGGGGATTGCTATGATGGACAACAGCAACCGTGTGACTTATGTTCAGTTCGACGTCCCCGAGATAGTTCTCAAGTTTTAGAAATCAGTGGCATGGACCAAGGTTTATTTTTAAGCTTTTACAGCTCTACGTGCCTTTCGAGGGAGTTGATAATCACAATCATTGGTTTGCAAACACTCGAGCTTCCAAGATGGATGGGCCATGAATGGGCAGGGTGAAACCCGCGAGACCACTACTTTTGATCTTCCCCAAGAATTGTCATGTCCACTTAACTATGCATGATTGAGCCAACTGCCCTGCTAAATTTCAGATCTATTCTATGTGATTATAACTTCAGTCCTCGGATGAACTAGCCAAGCTCTTCTGGCTTAGCCCCAAAGACATTTACCTTGGTGCTATGGGTGATTAACGATATTCTGGTTCAGTTCCCATCAGGGGTCGGGCTGCAACTATAATAAAGAACAGATTCTCGACACACCATAATATCATGGCCCGATGTTAACACAGTGGCCTTATGGGTGATTCACTAAACACGGAAGCCGTCAGTCCAACACAAACCTGACGCTCTTTTGCCAGTCATCCCTCGGCATCTTCAAAGAATTAATGTGCTCTTGCTCATTCTCATATCCCATGCCCACAGTGCACAAGATATCCAAGTTTTCTTCAATCCCTAGCTCTTCTCGAATAATATCAGGATAACCGGCCGGAGCAACAGACACCTGTGTTCCCAACCCTCTCTCCGTCAACAACAGGAGAAGCGTTTGGAGGTAGATTCCGACAGATAGAATATCAGACTTGTTCAGCTCCTTGTCGATGCAGACCACGGCAACAATCGGGGCATTGTAAAATTTGAAGTTGCTGATCAGAGTTTTCGTCATCGACTCGGTATCCTCGCGAGCAATGTTGTATCCGTTTGGCCCATAGACGTGGTGACCCAATTGGGACCGGTAGCCTTGGTACGACTCGGGGATCGCGGGGATCTGTAACTCGGTCTTGCTCTCAAAGGCTGAGACGAGAGAGGCCGACAGACGTTCAAGAGGAGGGCCAGATACAAGCGTAAGGCGCCACGGTTGGATGTTTGTCGATGAGGGTGCATGCTGGGCTATGCTGAGGCATTCCTCGATGATGGATAGTGGCACTTTTCGACCTGTGCAAAAGGCTCGGGTGCTGTGACGAACCAGAATGGTCTTTGCAACGGCGTCGTGGGCAGATTGCTCTGCTGTGCGATGGATAGTTTGGTTCTGAGCCATGGCGATGTTGGGACGTGAAGAAACAATGATGCTTAGTTGCAGGCTGACACGAAGAATTCTAGCTACTTTATATACAAATCATTATTTCGCCTCCATCCAGATGTTTTGAGCATGTATGTCGATTCACAATGTTGATTCATAATGTTGATTACACGGGGATAGGATTATTCGGCCGAACAAAGATCATCGGCCGATGGTTGTATTTTCGTTGGGATGCATACGTAATTCCACAAACACTTAAACATCTCGCTTAAGAAGATCTAAGCAGCATTACTCATTTTTTGTCAGCCAATGCTGAAGATGACAAATTGGAAATGGCCCTGATCATGGAGGCGATCCTTCGTGTGGGGCTGTTGGACCTCACGCACCTCTGTTGGGCAAGATCATTGATGTTGGGCTTGGCGTAAGAGTCTGAGAAGTAAGAAGTCAACCTGAGACTTGATCATTAATTGGGAGCAGATCCCTCAACGGAGTGAGAGTGCCACGCAGAGACATTGCATGCAGATTTCATATTTGATGGGCGGTTTTATAAACAACCAAGTCTCTTTTATTTACTCCTGATCACTCTATTTACAGCATTTATATACTCCCGCCAACTTTTACTACTCAGATCATCACTCTTTCGCCTTTTATCGTGTTACCCCCTGAGCAGCTTTGCTTTTCTGCATCAATCTCTCGCCATACTTCATAAAGAAGAATGGTATAGCCCCCATGACCAGTGAGAGAAACCCAAGGAGGCTCTGTGCCCAGTGAACACCAAGCCGATCATACATGGGACCAGCCGCGAGCGGAATGACGATGGCACCAAGGGATCTCATACATCCGGCTCCCGCGTGGGCCGATGCTGACGCCTCTCGAAACACGTCGGTGATGTAGTTCAGGATGCTCATGAATATCAGAAGGAATCCAGCGCCAGAGAAGAATCCTCCAATCGCTGGGACGTACGGTGAGATTGAGGGTTTGGATGTCCAACCAAACCAAAAGAGTGCGATGACAAGGCTGGGACATGTTAGACTCTGTTTCTATGAGTCTTTTCGCTTGACTTACAGAGGAGCGGCGAAACAGGCGATCGGTAGACGACGGTTTATTTCTCGTTGAGCCCACGGCTTGCCAGCTGCTTTGGACCGATCGTACCACGGTGTGTAGACCATGAATCCCAGGAAAGCTACCACCGTTCCAAGGGCGACTTAAAGAGGTTGTCAGTTAGATACCAGTGGTGCTTAGGCGAGCATGTTCTGGACTTACTAGGTAGATAGGTGAGACCAGCAATCTCGGTGCGAAGATGATATATGCCTAGTTAAAATGAAGAATCAGCCAGCAACTCCAAGGTTGGTGATCAAAAGGATGCTTTACCTTCAAATACTAGAGGATATGCCTGGAAGGCGATGTAAAATAGTGAATTCGCCAATGTCACATAAAGAGATGAGAGTGAAAGGATCGGCTCTGTAGCCATCATGACAACGGGACGCAAGAATATCTCTCGGGCGTCAAACGGGTGTAATTCTGTAATCTGGGCCTCTTCAACACCCTCATCTCCGTTCTTTCGGCGCTTGTGAATTTCCCTGTTGTTGAGAACCGGCGCAAAAGTCTCGGGCAGCGTCATTACCAGTGGGAGTGTCGGGACAGCAATTAAGGTGGCGGCCCAGAACGCCCATCTCCAAGATACTTGAGACGCGAAACCGGAGACGAAGGGTCCTAGAAGGGGGCCGATCCCGCTGATGGCTAGGTATAGGGACATGGCGGTACCACGCTCTGAAGGGTCGTCGAGCACATCGGCGTAAAGTCCTCCTATTACGGCCATTGGGGCGGCGGCATTTAGACCGCAGAGAAGGCGGAATATTAAGAGGGCTGTGTAATTGGGGGCTCCAGAACATGCGAGCATGAAAACAAGATAACCAAAGAATGTAGATATCATAACTGGCCGACGTCCGATGTATTCGCTCAAAGGTCCAAAGAAGAGGGGCCCGACAACGAAGCCGGCCAGATTGAGTGAGTTGAGTAGAGTCAGCTGCACCTGATCGTAAACCCTAAAGTGGCTTGATATAGCGTCGAGGGCACCTGAAGGCATCGAAGTTCCAAAACTGCCATTGAAGGCGCAGGCCAGGCCTGCTACGACAACATGTATTTTTCGCTTCTAGAATAGTTTTCATTAGCATCGCACTTTTGGCACGGACCGTGCGCTATCCATGACTTGCCGTTGAAAACTTGGCCGCATGAACCTTGGACTCGATAGGATCCACGACATCTATGGTGGCCCCTAGTCGTTTAGACGCAGATTCATGTCCAGGGCCACTAATAAGGGATATACCATTCATAGTTTCGTTTGTAAATCTTTTAAAAACGCTGCATGTGTTCTCATATGGAAGTATGCTGGGGTCAAGCCATTTCTACCTCTTATACTGACAACTCAACCTCGTGTAAGTAAACTCGGGAGGCTATCCCGATGAGGGCGCCACTTCGGCCATAACCGAAAGCCAAGTCCCGTTGCCGATACCCACTACTCAAACTTCCGTGCGATAGCTCAAGTCGACGTCTGATTGGTTTAACTTTCCGTCTCTCAAAGGTCCGTCTTCGACCTCATGACTGACCGCTGCAGTCTCCGTCGTCTTATTGTCTTGACTTCCATTCACTCCCGTCTTCGACATTCAAACTTCCGTTCAATCCGACAGAACAGCGTCCGCGTCTTCCGGACATGAAGCGCAAATCCGTTGGGACGGAATTTGAGACCGAGAATTCAATGTCCCCCGCCAATGGACGAAGAAGAGTAAGTAAGTGCAGCATCGATCGTCTTCTTATACCGCCGAGACCGGATCCCTGCCGGCCTGTCCCCCTCAGTCGTCCTTGCGGCTAAGCTAACTGTGTTTGCGCCAGACGGGAGGGCTTGCACCCATTGCCACCGGCTCAAGATACGCTGCGATATCCTTCAAAAAGGAGCTCCCTGCACGGGGTGCAGCTCTCGAAACCGGTCTGGCTGCCACATTTATCCAAAGAAACAGCGTAGAGGAGCTTCTGCTGTCCGTCTGCTTGCACCAGTCCCGATCCGTCCCCGCGAGCCCACGTCCGTCGAGCCCGCGACAGACTCGAGCTCGCCGTTAGAAGTCGACACTGTCCAAACGTCAGTTCGTGATGAGGACGGCGAACACGATGCCAGCCATTTGGCCGACTTTCTCGGCCGTCACGATATGAAGGAAGCCGATTACGGCCGCTTAACCCGCGTTTGCTTCATCGGCACCGGCATGTCCAACTGCCACTACCTCGTCCGTCAGAACTTCCCCCGGACCGGCGACGAGAGCAGCGTTCATCTAGGATACAGTCAGATGCGAGTCCACGGGGCCTCTTACTATCGATTTGTGCCCCCGGAGATCCTTCAACGTCCGGACAAGGAACTGGCCGACAGACTGCTTCGAGCATACTTTGACTCTGTAAACTGTGGATGGCCCATAGTCGACGAGGAAGAGTTTATGGTGCAGTACGAAGGCAAGGACCCTGAGGTCTCGTTATCTTCTGCTCTGATGAATGCTATTTTCCTCGTCGGGGCACATGTTTTGTCGTCCCACGATGAGAGCATGCACTCGCTCAAGACCACGTTTTTCCGTAGGGCCAAGACTCTAATTGACTACCAGTTCGAGACAGATCGGCTTGTTTACGTCCAGGCAGCTCTCTTGATGACGTGGAGTTCTAATGGGTTCGAAGAGGTTGCTATTAGTGCGTGGCACTGGATTGGAATTGGTGCCCGGACAGCCATAGCCTTTGGCATGTATCGTGATGCAACTCGGTCCAGGATGCTCCCGGTTCATAAGCGAGTCTATACGCGGCTTTGGTGGGTTCTGTTCCAGTTTGATACCATCTCGGCTCTGTCGTCGGGTCGACCGCAGGCAATGTAAGATACGACTGCTCAAGGATGATGAGGCTTGACTTGCTAATGTTGAGCAGAAACCTAGACGATTCTGATGTTCCTGATCTCGAGTATCACCACTTTGAGGGCATTCCCAATGCGCAGAAGGACTTTGTGATATACCAGACCAAGCTGTGCATCATAATATCACGGGCGATGAGAGAGGGTTGGGCTCTCCGATCCTCGCCTGAAGACCGCGTTCGAGCGACGAGAAAGGCCGATGAGTCTCTGGCCGAGTTCATCCTTCAACTGCCCCCCAAGGTCCAGCTGAGGTACTCTTCGCTTGATACGTGGCAGTCGATCCTTCACCTCACCTACAACAACTTTGTCATCCTGCTCCATCGACCTCTGCCAAAGCAAAGCGCCGTTGAAGACGTGCGGCCGGACCAGTGCAACGATCCCTCACTATGCGGAGACTCCGCCAAGACTATCGCTGCCATCTTTGAGACCCTGCCTCAGGATGCTCTGTCCACGCTGTGGCTGTACAGCACCAACGTCCTCATTACGGCAACTATCCACATCATCCACGAGGCGGGGTCGAGCAAGCCCATCGTCGCGGCCAGATCGCTTCATATCCTCGAGATTCTGATGATGGCTCTGCGGGGGCTGTCGAAGCATTGGCACTATGCGCGTGCGTGGCTCCATTTTGTTGAACAACGGGCATTGAAGTTGAAGCAGCAACGAGCTGCAAAGGCGGTTCAGGCGGGCGGGCCTGATGAGGACCAAGGGCGGGAGGACGGGCAGGCGGCGGCGCCTCCAACGGGACCAGAAGAGAGGTCATCGTCGCGAGAGAACGAAGAGCGATGCGATGTAGAAGAGTCATTCCTGGATGCTATCACGAACGGGGCCGCCGGGGCAATCGGCTCAACTCCAGACGGAAGCCTCTGCTTTGACGGAGCTGATGTTAATCTGCCTGATGACTTATTCCTCTTTGATGCCTTGACTTTAGATCTCTTTCCTGATGGGTGGCAAGGAGACCCTTCGTGAGAGCGACAAGTCTGGAGCTGTCACGCAAGGAAATGAAGTGTGTACCTACGAACGCGTTCGGTCACTTACAGGGACGGACCGCCTCGTCTAAGTTGAGGATACTTTTATTGTGAACCTTTAGGAAACATGAACATAAATTTACCTCATTCTAAGAGTTTATGCTCATGAACTTATGATGTTTTTGGTCTAACCGGTACGGGTTTTGGCCAAGGCGCAGCGAGGACGGCTCCCACTCTCGGCCTCCCACTCCCGCGACATCACGGCAGTTACAAATGATGGGCTAATGTGGCTTGGGGATAAGCTCCTTCAGATCTCTTTGACTGCGCGAAGACTCCCATTGGGTATCTTGCAAGGATCCTAGCCAATTACGATCAATATCTTCGTACTATTACTCAAATCGAGATATAGAACTACCACATTGCCACCAAGCTAACAAGTGGCTTAGATAGTGACCTAGTAGTGGAGACTAGTCCCGTGTGGGAGTCTTCGCGCAGTCAAAGAGATAGGGAATCTCTCTAATTGAACTAAGCCCTATTCGTACTCCTACATGGTCCCCTCCAAGGGAACGATCCGAACCACGTCTCATCGTCGTCATACACACATGCAGCTCTGATAGCTTCGACCAGTCAGCTTCGTCTTATTGTCATCCCCCACATTATCACAACATGGATCATTCCGGGCTTCCCTCTTGTTCAGTCAGTCAGCCAGTGAGGGGGAAACGGTACATCTGCCGTGTCCCGTTTGATTGCGCCATGTTGCACTTCTCCTCACTTCTTCACATGCTCTCTCGCGGCGCACGTTGAGCTTCAAACCGTTCTTTCGTCTCGCATACGTCTTGATGCGTCCGTACCCCAGAATACTTCAAGTCTTTCGTATACAAACTCGACGACCTATTACTTTATCGCGAGCTTTCTCCACTTGCAGACCAATGGCTCAGGAATACAAGATCAAGGACCTCTCGTCCCTCGACCTCTCGCCTGGCGCGAAGAAGGAGGTCGAGGTGGAGGGTATTGAGAATGGCAAGGTCTTGCTTGTTAATGTCAAAGGAAAGATTCAAGCTGTTGGTGCCAAGTGCACTCATTATGGCGCTCCTCTTGTCAAGGGCGTGCTGACGAGTGAGGGTCGATTGACCTGTCCATGGCACGGAGGTACGTCGCCATGTCTCATTGATCGCTACTTACACTGACTGATCATCGCAGCTTGTTTCAACGCCAAAACCGGCGACGTCGAAGATGCTCCTGCCCTCGATCATTTGCCCGTCTTCCAAGTCGCTGAGCGAAACGGCGCCGTGTACCTCACAGGCGAAGAGGCCGCCGTCAAAGGATCGCGAAGAAAGCCCAATATCAAGTGCGCAGCTGCTAGCGGCGCTCAAAAGGAAAAGGTCGTCGTCGTTGGAGGAGGTTCAGGTACCTTGGGCTTGGTCGAAGGTCTTCGCGAGAAGGGCTACAAGGGTCCATTGACCGTCATCTCCAATGAGGGCTACTACCCCATTGATCGCACCAAGCTGAGCAAGGCTCTCATGACGGACCTTAGCAAGCTCACTTGGCGAGACAAGTCTTGGTATGAGAGTGGATCTGTCCAATTTATTGAGAGCGAGGTCACTGGTGTCGACTTTAACGATCGACACGTCACGACGGATGACGGCAAGAAAGTTGAGTACACCAAGCTTGTCCTTGCGACAGGCGGAACGCCCAGACGATTGCCTCTTCAAGGGTTCAAGGTGCTTGACAACATCTTTACCCTACGGAGTGTTCACGACACCAGAAAGATTGTGAACGCGATCGGTGAGAAGGGTAAGAAGATTGTGGTCATTGGCTCCTCGTTCATCGGAATTGAGCTAGCCGTCGCGACAGCCAGCGACAACCAAGTCACCGTCGTCGGCATGGAGAAGGTCCCTCTTGAGCGAGTCCTCGGTGAAAAGGTTGGCGCAGGCCTCCAGAAATCACTCGAGGGCAAGGGAGTCAAGTTTTACATGGGCGCAAGTGTTGACAAGGCCGAGCCGGATACATCCAATCCTTCCAATATCGGAGCTGTCTATCTCAAGGACGGCACCAAGTTGGATGCTGATCTCGTGGTTCTTGGTGTCGGTGTCGCCCCTGCGACTGGGTTCCTGCAAAACAACAAGGCCGTTCAGCTGGAGAAGGACGGCTCTCTGAAGACGGACGATAGCTACGCCGTTGCTGGTTTGAAGGACGTCTATGCGATTGGCGACATTGCTACCTTCCCTTATAACGGGCCTGGCGGCGATGGAACTCACATTCGAATCGAGCATTGGAACGTGGCGCAACAATCCGGTCGCATCGTCGCGAACCACATCGTTGATCCATCAAGCAAGCCCGAGCACTTTATCCCCATCTTCTGGTCGGCTTTGGGAGCTCAGCTGCGATACTGCGGAAACACCATACCCGGCTTCGATGACATTATTGTCGAGGGTGACCCGACCGAGAACAAGTTCATCGCCTACTACTGCAAGGGAGATACGGTGGTGGCTATGGCAAGCATGGGAAGAGATCCGGCAATGGCCCAGAGCGCAGAGCTGATGAGAGTCAACAAGATGCTTACAAAGACTCAGATTCAAGAGGGAATGAGTGTGTTGTGAGTCTTGTACCGAGGCGGAGGCCCTAACGTTAGATGACGAGGGACTATCGGGAACACTTCTCAGAACGGCATTACTGCGACGGAGTGTGTACTGAATAGGAAACTGTTTAATCATGACGAGCCTCAAGTTAGTTAATTGCTTTGATCCAAGCCCAATATGTCCCATTTTGAGTGTCACTGATAGGGTCGGTGCAAAAGCCCCGGACCCTCCGAGTCAATGACGTCGAGGACTCGAACGTCATGGATGCATCAACAGAACGACGGCCCCTTGTCATTGTGACGAGCATATTGATGTTGCTGAGGGTTCAGGTGACTGTATGCAATGTGGATGCTTTCGCGACAAATAAAGAGAGCGCAGGCTGCGCATTACTTGATAGTTGCTACTGACTCACATTGACAGCAACAATGGCTTCTCAAGCAGCTTACCAGGCCGAAAAGGTCATTGGACACGGCGACAACGCCGTAACTCAGCAGGATGTAACTTCGTACGAGGGTGAGACAGGCAAACCTGGCGAGACGATGAAGGCGTTGGCGTGGATGGGCAAGAACAAGGTCAAGATGGGTACGGCTCACAACACTCTCTCACTTACACAAATACTAACTATCGTAGTCGACGCGCCCAGGCCCAAGATCCTTGAAGATCGCGATGTGATCCTCAAAGTAACAGGAAGCACCGTCTGTGGTTCAGATCTACACCTCCTTCACGGAACAGTCATCCAGCTCAACGAAGGCGATATCCTTGGCCACGAATTCTGCGGTGTCGCCGATGAAATCGGTCCAGGCGTCACAGGCATCGAAGTAGGCAAGCGATACGTTGCCTCGTTCCAGATCGCCTGCGGCGAGTGCTTCTTTTGCAAGCAGAAGCTGTCTTCGCAGTGCGAAAAGACAAACTCCAACACGGCCGAGAGGGCCATGTATGGTGGGAGGACGGCGGGTATGTTTGGGTATTCCCATTTTACGGGTGGATTTGCGGGTGGACAGGCTGAGTATGTGCGTGTACCGTTGGGGGATGTGAATTTGCTCGAGATTCCGACGGATGTTCCCGATGAGAAAGGTGAGTTCACGACGCCGTTTACCCATATCCGACTCTACTGACATGGCAAGCCTTGTATCTTTCCGATGTCTTGGCCACATCCTACAACGCTGTGAAAGATACGGCCGTCTACCCTGAAGATGAAGTTGCCATTTTCGGTGCTGGCCCAATCGGACAAATGGCTGGCATCTTTGCCATCCGCGAAGGTGCCAGCAAGGTCATCTTCATCGATACGGAACCGCGTCTCTCCTTCATCAAGGACAACTGGCCCCCAAAGCACAAGGACCAGCTAGAGCTTGTCGACTACAAGCATCTATCCCACGGAGTCACCAACAAGGAGACTGTCGTGAGCCGACTCAAGGACCTTTGTGGTGGACGTGGTCCGGATGTCGCGATCGAGTGTGCAGCTGGCGAGTACGCCAAGGGTTGGATGCATTGGCTTGAGATGTCTCTCGGTATTGAGACAGACACGAGTGAAATCGTCAATGAGATGATCGAGGGCGTACGAAACTATGGTCGCTGCGGAGTCACAGGCGTCTACGTCGGATATGTAAGCATCTCCATCCTCCTACATCATTCACACCTAACCCCACAGACCAACCACTTCAACATCGGATCCCTCATGGAGCGAGGTATCCGGCTCATCGGCAACGGCCAAGCCCCTGTCCACAAATACTGGAAAGAACTCCTCGCCATGATTCAAAGTGGTGACCTCGACCCAACGCAGATGATCTCCCACCGCGTCAGGCTCGAGGATCTGGACAAGGTGTACTACAAGTTCGAGGCGAGAGAGGACGCGATGCAAAAGGTGTTTGTGGAGACCAAGTTTTCGTTTCCTAGGAGCATCGAGTCGCCGGATTTGACAACGTACTAGGCGGTGAAGTTTCTTCGCGTGGAGAGTTGATGATGTGTAAAAGACGTGGTTGTGGGGTTTAGGCAAGTGGTGTCTTGGGAGTGGATATTGGGAGATTCGGCAACGCGGGAAGAACCACTTTGAGATGCGCGTCCTCGGCAGTGAGATCCGCTGAGGAAGTGTCAGGTACTGGTTTTTGAACAGCCAGTGAATAATTCTCTTTTGAAAATTGTCTCACTGTTTCTCGCACCTCATAAAACCCTTGCTTCCCAACCAGTTCAGACATCATGAAAGGTTACCCTGGAGCCTGAGAGGGTAGTCACGTGGCTACGCACCAACCACCAAAAATCGCGAGGTCGGCGCTAAGCGTGTCGTCATTACCCCAAACGGGCAAGGGAAGATAAGAATGTGGCGCCCAAACAACATCCTCCAATCAAGAGAGCAGATGAAATTATGAACGCGGGTACCAACGCATCGCCAACACGTAGGTTCCCTGCAATGTCAACACACTCGAGCCCACCACGAACCCCTGAGGCCCCAATGACCAAGAAGGAAACACGCTAGATCCCCTGTCTCGCTCTTGTGAACGCCACCTTGCAGTCTGCGGCCAGGCTTTTTTGTCCAGGTGGTGCAGCAAGCTGGCACAGAGGCAGCCATGGATCAGTAAGATCACAAGGATCATGGGGGCGGGCTGGTTGGCCTCTTCTGCGGCCTCATCTTCCTCATTCATCCCTTCTTTTTTCTCCCGCATACATAAAAAACTCTTTCATCCCGTTCTCCTCGTCGTTGAAATGTTATTCACGACTCGTTCATTCTTTGTTGACATTCACCGCAAATGAAGCACATGCAAAAGCGCCGAGCAACCCACTAATACAGGTACAAGACCCCACATCCACCGAAGCTAGGTACACGCGAGCCACACATACCAAGCCACACACAACAACCGTCCGGACAAGACCCTCTTTGTTCAGGCCTCAACCACCGCTTCCATTCAAACGAAGCGAAGCGAAGCGGCTTTCTTCGACGAGTTCGTCGTTGTTCAACAACCTCGACTCTTTACCTCGCCTGGTTCCGTCCCCGTGTATCTTTACCGGCGGACCAAGCATGCTCTGACCTCCTCGAACCCAACCTCCTGACCTTCGACTCATTCATCACCAATCTATCATGTTTCCTACCGCTACGTCCGCCGCCTTTTCCGCCGTTTTCGCTTCCTTTCGCGAACCTTGCTCTCGATTACGATAGATAATCTGCAACACTCTGAGGCCTCTCCATCTACATCCTCGCTCCCGCCATCATGGAGAGGCCGGATTCCCCCCGGCCGGAGCACACTCCAGAGCATACTCCGGAGCTCACATGCTGCTGCGGCCGCGTCGAATGTCCCCTCCTCAAGAAGAACTGCTACATACTCGAGACTGTCGAGAAGGATGTCCACACCGCTGCTCAGCTTGGTCAGGTACGCACACGACCCCCAATTTCGAAGCATTCCTTGTGTGAATCACATCACGCTCTGCTTCCCTGGCTCCCGTCTGGCCGCATACCAGTTGTTCCAGCGCCTCCCTTTGTCGCTGAACACACACTTACGCATCTGCACATTCTTGATTGGAAAACTTGCTAATTTTTCACCTCTTCATTTATAGGCCCTGCTAGCCCGGCATGAAGCGTACATGGCTGACGCCGAGAGGGACCGCCTCAATCTGACCGAGCGGATAGAGCGCCTGGAAATGGACAAGCAGGAGCTCGAGGCCGAAAATGCCTTGAAGATTGAGGAGAACAGGAGCCTGCTTGACCAGCTCGAGTTTCTCAACAACACCGTTTCTGAATCCGACACAAAGATCAAGGCCCTCGAGGCCAGCCTCCTCTCGTCCCAGCAGGCCGTGCGGAGGCTAGAGTCTGCTGCTGCCCGAGCCGAAGATGCGGAGCGACACTTGTCGCTGATGGAGTTGGAGCAGGATGAGCTCTACCAGGAGCTGAGGTCTACAAGGGAAGATGCTCGGTCTCACGCTCAGCGCTTCAAGGAGGCTCAGCGTGGCATCTTGGATATGCAGGATCAGCTCGAGAGGATGGAGGAAGAAGCCCGTGAAGAACGCGAGCGACATGCCGAGGTGATTGGCAGGATGGAGCGTCAGCGCGAGGTTGACAAGCAGCTCAGTACGGCAGCTGCTCGTCTAAAAGGTGCTGCCGCATCCAAGACGCTACAGGACCCGAAGCCTGGCAACCCTGTTGTCAACCACTTCGTGCGTGACCTCCTCCAGGACAATGCCAACCTTCAGCTGGGCATCGCTGAGTTGCGGGAGATGCTGCTCAACTCCAACGATGAGATTCAGTCTCTGCGTGATCAACTTCTCGACCACCAGCCTGTCCCTGACAGCTCCACCTCGACGCTCAAGGCTGAGCTCGAGAGCTTTATGCCCTCTACTCCCCGAGTTTCCCAAGAGCTGCATATCCATCATCACTACCATGTGGGCGCCAAACCTGACAAGGGCAAGACGAGGAGAAAGCGTTCAAGCTTGAACTCTAGCATCTTTAACCCTCCAAGCTCAGGCACCTCCACCCCGAGATCATCATCGGGTCGTTGGAGTCTAAACCCCGGACCGGCAATGCCCGCCATTGCCTCTATCACCACCAAGGAGCCCAACTCGGTCATTTCGATGCCCAAGCAGAGATGGTCGCTAATGTCGGAACAAACATCCGAGTTTACATCATCTGTACCGAGCTCCCCACGGTCGAACCAGCGGAATTCCATGTTCGACACTTCCTTCGCCGATAGCGATATCCCCACGTCGCCGACTACGAGTTTCGACCCTATGTCACCCACCTGGCGGGCTCACCGCAAGGGTCCGTCTGAGATATCGGCTCTCAGCTTTCAAGCTCCTTCTCTTCAGCTTGATCCCGGCACTCCGCCTCGGCATCAGTATAATGATGATATTATTCATGAAGAAGACGAAGGAGATTGCGATGAGCTCATGCGTCGGATGGAGACACCAGATCTCGGAACTACACCTTCAGCCGACGACAGTTCGATCGTCGAAAGCTCCGAGGACTCCAAGGACGACTTTATGCCTCGTCCTCGGATCCATCGAGCACTCTCTCATGAGTCCATCATGTCTCTGGCAGGTGGTCTCGACATTCACACGCTCAAGGCACGACCTAGTCAACTTACTCTTCGGCCCCTTGGTGGTGCTGAAGCTATTGTGACGGGTGTAATAGCGCAACCCACACTTGCTCGTGGAGGCGCCAAGCGGAGTTCGGTTGCGCTTCGAGACAGCTTCAACGCCTTCAACGCGTTTCCCGGCTCGCGAACCGTCTCTAACCCTACCATCCGATCTCTTTCTCCTACTCCCTCTATCACGCCCCAGGGTAGCCCTTCTACGAGCCTCGGCAAGTGGGTTGGTTGGAGGCCATGGGGAGGCCCAAGTACCGCGGCTGCGAAGCCTGAGAAAGAAAAGGAGATAAACCGGGCTCCGGGTATCAACCAACCCGGGGCGATTCCTGGCTTCCAGAAATACTGGACAGCACAACGGCGGAAGGGCGCGCCGTCCAGGGTGATGAGTGAAACTATCGATCACGAAGCCCTGGAAGAAGGCCTACGAGAGTGAAGAGCTCTCTACCTAATGCGGCCGAGACACGTGGATGCTCGAGCTGGCACATGTTATACCTAATCACTAACTGGATACTGGAGTTGTGTCTATCTCTTTTGTGGCGTTTGTTGATTCAGGAGGGATACCAAGGATACTTGGACATGGAGATACCCCTGGCCACACTAGGCCTGTTCCTTTGTTGCGATTATTCGACCTTAACATTCGGGTCTTGGATTGACGGTTTTCTTATGAAATTGGGTATACAGCATAATCTAATAAACACGACGCCGATCCTTGGCCACCTGACTCTATCTTTTCATGCTATGCTGCTATTTAACATGGACCAGTAGGTCGTATCTACTCCTTGCAGAGCCCAATCCTCTGGATCAGCCGTGAAGCATGGCCATTCGGCAGTTACACAGTCGGGGACTGCATTCTCGAGAGGACAGGTTGTGGAAATGTCGGTAATCTCGGGTGGCTGGGGTGTGAACGAAGGTTCATTGAGAGAGAAGGAGAAGGGGATTTCTGACGGTAACCCTCCCTCTGTGTTGCCCGTGGGCGTTGGAATCAGGCCTGCTGTAGATGGCGGAGGTGATGGGCCCGGATTGATGTTGACAGTTCCTAAGAAGGGGATGTTGAGATGAACATTTCTCTCTTCTCCGTTTGTAGGTCTTTGGACGATGGGGAGGAGCTGACGGATTGTTTCGGCTGCTTCGATGCAGAGTCTGTCGTTGTTCAAGGCTCCCATTTCGTGCATCTTGTCCTGTGCCTTTTCGGCCAATTCTCGATCTTGAGCTCGCTGGGCTTCATACCCGGGCCATCGCCAGCCTAGGTAACCCAGGAGGAGTGTCATGGCTGCTACTAAGGCAGAGTAATCGACGTGCCGACCGGCGATGGCTGTTGTGAAACAAGTCCGGTACTCGAGAAAGCGGTGCAAAACATCGCGACTTGCTTGCATGCACGTGGCGCGGTTGTACTCGTACCGTCTCTGGCCACGGTCCCGAAGAAGATATGGGAGGTGGAGCAGGATGAGGAGCGAGTAGTGACGGATCTGGAGCTTGACGACCGACATGTTGTCGCCGGATGTGTCAGATGAGTTGCAGCATATGGCCATATCCGGGAGTTTCCACCATAGGACGTCCATCATCTTGAAGGCTTTCTCAAGTTCTAGGTCGATTGATTGCGTTAGGGCGTATGCTTCGCTGCCCGTCATTTCGTTTCTGTCGGCGATTTTACCAGAAATGTCGGCGTAAACCTTTCCGAGCTTGTCGCTAGGTGCATCGGACTGAATATTATCATCCAGGGCGAACCAGTTGTCGCGGGATCCAATGGGGAGACCAAGGATGAGGGAGAGGTAGCGGTCGTTGCAGTTGATGCGGAACCACATTACACCTGGGGATGGACGACGTCGAGGGTCAAATGATGGATCGCAAGAACGGATCGACTTTGCTGATCGACGATCTATTCCCATGAGTTGGGCCATGTTGAGAGCGCGACGACATGTCATCCATGCCTTGCGCAATTGGCCAGCGTCGCTTTGATAGAAGCTCTGGATGATGAGACACTCTAGACCTTCGAGGCATCCTACAAAGTCGTCGTCTGATGTGACTAGCCTGGATGCAACAGATACCCATTCTTCCATTGTCTCAGCCATGGACTTTTTGAGACCTAGGGTGCTTCCATCGAAGAAGGCGGGCATCTGCTGAAGACAGACTGCCAGCTGCAGAAGCCGCTTGGCCAGGATAGCGGGATGGCTGGTGACATCTGGGATCTGGGCTAGAGATGAAAGAGGTTCTGGTTTTCCGTCGATTTGATCTTTTTGGGAGTAAAATGCTGCGAGGACGAAGCGTGCACCGGGACTCTGCTGGGAGATGGCGTACAGGGTTCTTTGGGGTGGGAAGAGGGCGTGTAGTTGGGGGGAGATGTGATTTGCTTTCGCTAGGCGGGATGGGAAGCGGATTGGGGGGACTATGGGGGTTGAATCGGGGAGGGATGTCAGAGGTGTATCGGAATGGTTTAATGTAGATGTCATGTGCTGGGCATTATCCACGACTGAAGAGTCAAACACATCAGCCGCTTGTTGCGTGAAGCGACGAAAGGTAGACGGTTCATCCGAATCGGAGGGCGAAGGGATATGCACTCTTCGGGCAGGCGAAGGTTCAGGGACTGAATTGTCGACCAGCTTCTCCATCAACATTTCGAGTCGTCCGAGGCGCTGCGCGAGACGCTTGTCCTGCGTGGGAGCTGCAGGCTCCTGGACGTACTCTTGCGAGATGCATGTCGTCTCGCGCTGGATACAGCCCACGCAGATTGCATCTTCGTCGCTGTTGAATTGACACTTGATCTTGCGTCTACGGCCTGTAGAGAATTAGTGACATATCACTGAAGGATTAATTTGGTATGCTCACATTCCCAGCAGCTGCGTGTTCCTTTACGGACTTTGCGCCGCTTCGTCGATGGTTCGCCCATTGTTTATTGATTCGGCCGAACAATGGACTTGGGTGTAAGTGAAGCTGAGGAGATACGGTCGGTAAGACGGGCGAGATGCTGCGTCCGCCTATTGAACGGGAAAGATGAGAGTAAAGTGTTGAGAAGGAGTCTGTTGTTGCTGACCAAAACGGCCGAACCACGGACGAGTTACCGAAGGATTTGGCTGTGGTGATGATCTCTGGCGAATAGAATGAGAGTATTCGTCCGTTTCGGAGGCCGAGCGGATGAATATTCGGGTTGGATTAATAATGTTGGTCCGGTCCTCCGTGGAACGCCGTGGCGATGGCCCTGGTCGATGAATTATGGGGTCTTTCGGGGATTCAGACAAGACGTGGGTTATTTCCGCTTCCGGGGAGGATTTGGGCTGGGATGGACCGCCGACGTAACAGCCCGTGGAGAGTTTGCGTGGAGCTTGAGCTTCTGGCTGTCGGAGTGCCATGGAGGAGGACATAGGAGGGATACACGCCGTGGAGGACAATGGTAGACGACGAAACTTCCACGGTGAGGAAAACTCTACAATGCGATCTTGTATAAATGTCGAGAGACGAAGCGACGATGGAGATTAAACAAGACACACAAACATCACAACCCATCAATCACCTACAAACAAAAATTTTACGATTACAATGGCATCCCCTCGTTACAGTTCCAGCGACGTGAGCCCTGAGCCTCTGGCCCAGGAGCTTCGATTTCACCCTTCTGGTAGAGTCGCAAAGAATAGGTTCATGAAGGGACCCATGGCTGAGGGCCTTGCTTCGTGGAGTCCCAAGACACCCGCAGAGAGGGGTATTCCTACGAAGGAGCTGATTGAGCTCTACAAGCGGTATGTAAAGACACAAACAAAAGTGTGTGTTTGTGAGACTGATGATGTTGTAGATGGGGTGAGGGCAAGAACAACTTTGGTGTCATCGTCACTGGAAACGTTGACATTGACCTCGAGTCTATGGGCAGTAGTGGAGATATGGGCATTCCCATTGATGCAAAGTACGAAGGCGAGCGCTTTGAAAAGTTCAAGGAGCTTGCAAAGGTTGCCAAGGCTGATGGGAGTCTGCTTGTCGCTCAGGTGAATCATCCTGGACGACAGGTTGATGCTCGAGTTAACCCTGTCGCCATCTCTGCGTCTGATGTTCAGCTTGGTGAGTGTGGCTTTGCAGTTTATTGCGATCACAGGGCTAATGGTGTGTAGAACCCAAGATGGGAATGACGTTTGGCAAGCCTCATGCTGCTACAAAGGAGGAAATTGCAAGAGTTGTCGAAGGCTTCGCTCATGCTGCAGAGTATCTCGAAAAGGCTGGTTTCGACGGTATCGAACTACACGCTGCTCACGGCTACCTCATCTCTCAATTTCTCTCGCGAACCACCAACAAGCGCACCGACGAATACGGCCCCCAAACAATCGAGTCCCGCCTCCGCATCGTCTCCGACATTGCAAAGGCCGTCAAAGCACGCGTGTCGCCCACGTTTATTGTTAGCGCCAAGCTCAACAGCGTCGAGTTCCAGGATGGCGGTGTCACGCCTGACGAGGCGCGGGAGCTGTGCGAGATGCTTGAACAGTTGGAGTTTGACTTTGTCGAGTTGAGTGGTGGTACTTATGAGCATATGGATATGGCATGGAAGAAGGAGAGTACTGCTAGGAGGGAGGGCTTCTTTCTTGAGTGGGCGGCGACTATTACCAAGGCGCTTGATCCGGGACATAAGATGAAGACTTATATCGCTGGTGGGATGAGATCTGTTGGGGCCATGGTTGATGCGCTCAAGATTGTGGACGGAGTCACTCTTGCACGACCAGCAATCTCAGAACCTCGTCTGGTACCCGACATTATCGAGGCACGCGTCCAAGGCGCAATCAAGCCCGTCGAGGCCATCGAGACAGATCTCGGTATTGCCATGGTTGCAGCGCAGGCTCAGCTGTCGCAGGTCGGACGAGGCTTTGAGCCCTTTGATCTTAGTGATCCCGAGGCGTTCCAGACTTTTGGAGCTGACATGGGAGCTTGGTTTGAGAAGGTTGTCCAGGATGGGGGAAAGATGGAGTTTGTGCGGGCTGTGCAGTACTCGGGACCTCAGGTTCCTTACGGGACTGTCAAGTCTGCTTAGAGATCGAGTTTAGACTACATAGTTAGACATTATAGAGTATAGAATGCAATTGTTTTACGGCTTTCTTCAAATCCGAGAAGCATAAGTCCGAGCAGCTAAGCCTTGTGCTAAGAGATCACCTCAGATCTCCTTCAATGCAACCTCGGGCCGTCGATCAAAGGGGCTAGCGATGCGAGGCGTGGATTTGTCAGCGTGGCTCATGGGAGGATCTCGCAGTCCAGCGCCGACAATCTAACCCATTCATTAACCGCCAAGATCGGGATTAAACACCGTAAATAAATTCTTTTGCTTCTTTACTCATTCAAAGATTGTTTGGTACGGAATGACAGCTATGGCGACTTCACCGGAAGATACGGATCCTACGCGGTCGAACCGTCGTAAAGGTGAGTGCTTTGATCGAGCGGGTGGACTTGACTGACCGGAAATAGCCTGCGATTTGTGCTTTACGAAAAAGATCAAGTGTGACATGCTCAAGCCTGTCTGTTCGAATTGTATTCTTTACAATACAGACTGTCGGACGAGCATTATTCGGCGCAAGGCCAATCCCGCAAGGGTGAGAGCAGGGGCGAAACAGCAGCAGGAAGAGTATGTGTCATTCTTTTTAAGCGATTGTTTGATGAACGCTCACAGTGATTAGCCCCAGTCGCACAGAAGCTTTGGAGTCGAGGCTGGCTCGTATTGAAGCCCAACTCCAGGCTGTCCTCAAAGTCGCTCGAGACGCGCAGCCACAGCAAGCTCCAATCGCTCAGCAATCTCCAGAGAGCCATTCAAGCGACACCACAGAGGCCATCTCGGCAGAAAATGAAATCCATGCTGGAATCGCGCGCTCGGCTTACCACTCGTGGAAGTTTGACCCCATACATCCTAGCATCTACGAAGGACCGGAACCCGACTCGTTGATGTTGCCACCGTTGGACGAGGTGCTGCCTATCGTCGATCATTATTTTTACACGTTTAATGCCGTGATCCCACTGTTTCATCAGCCTGTGTTCATGAAGGTGCTGCATACCTGGTATAACCAACCTCGATCTCGCGATCGGGCGACGTGGGCAGCTATCCAGATCGTCATGGCTCTCGGGTATCGCACGCCGCAGCTCGCACTCGGAGAGACACAGATGAAGCACATCGAGAGGGCTGATGTGTGTTTGAGGAATGCGCAGACTGTTGTCTCAGAGCTTGTCACTCGCGATCAGGATTTGCTTGGTGTTCAGATTCTTCTTGGGATTGTTATGCTTTTCCAGAATAGTCGTGACCCAAAACCTGCGAGTGTCATTATTGGTACTGCTGTTAGGCTTGCGCATCGACTGCAGTTGCACTCTTCCAACGCGGGGGAGTTGTTTCCGGCTATTGAGGCAGAGCAGAGGTCGAGGGTCTTTTGGATTGCGTATACTCTCGACAAGGTAGGTCGACAGGTTTCCTTGGAGCGAGGACTCAGCTTACATGGGTAGGACATTTGTCTGAGGGCAAACACCCCATCCTGCCAGTTTGACGATGACGTGGATATTCCACTACCAAGTCTTGCACCCGCAGACAGTGCTGGTTTAATATGGACACAGAACGGTCAGGTTCACTTCAACTATCACAGAAGACGTGTCGAGCTCGCCTACATTGAGGGCAAGGTCTATGATCTTCTCTACTCGAACCGCGCTACCAAAGTCCGCGGCCCAGAACGCAAACGAAGGGTCCTCCGCCTACAAGCCATGCTAGATCAGTGGTATGAGCGCATCCCAGCCGTCTTTCACATCGAAAACGTCGCTGCGACAGTTGGTCCAAGTCAACTTGTGCAGATGACCAAGATGCATCACTCGTTTCTACTGGCAGAGGTCATGACGCATGGGATATACAGTCACAACGCCGACTGGGTTAAGCGGATCAGCTCGTTGAGTCGTGCTGCTATTGAGGATTTGGATGAGGGCTTTGGAACGCCAAAGTGCAAGATGAGGGAGCAGGAGCCGCCTTTGCCTGATGGGTGGACAAAGTGTGTTGAAATTAGTCGAGGGTGTATGAAGTTGTTCCAAGAGGCGACACCAACCGAGTGTCTTGTCTGGTAAGATTGCCATTAACTAATTTCTTCCTTTGCTAACACTTTTCAGGCAATGCAGCTGCTCCCATTTCTCAGCACTCATCATCATCCTCGCCAACATGATTCTCAATCCAGGCCACAAATCCATCCACGTCGACCAACACCTAGCAGTCAAAGCCCTCGACCTATTCGACAAGCTCCTCAGCATAATCGAAGACGACTCCTTCCGCAGCTTGAGGGCAATCGTCGGTGAGCTAAGCCAAAAAGCCGAAGCTGCCGTGGAAAGATACAGACAAGAACTCAGCCGCTCGGGGCGCGACATTTTTGAAGTGTTGAATGTTGATAATGCGGGTGACGCGCAGCCCGAGTTGGATTTCTTGCCTAGTAATAATGTTTTTGATGGGCTTGATGGTCCCTTTTCTAGTTTGGATACTGAGGTTGATTTTGATGCCTTGAATTTTGATCCTACTGGGGCTGGGAATATGGAGATTTTGGATAATGGCATGGCGGATTTGATCAGCTTCATGCGGTGAGGTTTGGCTGGCGTTGATATTGTGGAGTACTTGGGTTTAGGATAGAAATGATGGGCATAGAAACACGGCCTGTCTATGGACAAAATCAAGACTGTTGGCTTCTGGTGTTTTCTCAAAGATGATCAGTTCTTGTGTTGCCCTTGAACGGTCGATGCCCTTGTTAACAGACTATTTATCTGTCTCAAAATCTCTCCTCGCCCCAGCTGCAACATTCTCCTCGATCAATACTCTAATCGCCAACATTGCCATCCCCTTGGCTGTCTTTATCGCCGCGGCATGAGCATGATTCGTGCTGGCCGCCTCTGCAAACTTGGGGCTATGGATGGCCACACTAGGGTCCGAAGTGATTGTAAAAGCTCCGTGGAAACTCGGCACTAGATAGGATACATTGCCCATGTCTGTCGAGGCTGTTGCTGGCTCTGCCATGTTCAAGGCGACGGTTTGTCCAAGTCGTGCCATGTCTTGGACGTAGGTTTTGCAGAGTGTTTGGTTGACTCTCAGGTCCATATACGTTGGGGAACTACAGACTGTCAGCAATGCTGCAAGATTGGGTTGGAAGCTAGGAACTTGCAAGATGTAGTTGATCTGGCAACCTGTTGCAGCCGCACCAGCTTCCAAACAAGCCTTGACTCTCTGGAGGAGCTTCTCCCCTCGTTCCATAGTTGGGCTTCGCACGTTCCAGTGCATCCGAGTGTAATCAGGAATGACGCCAGGGATTGTGCCACCATCTTCAATAACACCGTGGATACGTTCATCAGGATGAATCTGCTGTCGAAGAAGAGATACGTTGCTATACGCAGCCACAGCAGCGTCAAGTGCATTCACGCCGTTCCATGGCTCTCCTCCTGCATGTGCTGCATGGCCTCTGAACTCAACACGGAATTGATGACTCGAGATTAACCTCAGACCTGCTACGCCCGTGTCTGAATTGATCAGTGATGCAGGGACCGCATGTGCCATTATGGCAGCAGCGACATCTTCTGGAGGATCAAAGGCACCGGCTTCTATCAGCTTGCCCTTGCCACAGCCGTTTTCTTCAGCTGGAGTTCCCAGGAGACGAAGACGGCCGGGTATCTTCAATGTTGCTAGAGCGTGAGCTGCACCAAGAAACGCACCGACAGATGCCGTAGCGATGAGGTTATGCCCACAGCCATGTCCAATCCCTGGCAGAGCATCATATTCGGCGCAAAAGACGACTTGGCGTCCTCCAGAGCCGAGTGAAGCTTCAAAACTGGTCTTGAGACCGTAAGCGTGCTTCTTCACCTTGAAGCCGAGGTTTTGTAGGTATTTGGTGATGGTATCGTGAGCAAAGAATTCCTCGTATGCGGTTTCGGGATGGGAGTGGATAGATTTGTTGATTTCCTGATGTAGAGACGAGTCGAGATGGTCTAGCCGGCTGTTGACGAGTAGCCGGGCTTGCTCAGTGAGGTTATCCAGTCGTATCAACATGGTGATAGTTAATCGAGTTCCAAGTCTCCAGAGAACAAAGGTGCGATAGGGCGCTATTAGAAAGATGGGAATAGGGCTGTTGAGGATGTTGAAAGATGAAATATCTCACCTCCGCTTCGAGTGGGGAAGCTTGATGAATCACTAGCCGAGGCGGCGAGTTCAGCTGAACAACAACCTTGTCCGAGTGGAGCGTTCACCACTTGGCATTACTATTACTTTGGAGTCTAGAGATGGGATTGTTCCAGTTTATGAAGACATGTATTTGGTCTTAACTGTATGGAATTAAGATTCTTAGAGTATCTGTAGGTGCACACCTTTTACTCATGACGACCGCTCTACCAACGACTTCATACTCAGCTCTAGTCTAAGACCACATTCGATCTTATATGATGTACAAACCCTCCCTCTACACCTCCCATCTAGTTCCTATTGTGTTCATGTGTTCTCTTCTGGCATCGACCGCAGAAATCACCGCTTCCAACGCTGCCTTGTCTCTCGCCGTATCCTCGTCTGTAAGCTTCCTGCACTCATCTTGCCCATACTTCCTATGCCACTCTTCCTCTGTCACATCTTTCCGCTCATCTTCTCGCCTCCCCCACATTTCATCATAGTCGGTGTACTCCTCCGTCCAGTACACGTACTTGAGCATATCTTCGCCGTCCCCAGAAGCGCCTGTACCGTATTTCCGTATGCCACTACCAGTTGTTCCTGGAGATGGATACTCAAAGTGTCGAAAGCCGTGATGAGTAAAAGGTTGACTTGCGGCTTCTTGATCGTTCGCCATATGGAGTCTCTCATAGTAACTTGGATCGATGGTTTCATTCGGAATGTCATCCCAGTATCCTTTGCCCATCTTGAAGACTCTCAAGTTGGTCATAGACTGTGTCCAATGCGAGAGTAGATGATGCCACCGAAGAGTTCCATAAATGGCCTCGGCTATATCTCCAGATCGTGGTGTCGCTGGCTTGACATAGTAGCCACTATTAGAAAAGCTATGCACCCTCCCATTGAAGCCTTGGAGCACAGTCTCACTTTGATCCAACAGCATTCCCCTCCACTTGCTTGTTTGGAAAAGAATGGTGTAGCCATCAAGGTAAAGCTTCTCTATACCCAGAGACCCAACCCATTCAACTTGCCATTCGTGGCTAAATGTATAGTTGCCAAGGGCGAGTACTTTGAGGTTGGGCATTCCGTCGCCGGCGCCAACAAGTCGAAAATCCATCTTTGGGAACCATCCCCACGGTTCATGACAGTACAGGGAAAGCACTCGCAGGTTGCCACCAATCGAGGATCTGAGCCAGGTATATGGAAGTGATTCAAACATGTCGGATTGATCTGAACACTTGTTACTGGAAGACCGTGTGAGGCTCCAGATATCGGTGGCGAGGTAAAGGCGGAGGTCAACGAGATATGGTGAACTGATGATAGCTTGGAATGCCTCTGACTTGACAAGCTTCTTATTTATGCTGTCATCCAGGTTGGATATTGTAAGAGTCTTGAGTTGAAGAGGACGATCGAGACGATGAAATGGATGGGCTTTCCGGCCAAAAGACTGTTCAAGCGAGATCCTTGCTAGATAAGGAAAGACACGCTCAGTAACCGTGCTTCGGATAATTCGTGCCTCTTCTTGGCAGGTTCCAAATCTCAAGTGAAAGGTCTCGAGATTCCCGACCGAGGCGATATAAGGGAGTGCGGCCAAGAAATCCGAGTAAGCTTGAACAGCTTCTAAATCCCAGACAGCGCTTCTATTCAACTCCGGGTCACACCAGGTATCGCAAGTCACTTCGCGAACATGACTTCTAAGCCTTTCGGACGTGGCAATTTGTATGAAGCGTTGTGGTTCATCGCGATAGGCCCGAAGTCGGAGGCTTCGAAACGCACCCGGCGTGGTGAGGAGAGCGAACGTGCGACTGACGCATCTTAGACGAAGGAGAAGATGCTTAGGGACAAATGAAAAGATTTCTAGCAATATTTCATCTGGAAGGGACATCAAGTCCAGATTGTGAGGCATGTTGAACTTGGATGAGGTTCTGAGTGTGTGATAGTGGTCAAATGAGGTGTTTATTGAGTAGAGTCGCACATGACTCGGAGGGACAATAGCTTGAGGCTAAACCACATGATTACAAAGCATGTAGAACAAGCCAATATCGTGGTGAGCTGGACTAGCCTACCTATTTACTCATTTCTACGAGTATCTCATCAGCTTCAAGCTCATCTTTATGTCTGCTCAGAGGTTGCTGGAGGAGCAGATTCAAGGATAGTCAATAACCAACCGCAAAAAGAGGCGCTCCAACGTTGGTTCCCAAGGCGAAATCAAGGTTATCCGACGGGAACTAGCTCAGGAAGAGACTGGATTGCCTCGGCAACTGACGTACCGCTCGTTTCACCGCTTGTTCGTCCACCACCCGGCTCGGAGGATAGATAAGCGCCGCAGCCAAGAAGGCCAGACTACCCAAACACTAATTGATTAGAAGCTTCTTCTCTGGCTAAAGGGTTAAAGAGTTTGAACGTTGGATCACATCATGATCGGTGCGTAAACGGTGCCGCAAAGCCGGGGTTCCTTGTCAGATCACATTTTGAGTTTCTCCAGGTTGGGTGCATCACCTTTGTAAGCGGCCCTGGGCGGTGGGCACTGAGCTGACGCGTGTGTGCCTCCCCGAGAAACGACTGGACTGGGTAATTCTATAAGCCGGAATAATAGGATGGCATGTCATCAAAGGCTCTAGGGGAAGGGGTGATGCAGTTTGGCCACGCATGTCAGGGCCTCATCCCATGCTCGAATGCATGGGTGAACGGCCTCAGGGACACGACTACGCCCTGTTAGGCTAAGCACATATTGAAGCTTGGGAACTCAAGTGCTTGGCCAAGGGCTCGAAGAAGGGGTAGGAGTGGGGGTAACCCGAGCGCAGCTGGGTCATCCGTTGGGCCATCCTGTAGCTGTAGTTCTCCCTTGGGTATACCCACCTATAGGTAGGTATGAGGAGAATAAGAAAGCGTAGCCAAATCCCTTACGTCCTCTACAAGTCTCTGATTCCACTTCTATCCGCGAAACAATCTGCAAAGTTCATAGTAACGTTGCTCAAGTAAATGAGCAGGCTCTTGAACGCGATGTTCATCCTCTTGGTCAAGAATTGAGCACGTAAATCACCGTTTTAGGCTATCAAAAGAAGACGCGCAGTTTCGAGGCGGTTATTTTAGGTGGCATCGGCTCGGGAAGATCTCGTTCATCGTTTAACCTTGACATCGCAAGGATACATATCAGGTTGCCTGAATCCTTTCTTGCTTGGCAGCGGCAAGATCAAATCCTTCAGGCGCCAAAGCTACGCCCGGCTAAGGAGCCCGAAGGAATGGCGCTTGAAGGACGAATCCGTTGAAGGAATGACATGGGTCAACGTAATGGCGTCGAAATGGGAATATGTAGTGACGCGGCCTGGTGTTAGGAGTGTCTAGTTCTAGCTCTGATTTGCCGAGGTAAGAGATGGATATGTTAACTCCAATAGCTCAGAATGATTCGAAACCGTTTTATGATAGCGGTCGGTTAGGTACTCGAAGGACCCCCGAGAATATTCGGGCTCGTGCTTGCTTTGGGTGGCTCGGATATTGCCCCGAGGCGTTCAGCTGCTGGCTGTGATCGTATGATACTTGTTTGTTGGCTGCACAGGCAGAAAACAAGAAGTCCCTGAAAGCCAGTCAAAAGAAAGTAAACCAATATTGATCTGCGGTGATGAGTGCAGCCGTCCCAGGCAGTCATCAAGGCATTGGCACATTCGGGCCAGTTGCAAGCCTCCTAACCGCATGATCATCTCAAGTCGCATCACTTTCTGCACGAATCGTCTACCAACATGTAATTCTGCCCAGCAGGGCTGACACTGAAAAAGCTTTGGCCCTGAGTGATTTGATTTCCCTCCAACGCCATTTCTGCTTACCAGTGGAGCCCAACAGCTTCTTGGCAAAGGATTCCCCAGCTTCGGGATTGGTCCCGAGTTTGCGAGATGTCTTTTCACGAGATGTGGGAGTCCTAAACCAGCTTGTTTTCCTAAAGTCTCTGCCTGGCATGCGTTCTTCCGCTTGCGACAATGTCTCGCTCAGACCTTGTGGTGACGACGACAGGCGGGATGTGGGGGAACGGTTCGGGTTGTGGAAAACCCCCGGATGACGACGACAACTGCCGAAGACGTGTACAAGAGGGGCGTTATTGGCATTAGTGTCTTTGTTTTCGGGGCTAGATTCTAAGAAGGGGAATCGTGAGACTGCAAGGGCTAGATAGAGTTTCTTGGAGAGATGCGGTGAGGCCGAACGGGTGCACTTTGGGTATGTATCATGTTTTTTTGTTCGTTATCTAGACATATCTAATAATTCATTTGGGTATCGATTTACAGAGACATTGATGCCATTAACTCAGCTCTCTCGGGGGGTATCGTTGGATGGTTTCCTTGGGCTCTTAAGTTCAATAGATTTGGGTGATTTTGAATCCAGCCACGAAGACATGGCAAACAGGAAGATGGCGCTGTGAATGTTAGACAAGAAACATGAAGAATTCGTGTAGACTTACATAATTGCAGCTCGGAAAAGGGCAGTAGCCTTGATCAGTCGAATTCCGACCTTGCAGATGGGTTGGTGCACATCCAAGATCTCATCCTCGTCGCAAGAAATGTCGCTAGCCATCAACACCACGACAATGCTCGAGACGAGAGGGCTGACAAAGAGGAACCAGAACCATGCGCGGAGGAACTTTTCCTGCAGTGTGCTGGAGCGACCGTTTTCGACGGGCTCGGCGTTGAGGGCGGCTGGGGAGAGAGAGGTGTAGATGAAGACGGCGATGATGCTGAGAACCTCCAGAGTGCTGACGCCAGCGGCGAGGGTGCTGAGGAAGTCAGTAATGATTTGCGTCTCTGCGATTGATCAAACTTACAGAAACGTGGGCGCTTCAGACAAGCCAATCTTGGTAAAGGGGATCCAAGACATGAGCATGCTAGCCACCCACGGCAGAGCCAAAGCCATGGGCAGCGTCTTTTTTGTGAATTGCGTAGCGCAGCCCATCTCGTCGTCGTGTGATGCAGGAGACAAAAGTAAACCCTTTTCGAGCAGCAGAGGTGTCAAAGGGTCATTGTCTGGCGAGGGCCGCGAGTGGGCTTTTATCGGGGTGGGGAGGAGCAGCAGCCATCGCCGCGGTAGGATGCATGTCATATTATCGGCCGAGTTGACCATGACGCCGGACTAGACAAGGACGTAATAACCTTGTCAGTTGGAGTAGAAAAAAAAAGCCAATTCGTTTAACATGCAGGGGCTTGCGGCTGTGTGGAGGTGAAAGAGTCCCCAGCGGAGGCTGTAAAGTAGGAGACACTTCAAACCCAGCAGAATGGACGGGGAGAAACAGCAGATATGGGCATTTTAAAGCTCGCTATCTTGGATAAAGCAATCACAAGGGGCCCCGTAGAATGATGCGACAACTCCCACGTGCATTGGACGGCAAGCTGAGGGCCACCCGCCAAGAGCAGCCGCTAGAGAGATTGATGAGTGCCGTGGGCCACATGCAAAAGGTCTGATCGAGGATTGGACGGGGCTGAAATTATGTCCACTAGAGGAATATCTATGCATGTATCCCGTGTTTTTATCCCAACCACCCCAGTCCATAACCCCAGAGATTGTGACGGCACAAGTTGATAAGAATGAATGCGGATGATAAGAATGGTTCACTGCTCGATATGGAAGCTCGTCACAAGACACAAGATCAAGAAAAAAGAAGGCATTCCATTCCAACGAGGTTAAAAAAAACAGACAACGGAACGGGTAAGCCACCAACACCCCTTGAATTAAAACATCACCCGTGCCCACGCATACATATGCGCTCGTCGTATACATTCCAATCAACCTCTTTTTATCCCGTCATTCGGATCCTTCCACCGTTTTCGAAGCGTCGTACAATTGGTGCCGTGTGCTTACGCCACTGCACATTCCCAGCTACCTGGTCCTTGAGTTGACTTGACGTTGAGCTGATCCATCGCCCATTTTTTTCGTATCCTATCGTATTATTGACGCCTCAAGGTCGACATCGTTGAAGAATGACCTCACTCAGCTTCAGCCCGACTCGATCCTGCATCCGTAAGGGTCCCTGTCGGCGTAATCAGGCGCGCGCCTTGAGATCGTCCCCGTGCAGAAGCCAAGACGGCAGCAGAGCTTGGCAGCGAGCTGACAGTCACCACCCCGCTTGGACTGAACGAAGGAATAAAGACGCGAGCGGCGTCTTGTCGGCGTGGTAGCTTGTTACCACCGAGTTCCGGACCGGCGGCATTAGCTCAGCGGCATTTGCGTCAGGGGTTTCAGTTTACATGAGCCTCCAAAATGTCTTGATGTAAACTTGAGAGTGCATTTCGTCACAAAATGGAGAGACACATGGCCAGGTTGGTTATCTGGTTTAATACTGGCCCGTAGATAAGAGACCTCGGCATGAAGGTGTCGGTTCGGCTACCGGCCACAAATTGACTTGAAAGTGCAGGGTAGCTTACCCCACGAAATAAGCATGGGGGCAACTGAGTTAAATTATGCACTTTAATCCATTCATATAATGCATGAATAATTAGCTTATTACCAGTGCACAGCGCCTTTCATTGTGCCATCGAAGGAGATACATAATTCCTCTAAATGAGGAAGGTGTTCAACAGTCGTATTTGGGAGATTATCCTCATATTATTACTTCTTCAACATTAGGTAGGTAGTTAATCTTATCTAGTAGCACAAGTAGCCATGATTTCTTTGTTGCGATGCTCATCTCTCTGTGGAGTCTTGAGTGACACTCTTGACCCAACTGTCCCATCCTTCGTATGTCTTGAGGATGGATGTTCAGTCAAGAGGTATATTTTCCCACACAAACTGCCGTGTTGATTATATGGACCAACTGTAATTTTGTTAACTGCCAACTGGCAAAAAGTCGACAAACGCTCATCTTAGGAGCTTCAGCGCACTTTTCTCTCCTGGGTGCATGATCAAACAGTCGTTGACTATTAACTAGATGATAGTAAGGAGGTCTATAATGTCTAGACCGAGAATTTCTTTCCTTGGCTGGAATTGATGAGCTTAATGCGTATTGCTGCAGAAAGCCTTGGTTTGCTTCAAGGTTGGCTCCGGGTCAGCGCTCGAAACTCGTTTGGTTAAATATGACTTTGACAGATGACCAGAACTCGGATACATCAATCTTTGTGGTGGATGCGGTTCGTTTTCTTTAAACAAAGTTTTCCGTCAGATGAAGCACCTCTACAGCTACCAGGGTGATGGCGAACCAAGTCCGAGGGGAACCCGACACCGAGATGGGAGCCGAGATGGGGACGAAGCCAAGACCGTCATGGCATTGAGGGACGTGTCTTTCTTATACATAAGCCAGGACCGAGTAGGAATGCAGAAGAGTCTGGATCAGTGCCCTCCACTTCTCTGCCTTGTCTCTCCTCTAGCACCATCAGGTTTTTAAGTCTCGACCTCTCTATTTACATTCTTCCGCTTCTCTTATGCTCCCTTACCCCTTTCTGAACATTGTCCTCCGTTCATTTACCCAGCCCCAGTGAAGCACGATGCCAACATTGGAAACCTACAATGGCTACCACCTGTGGAACTATATCCCATCACGGCCGGCTGCTATTACATTCATCGTCGTCTTTACCATCCTGACGGTAGGCCACATATGGAGAATGCTCCGTCATAAGATGTGGTTCTGCATCCCGTTCGTGGTTGGCGGTGCCTGTAAGTGAATTCCGCCGCGGCAGCAGCAATGTCACTGATCCGGAATTAGTCGAGGTCATCGGATATGTCCTCAGAGCTCTAGCCTACGATAAGACGGGCGAACTCATCCCCTACGTCCTCCAGTCGAGCTTCCTCCTCCTCGGACCGGTCCTCTTCGCCGCTTCTCTATACATGACACTTGGCAGGGTCATCCGTGCTGTGGACGGCGAGGCACTCTCGTTGGTTCCTCTGCGCTGGCTGACACGCATCTTTGTCGCCGGGGACGTCATCAGCTTCATCGTCCAAGCGAGTGGTGCGGCAATCAAGTCACAGGTCAAAGACAACAACCCGGCCGTGGGAACAAACATTGTCGTGGGCGGTCTGGTCTTCCAGGTCATAATCTTTGGCATATTTATGGTGGTTGCCGCTGTGTTCAACAGGCGCTTCCGCAAATCGAACGGCTCGAGCCGTACTCAGGATGTCCCATGGCAGGCGGCCCTAAACATGCTGTACGCCACGTCGGCCATGATTATGGCAAGGAACATCTTCCGCGTGGTGGAATACGCCATGGGTAACGACGGGTACCTGTTGAGCGTGGAATGGTCCGTGAACGTGTTTGACGCCGGGCTCATGTCGTTGACTATGGCGTGCTTCTTTTGGTGGTACCCCAGCCAGCTCATCCCCGCGATGGGGGTGAAGAGCGAGGAAACTACATCGGCCGACATAGAGTTGCTGAGGAAATGAATAAGGTAGGGTCTCCTCTGGTGAGTCTGCGTGGATATAGGGGTAGGAGGTAGTTGTCAGATGGAGGAGAGGGGCCTTTAAAGCCTAGGACACACTGTCTTGTACGTTGGGTTGTTCTTGAGACATGCTTAATCTCTAGACATCTTGTTTTGTTATAGTGATACAGCTTTATATGCACAATGTGCCATGTTTTCTTTTCATTCGACTGTGAAGCCCCAAAATGTCTGTACCATCAACCATCATCGCCACAATCTTGACGAGCAGATTATAAAGATCCAGTAGTACGCAGTCAATATGAGAAAGCCCCATTAAGATAGAGAAGGGGGTTTCGGACCCCCCCAAGTCCTCTGGAGAAAGGTAAGGTATACCGATTGGCCTCGATCAGTGAACTAAGTGTGGAGTCTTTGACAGCCAAACAATTGAATCCACAGCCTAGGGGTGGTCAGAAACCAGGGGAGATCAGAAACCCCCTTCTCTATCTTATGTCTCTGCACTGCGTCGATCTTGAAACAATGTGTGAAGGAATCTAACGCCAGAAAGGAACGTCTAAACGGGATAATCGGGCTGTCTAGTGGCGCTACGCCCTGCTAACAGCTCGGTGTCGTCGTCGGGTTCGGATCCAGACTCCGCAATCAAACTCCGCAAGATCCGCCCTAGCTGGCCCAACATACCTAGCCCAACAACTACGTACATATAAAGAAATCCGAGAGCCCACCTCGGTGTCGCATTTCTACATGGCAACGCCATGGTCGAATCCGAGAACTTGCCAACACAGCCCCTGTCGGTGCAGACCATCCCAAGCCGACCTAGGAAGCGTATCGGATTCCGAAAGTCCCGGAACGGCTGCCTGCGATGTAAGACGAGAAAGGTCAAGGTAGGTATTCCTGATCTCTATTGGTGGAGCTTCCTGACAGAGTGTCAGTGTGACGAAAAGGTCCCTTGTACATCCTGTGTCCGACACCGAATACCTTGCAGCCTCGACGATGCGAGCCTCAAGCAGCCTGGGAATGGGCCCTCCATAAGTGACGACGCTAAGGCAAGCCACCAAGAATACCTCTAGGCTTACTCCTTGACTGACACTGTCACAGACCTGCGTGCCTTCACAATCACCCTTGGGGGATGATGGACCACTGGCCTCTACTACAGGGACTCCTCTCGTCCCATTCCCGTTTTTATCGGTGGATCCGGCTGACGCACCCGAGTGCTGGCTTTCCAATGCCGAGCTCATCTTCCATTATACCAATGTGACCTGCCGCTCCATCCTCTCGGGACACGCCATGCCGACATACCAGGTCGTTATCCCGCAGGAGGGCCTTTCTCACCCCTACCTCATGCGCATGATCATGGCCCTCTCCTCGTTCCACTTGGCGTACCTGAACAAGGACAAGCGGCCGCACTATCTAGCCCTCGCCAATAAGCAGCAGAGCCTGGCCGTTCGAGGCCTGCGAGGGACCCTTGGACAGGCCGTCACTCAGCAAAACTGCCACGCTCTCTGGGTCTCATCCATCTTCCTTGCCATCAGCAAGTTTGCATTCTCCCCGAGTTGTGACCACCGTCAGGATGGCTGCTGCTCCGCGTTGTTAAACTTGGTTGATATATTCTCCATGATCAACGGCATGATGGCAATTATGCGCTCATCGCTCCATCTTATCCAAACTGGACCGTTGAAAGCCATATTTAATAAGCGGCAGGGCTTTCGATACGCTAGAGAGAATCTCCAGGAGTTGTTGCAAAGGCTATCCGACCTCGATGGAGTACTCAAGTCTATGGAACTTGACTTGGATCCGTCTGTCCATCTAGCCCTGACTTCGGCTCTCGAGCGCCTCATCAGCTGCGTTACCGATATTATTAAGCCCCCTGACAGCGGGTCTTGCTCTATGGACATCAAGATTCTCTTTATCTGGCCGTCCGAGGTTTCCCAGGGATTTTTTGACTTGGTGAGGGCCCGCCATCCTCTGGCCGTCATCATCCTGGCGCACTACTGTTGCTTGATTCGCTGGTCTGCGTCAGCATATTGGTTTTGCCGATGTTGGGGACGCCCCCTGGCGGATTCTGTCTTGAGCATACTTGAGGACTCGGATTTGGCGCACTGGGCTGAGTGGTCGGTGAAGGTGATGAGAGAGGATGAATAGAGAACGCCTAATGAGTACTGGTACCCAGATGCAAGTACTGCTCTAGCTGACAGACCGGTATGGGAGTCTACCACAAGGGATCCCGCGGACCGGGACATCCAGAATGGAATGAACATGGGTCATCTAGAGGCTGTCAAGGATCTGCCGGCAGGGGTGCCGATATGATGCTGCTGCCGATTGCAGTGGGGAAAGGAGATCAACTAAGCCCCTGATCCAATAATAGACGGTATGACTTACTTGCTCAGCTCTAACGAAGGTTTGCCTGGCTTTGCCACAACGTTAGTTGACGCTAATGCTGCAAAATTGGATGTGGAGAGCGGACTTGAGCGGACTTGTGAGAGCATAACCTTTCTCGGCGTTAGGTTCTTGTGCTACCATGTGTTTACTATCGTGTTTGATATCGTGGTCGAGCGAGATGTCATTGGTAGTAATAAGAGATCATAGCAGGAGCTCGTATAAGTAGAAGGCTTCTACCCGCCAGAATGCCAGCCAACAATCACCACATCAATCCACCTGAATCACACCTTTTCACAATCAACTCTAACCTTTTCATCATGTCTCGCTACGCCCAAGCTCACGCTAACCCTCAGGGACCCAGCGACGCCCGTCCTACTGCCCTTCAAATCATCAAGGATGAGAACCTCACTGGCAAACTCGTCGGGAAAAGCGTCTTCATAACCGGCGCGAACCAAGGCCTCGGTCTCGAGACAGCCCGCGCTCTTCACTCGGCGGGAGCCACCGTCTACATCGGGGCTAGGAGCCATGCCAAGGGCCAGCAGGCCATCAACGACATCCAGGCGTCGAATGATAACGATGCGCCGCTTAACGTGGTTGAGATTTCTCTCGACTCACTTGACTCGGTCAGAAAGGCGGCCAAGGAGCTCCTTGCCAAGACCGACAAGCTAAACCTCTTGATCCTTAATGCGGGAATCATGTTCCCCCCGCAGGGTAAGACGGTTGATGGCTTTGAGACGCAGCTCGCCATTAACTATCTCGGCCACTTTCTCCTATTCCAGCTCCTCAAGCCTGCCCTCTTGGCCGCATCCACTCCCGAGTTCAACTCTCGAGTTATATCCCTTTCTTCAACAGGTCATCGTGCCGGAGGAATTCGCTTTGAAGATATGAACTTTGACGAGCCGGATTCTTATGACCCGATGCTCGCATATGGTCAGGCAAAGACGGCCAATATCTACCTGGCCAACGAGATCGAACGGCGCTACGGTCCCCAAGGACTGCATGCTCTTTCTTTGCACCCCGGCGTCATCAACACGAACCTCGCAAAGTACATGGATCAAGCAACCAAGGATTTTATGGGAAGCCATGCAGGCTTTCAGAAGCAGTTCAAGAGCGTCGCCCAAGGTGCTGCTACCACCGTCTACGCTGCGGTGAGCAAGGACTGGGAGGGAAAGGGTGGCAAGTACTTGTATGACTGTGCCGAGGCTGGTCCAGTACGCCCAGATTCGGATTATATGTCTGTTGACGACGGCTACGCCGCGTGGATTTACGACGAGGATAAGGCATCCAGGCTTTGGACAGAGACTATCAAGCTAGTCGGCCTCGAGGAGGATGCTTGATTATGTGCATCTTGTGGACAGCAAGTAGATGGTTAGAGTGAGATATCGAATAGACTCGAGTTCTTGAACGACGCGCACCTTGACGTCTAACTGTATTATAGCGACATGTCATTTCGCTCCCGGCTAGACGACGGTGCCTTAATGTCGTAAAACACCTTAAAGGTCCACGAACGAGGAGCCCTGGTTGAAGAAACCGTGCTCTGAATCCCGCGGCCTGGAAGCGAACCAACCCACGCTTTTATCGCTTAACGTTACCTCATCCTCGCCATGTTCGTACCGAGATCGGGTTCCCCCCAGTCCCTGTCTGATCCACACTCTACGCTCCCGTTGGCTCAGTTCCGGGCGTAATCTTATCTGATTATCGCAAATAACAAACATCCCGTGATGATTACTCAAGCGAGCGGATCGCCTTGTCCTGTTTGGGTAGGGAGTCGCGGGTTGCCAAGGGACGAGCTTCTCCTCCACCAATACAATACCGCGATGCATGGGTCGACTATTATGCAATTCATGGGGGACCGTGGCAGTGCGTGCTCGACATGTCATCCTGCAGGAGCTGCTGGCTTAAACCTTTCATCATTGTTTTGTATCAAAAATTATCGACATCATGACGCAGCTTCCTTTGGCTTTTGAGCACGCCAACGCTTACAACTCGTGTCAGTTTCTCTTCCCGACACGAAGAGGGGATTACCTTGTTCAGGTTTCTTGGCCTCTTTGCTGGAGCGAGAAGCGGATCCCACCTGAGCATGACGCTGGGAAAAGCGTCTCCACAATGTGAGCAAAAGGCCTCACTCTACTTTTGAAGATGCTAACAGATACTTAGCTACGTCGTTGATGGAAATGCCTACTTCTTTACGGCTACGGATATTGTCCGTCGTCTAGAGTTTACAAACCATACTAGGACTATCATTGTGGCTATTGGGTATCCTAACAAGACATGCGTCTTTGACAAGCGCAGAACTGGAGATCTCACCATTCCATCTTCAGCTGCAACATACGATATTCCACCTGGACCTGATGGAAAACCTAACCTGGGTCCGTTTGGAGGGGCAGACGATTTCCTAGACGTTATCCGGAGCGATATCGCGCCATATGTCGATGAGACTTTGTTCCCGGATGCGCCCGTCAACTCAGGACCAAGGGCACTCTTTGGTCATTCTTATGGTGGACTCTTTACTCTCAACGCTCTCTTCACAAAGCCCGAGGCGTTTGACACATTTATCGCTGCTAGTCCCTCCATCTGGTTCAACCATGAGTGTCTCGTCCGAGAGCAAGAAGCCCGGTTCCACGAGCGCGAACCCCCCACGGGCAAAGCCCCACGCCTCCTCGTCATGTTTGGCGGTGCCGAGCAGACCCTCATCCGCCAGCCCGGCGACTCTGACGAAACGTTCAAGCGCAAGCAAAAGTGGGCCGCGGCGAGGAGGATGAAGGACAATGCGTTGGAGTTGGCGGCGAGGATGGAGGAGTCGCCTAATGTGTGTGGGGTTTGGAGGTGGGAGTTTGAGGGGGAGGATCATGGGGGTGCTGCTCCTTGTGCGTTGCAGAGGGGGCTTGTCAGGTTTTTGTTGGATCAGAAGCTGGATTTGTAGAGTTGTGTGATACCGGTGAGAGGGAGATGGCTTCTAGACTGCTATCTGGTCTCACTGACTGATGGTTCTGCCTGTTGTAGCAGGGAAGGTCTATCTAGTACTTATGGAGAGATAGCTTGAATGAAGATGGGAAATCTGAATTCTGGATCATTTATTTACTGGCTGGCAGATGATCCAGTTGATATAGCCTGCCATAGCCGTCGGCCAAACCTCGCCTACCGGGCATGCCTGCAGGGGAATAGCGGCTGAAACTGAGGAGGAATAGAACCTGAACCTGAACCTAACCACGCCGAATCATTGTTCCTCAGTGCCTGGTATTACTTGCAGTCAAAGATGCGCGTTTGGCGGCTAATGGATCCCTTAGGATCTGGCGCTTACCAGCAAGAGCTGGTTGGAGCCATCATGCAACGCCAAGCATAGCCACAATTTCAGAGTCCAACCGGCACTGACTGTTTAGTGCCTCAAGGGGTAGCTTTCTCTGTCGCCAAGTTAATGTGATTTGAGTATGTAGAGCTGAGGGTGTATGGGGCAGGCATTGGGGCCTCTGCCTCGCCTCATCGGCGCTGTTTAAACCCAAACTCATCGATTGCGGCGATGCATGCACGATCAAATTCAGCAGACTTGCCAGAGGTTGTCCCAGACGAAAACTACGGTGGTCTGCAAGTTGATTACAATGGGATAGAGCACTATTCATCTGCTTCTCACAGCTCCGGCGCTTCTGAGCATACCAACGACTACAAAGGGTGCCATCTCGATCCCAAACCTCCTTGGTGGAGGCGCCGGAAATGGCTCCTGGTTTTTCTGGGAACTTTCGCACTTTGTGTTGTTGTGGGAACCTCGGTTGGTCTCGTGTTATCCAAGAGTCACGGTGGCGAGTTCACATAAGTCTCCGGTTCGCGTTCAGCACCGGTCTCGAAACTCACATGGCTGTCTCTAGCAAGCCGGAGCCGACTCCTGCTATCTCTTCCTCTGCTATGGCAACCTCGACATTCGCCTTCGGGGCCCCCACCGCCGTTTCCGAGTCTCTTCCGCCATCGGCATGTCTGAGCTCCATGTGTCCTCAGATGCTAAGTGCTGCTTCTTTTGGAAACCCTTCAACCACCTTTCTTTTTGGACGTGGAGCTGATCAGGCTATCTGGTACCGTCAGGCCGATGAGCAAGGATGGATAACAAGATGGACTAGCCTCGGTGGTGCCTTCATCAGCCCACCTACATCCTTGTCAATCCGCGAGGGCAGGATAGATGTCTTTGCGGTCGACCAATCCCAAGAGGTCCGGTTCAAGTCCTTTCAGGAGGGTAAATGGGTAAGTGAATGGTCGACACTCTACGGTAGCTGCTCCTCGCAGCCCTCAGCCACCACCTTCGGCGTTGATAAGCTGAGTCTCGTCTGCGTCGACGCAGACCATCGTCCGCAACTGAAATACTACAAGGGGCGTTGGGGTCCGAGCATCTCGGATTGGCAAGATCTCGGCGATTGGCTGTTCAATACACCTGCATTAGCCTCTGCGGCCCTCGACCGGGTAGATATGGTGGGATACGGCGTTGTGGAAGGGCAGATTGGGGGTGGTCAGCGGGGATCCAACTACTCGATGATCTACAAGCGGTACAACACAACGGGGTGGCTGGATTGGGAAGGGGGCTGGGGTTCCTTCAAGGGAGATCCGGGGATCGCTGCCGTAGCTAGCGATCAGATCGAGTATTTCGGCGTCGATAGGAACGGTGCAATGTGGCATAACGCTTGGCTACTAACTGAGAGGCTGGCTTCGGCTAGTGCTCGCCGTGGCACTAACTTGACTAACTTGCCCCCAGAATATACTGACCCTGAGAACTTGGGGGGTAACTTCACATCTACGCTGTTCGTATTTGCCACTAGCAAGTTGCGGCTCGACGTCCTCGCAGTGGGCACTGACGGCTGCCTCAAGCACTAGTCGAGGATCGGAAAGAGCTGGGCAGGAGACTGGGAGGATCGGGGGGGGGGGGCATTTTGAAAGTGCCCCCCTCGTTTTGACTCTCGGAAATGCCAGCAGTGTATATGTCTTTGGGCTTGGACCAAACGGCACTGTGATTCATGGCTCGTTCTCAAACGGGAAGAGTCAAGCTTGGGGACAAGGTAGCTGGTTCACTGACGAAGGGGAGATGGCATTGGGCAAGTATACACTAAGCCTAGTTTGATTGTTTCAAAGGTGCTTCGTTTCATTGACAGGAGTCACTGAGACAGATGCCATGAGATAAGGCGATGGTTTATGAAATGCTGGGATTTTCGGTTTTAATTATCCAGTTTTCTCAGTCAAGCCTAGATACATAGAATCTAGGCCGTAACAGCATAATTGAAGAATAATTCAACCTCATAGCATACCCAGAGGGCAGAGTTGAGCAGCTGGTCTGAATATGAAGGTGAGACCGGCAAAGGTTGAGATGATGTCGTGGATGAGGAAGGGTAATCCTGCTTGCGAGAGCATTGTAGAAGGAGGCCCGAATTGATAAGGCAACGAGAACATAGGATGTAGTTGCCGCTGGTTAGCCGTCTTGGCGCATTAAACATACGTCATCGCCCAAACATTCTCCGTGTCGATGTATAATGTTGAGAGAATCCCTGATTGACACGCGATTGGCTGGCGGCTGGTTCTACCAAGTGCAGAATATTAGACTTAGCTTCTATGCCAACATGACCCAGCCTCCATAGGATCGTCTCTTAACCGACTGTTTCCGTATTCTACCCAGCGACATACCCCACAAGGCTGAATCGTATATATCATGAGCTTACTATTGTTCAGGGGCCCCATGCTGAATCGCACAAGGGTCTGCCCCGGTCAGGTACCGAATATTGAAGGTGGCAAGGAACATGCAATGTATTTGCATCGTCATAAAGCTGATTATAGAATCTCTTACGCATCATCTTTGGTCCAGTGATATTGCGCTGCCGGATGATCCGCTGGAGGCCTCGCAACACCCTTCTTTCCGTACAGGTTCTCCCGATAGGTTCCCCCGTCCACAGCGTAGTCATCCCAGAAGAGACCTCGCTTCCTCAGCACAGGTAGCAAATCAGAAATGACCTCCTCAAAAGTGGCTGGAAGAAGGGCATAAGACAGGTTGAATCCATCAATGTCAGCCTCATCAACCCACCTCTCCATCTCGTCGGCAATACGCTCCGGTGTTCCCGCCACCGTGGCTCCCAATCCGCCGACCTTGATGTGGTTTGCTACCGTGTGCTTTGTCCACTTTGGAACACCCGGTAGAGACTTGGACCACGATTCGACAGCTGAGCGGATAGCATTGGATTCGACGTATCGAAGCTCTTCGTCGTCGCCGTACTTAGCGAGGTCGATACCTGTCCAACCTCCAAACAAAGCCAGAGCTCCATCTTCAGAGCCGTAGCTTACAAGCTCTTTGTATCTCGCGTCTGCTTCTTCTTGCGTCTTTCCAATGATGGGACAGAACATGGCCAAGAACTTGATAGATGCAGGATCACGGTTAAACTGCTCCTTTGCCAGGGCGCGAATCTCTGCTACGTTCTTGGCAACTACTGCAGGGCTGTGACCCGCCACAAAGATTGCCTCTGCATGCTTGGCGGCAAAGTTTTTTCCAGCTTTAGAGGTGCCTGCCTGAAGGATGAGGGGAGTGCGTTGGGGGGATGGCTGGCAGATGTGAGGGCCTGGGACGTTGTAGTACTTTCCCTCGTGGTTGATGAGACGGACGAGAGAAGGATCTGTGTAGACTCCCTTTTCGCGGTCTAGTTTGACTGCATCGTCACGCCATGAAGATTGCCTGAGAGGTCAGTTGAAGTTCAATCATGTTGGAAAACCACTTACCAGAGCTTGTATGTGACATCGACGTATTCTTCAGCAATAGCATATCTCTCATCATGGCTAGGCTGCTCTGTGTGCCCTAGGTTTCTGGCAGCAGAGTCTAGGTAGCCAGTCACAATATTCCAGCCAAGTCGTCCGCCTGTGAGATGATCCACAGTACTCAGACGGCGTGCCAGATGATACGGCTGCTCATAAGTAGTTGCAACTGTCACGCCAAAGCCAATGTTCTTTGTAGCAGCTGCCATGGCAGGTACAGTGGCCAGGGGCTCATTGACCGGCCATTGAGCGCCAGAGATGATGGCAGGGTCTGGGTTTCGAGGCCCTTTGTAGACATCATAAGATCCCTTTCATTGTCAGTTAAGTGAAGAATGAAAAGAGTTAGTTCAACTCACGAGAACGTCGGCAATAAAGATGCCGTGAAACTTTCCCTTTTCCAGCAACTGCGCGAGCTTGACCCAGTGACTAATGTTGTTAAAGTCCCAAGAGTGATCATCCGGGTGTCTCCAGAGACCAGGAGACTGATGACCACTGCAAGACTCTACAAAAGCATTGATGATGAGCTGCTTCTTGGGCTTTGCAGTCGCAGCAGGTGTTTCGGTTGACATGGTGTTGGTTGGTTGACCTCAACGTAGATGCAGAGGTTGAAAAGAGGCTGCAGGAATAACCTCATAAAGCCAAGATGGAGGTGATTCTTACAGGCATGATAAGAGCTATTATATAGGATTACGCAATTGAGGGGAAGCTCAAGTGCCGTCGGATTGTCGGGTCACCGGCTTGTGCAATACTGCTACCCCGATCGCGTGCTTGCTAGGGTGGGTCAGCTAGGTCTTGGTTATCATGGGCTGATGGTGAGGGAGAATTCTTGGACGAAATAAACTCGGGACTTTATGTCAAGAGCCCATAAACTTAGAGAGTGTATACATACATTTATATGATAGAAATAAATTGTCTTGATGGAAAGGGGTGTGGGTCGAAGCGAGTAGAATGAGTTGCATCTGTCAAGCCAACAACACCCGCCGGCATAGTAAGAGGAATGCTATGAGATACATCAAGTCCCGCAATTACTGATAAGATCTTCCCATCCTTCAAGAATACCGGGGTAACCAACCTTAACCGAGCACTGCCGAATCTACCGCTCACCATTTTAGCTCCATAAGACGTCAACTCTTCCAACACCAATCACAACATCCCTCAAGTGATAACATCAATTCGACTCTATCAAACAACCGCAGATCATACGAGTATTGCTGGAGCTGAGGTCTGCATCCCACGTGTACCTGACACCATCTGCAGATCAAGATTCGTCATGAGCGAGCTGAATACTTGCTCACCTTGAAAGTACCTTGAGAGTGCCGAGGTCGATCGGAGCCGCGTGAACCCTGCATTTACGAATAACGATATGCAGACCTCAAGAAACGCAATACCATGCACGAACAAGTTCAAGTTCAGTGGCTGATGGTTCCCCCCAACATCTATAAAGTTCCACAAGTCGAAGGTTGCGACTCGCATGGCTTTGCCCAGTTCCCTCACCGAAATACCCTCACCTAAAGACTACCCCCAAACTAATCCTACTCATGGCTACCCCTACCTTTGAGAGTACAGACCCTGCCGTCTACGCTGAGTACGAGGCTCAGTGGTCGGATCTTCCCAAGGACGCAGAGGGATGGATCAAGCGTGCCCAAGATGTTGCCGATGTGCTAGCTAAGGACGTTGTCGCCCGTGAGCAGGCCAACAAGTCCCCCAAGGCTGAAGTTTCTCTTTTGAAGCATTCTGGTCTGCTCAAGATTCTTGGTCCGGCCAAGTATGGTGGTGGTGAGCAGCCTTGGAGTGTTGGTTTCAGGGCGGTTCGTGAGGTTGCCAAGAAGGATGGGTGAGTCTGCCTTTGACTTTTGAATTAGTGTCTATACTGATATAATCATAGCTCGATTGGTATGTTGCTGGGCTATCATCTTGTCTGGGCAACTGCCGCCAACGTCGTCGGCAGCCCCGAGCAAGCCGATAGAGTGCAAAAGCTCGTCACCACCAACAACTACTTTGTTGGAGGAGCTGTCAATCCCCGTGACAGTGATCTCAAGATCACTTCTGATGGCGATAAGATCATCTTCAACGGTTTCAAGAATTTCAGCACTGGAGGCGTCATCTCAGATCTGACCGTCCTGGAAGGTGTCTACGGAGAAAAGGAAGAACACATCTTTGCTGTCGTGCCTACTCAACAGGCTGGTATCCAGTTTAAACATAACTGGGATAACATCGGTGTACGGTTGACAGAGTCTGGAAGTGTCAATATTGAGAATGTGTCGGCTCCTTGGAGTGATGCCCTTGGATGGGATGCTGAGGCCAAGAAGCCTGATCCTAACATTCTGGCCATTCCTTTTGCCAGCTTGCTTCTTCCTACGTGAGTATATATGTAACACATAGAAAGGCCCACTTACTAACTTTATTATAGTGTGCAGCTCAACTTTGCCAACCTGTACCTGGGCATCGCTGCTGGTGCACTCGAGTACGCATCTCAGTACACCCTCAAGAGCACCCGAGCGTGGCCCTACGGCGGCGACGTAAGTGCTAAAACCTCGAAATACTACTCATCACTAACAAAATCCAGAACAAGGAAAAGGCCACTGATGAATTCTACATCCTCTCCACCTACGGCAACTTCCTCGCCCACATCCGAGCAGCCGAAGCCCTAGCCGAAAAAGTAATCGCCAAAACCGACGAAATCTACGCCAAGTACTCCACCAACAGATCCCAAGTCACAGCCGAGCAGCGCGGCGAGTTTGCCGAATGGGTCGCCAGCCTCAAGGTGGTCACCACCGACACTGGTCTCAAAGTCACGGCTGGCGTGTTTGAGGTTACTGGGTCGAGGGCTACGGCTTCCAAGGCTGGGCTGGATCGGTTCTGGAGGGATCTTAGGACGCATACGTTGCATGATCCTGTTGCTTATAAGAATCGGGAGCTGGGGAGGTATCATTTGCTTGGGGAGTATCCTGAGCCTACGTGGTACACTTAGACGCTGTGTTTGCATGCACTTTACACCCCTTATTGTAGCGAATTGAAACCGTATTTTATCCAGGGTCCAATCTATATACCCCCTGCCTGTTTACCCCGATGTACTCCTGATATCTTCCTTTCTTGCTCCCCAAGACCAATCCCAGTCATGATATATGATCGACATCAACCGCCCGCAGGCAGCATGTCACCGCCCCGCAGTGACTATCATCCAAACACCCACCTTATTGAACACAGCACTGCTCTGGAGCCTGTTCGGGATTATTTGCGGCTTCCCCTTCCTTGATCAACGCTAGCTCCTGCTCCTGAGATTGGATCCTTGGTGCCAATCGCTCACGGAGCTCTGCAAACTTGCTCCTCCACCAGTATCCCATCGTCAGCCACTTTGTCACCGTCCAGTCTTCTTGATACTCGGAGAGTAATGCTTCCAGCTGCCCTTTCATGACGGGCTCGTCTGTTGCTGCCCATGCAATTGCAAGAGTCAACGGTACGTGGCTTGCTCCGAGTGGTCGGTATTGGCTGATGTTGTGTGCCATGGTGATGACCTCGCTGCAGAACAGAGCACCCTCTGAAACCAGGGATAAACTGTATGGGTCGAATGCTTGCATGAGGTGGTTGATTATAATGATGATGCAAAGCAACACCGAGTACGCCGAATAATAAGATCGTGAAAGCCGTAGCTGCATAACCGTAGGTGAGGACCTAGGAGGCAAGCTAACAGCCTGAACGATGTGCGACATCTTTTCCATGTCCAGGCGCAGTCGGTGATAGGCGCATGTTATTTCCATCCGGTGCAGCTCCGGCTGGTTTATAAAGTCTGGGATCATGCCTAGGTTGCGCATGCGGAGACTTGGTATTCCTCCAGAGTTTTCTCTGACGTTTCGTGCTTGGGCGCCTTCTGCGGTACTCGTCGGGGGGTTGGATCTTCGAAAGTTGTCGAGCATGTCCCAGAACCACTTGTCTAGTCGTACTTTTGGGTTTGTGATGCTTTCTATGATCTGTGGAATCCGTTAGCGAGGCGATGTAAATAGGGGGACTGAGACTCACCACTGGCACACAAAATGTGAGGACCATCTCCGTTTCGAAACCGGCTTTCCAATTCTCTTGAGCTGCTGCCCGAAGTAGATATGCCAAGCCTTCTCCATGGCTCGTGTGTTGATCATCTTCTCTGCCGAGCCAGCCCTGAGACGCGTTAGCCAAGAAACCATAGGGCTGAAGGGACACCCACCTGACAGATCATGATTAGGTAGACGGCGCACATAGTCTCTGGGGTCCGGGCCTTGCGGGGATCGCTAAGGACCACCCGCAGGGACTTGAGTGCGCGTACATACTTTGTAAGGGCGTCTACCGACTGGTGGCCCTGTGGTCTGTGGAGGGTGGAAAACGTCGTGGCCAAGGCATCTGCAGACGTGTCCAGGGCCTCGTTACGACCAAGTCGAGCGGGGATGTGACGTAGAAAGTCTCCGTAGCAGGTAATGTCGTACCGCAGGTCGGTGATCTCCAGGCGTGATATCAAAGTGTTGGTAATGGTGTTTGTCGGGCTGCTGGGCACCCGCACCAAAGCCTGGAAGCTCAAAGGGGACGAAGAACTCTGGGAGCTGCTACTGGACGTATCCTCATCCGTGTCGACGATCTGTGGGCTTCCGCTGTCTGAGCCGATCTCCAACGTTTGGACCTTGAACTTGTATCGTTGCTTGCCTGAGCCGATGCAGGGGATGTTGAGCCTCGCGCATCTCGCACATGCAGGCTTTGCCTGGTCGCACTATAGATCAACAAGTTAGAAAGAATCAAATCGTCATGAATTTCACTCTGCTTGGATGACGAAACAAACCTTTTTCTTCTGCTTCCTGCAGGCATCGCAGCCCTTGCCAGACGGAACACCCGGCATTGTCTGGGCGCTCGGTATTACCCAAAGAAGAAGCGAGTGATCTTCCGTGGAGGCGTAAAAGAGATACAAGTAATGACTTTGTCTCTTGGAGGGAAGGGAAGAGCGGAGTGTCTGAAGGGATATGCCGCTTTTTTGGGCGTGACTTTTTGAAGCCCCGCTCCCTCCACGTCGTGAGAGGCTATCCGCGACAAGGGTTCGTCCCAACCAAACTTCTCAGGTGTGCCTTGGCAGATGAGCGATGGATCTGACAGAGTGGGAATGTGATTGGACGGCGCCTGGTTCCTCCAAGTTTGGAATAGTGCTGTATGTGGTCGCAAGATGAGAAGAGAGATGTGGGAAATGGACGCACTTTTGAATGCCGCTGACTGTCCCCCCAAATGCCCATTCTGTTTCGTGGGCATTGCTCCATGGGTTTAAAGCATGCTGACATGTGCCGTAGCGAATCAGCGACCTTTCGTACTCCGTATAAAGGTCGAGCTGCCTGATTGAGCATGGCACAGCACACCATGAATTGTTCCGTTGATCGTCGAGGCCCACGTAATCGCCACTCGCTCAGCCTTGTGCGACGGGTCGGGTCGCCACTAAACAGGGGGGCAGTGCTGGCGCATCGTTTGGTGCGAATTGAGGATGATCGCCGTCAGGGTCAGCCTTATCGTTTTGGGGATGCCACGAATAGCATCTTGTAGATGGGGGTTTATGAAGAGTATATAACTATCTGAGAGTCTCGGCTTTGTTCGTATTGCTTTTGGTAGACATTGCGTTAAAGAAACAACTTCAACGACAACCAACCATTCACTCACACTCATCACAATCATGAGAGACCTCCTCAATAAGTTCCTGTACGGCTCTTCAGTCTCGGAAGCTGCCAATGATGGATCTCGTACACTCTCAATTCGACCTTCTCCTGAGGACAGCAATGTCTTTTTGATCATCCCAGAGGGAGCACCCAAAGAAGCACCTCCTCTATACACAATCTCCAAGCGCGACGACAAGCCCAACTTTGTCGCCTACCGAGGTCCCCCAGTCCCCGAAAACATCATCGGCACGGCAACTATACACTTTACAACCACAACGATTGACCTGTCGGTCTTTAACCAGCACATGGTGGTCAAGAACAGCCTATCGGGGAATTGGACATTTGAGACACCCCACATGGGCAAGTTCAAATGGAAGGTGAACCAAATGACGGGTAGTTCGTATGAGCTCTACGACCGAGCGGAACGTAAGCTTGCCAAGCACGGAAGCGCGGGCATTACAAGACCAATGGACAAGCAGATCTCGGTATTTGTACCGTGCGACGATTTCTTCACCGTCACAATTGTCCTATCGATAATGGCATGCAAGGAGCTGGATAAGATTAACGAAAAGGTGGCACGGAAGCTGATCAACGGGCTTGTGGGCATGTGATATGCACTTTATTGGGAGCGTCGGCGCAAGGAGTTGAAGGGTTTGAGTTTTTAGAATGCTCACGTCAGATTAGAATGCACTTTGGGTTTTAAATATGCACAGTGAATGATGATCTACAGTTGTGCCGAGGAATTGCGGTCAAGTTGTTGGGTAATGATTCAGAAGCAGTGTAACGTCAAGACAGATATCACAGTCAGCGACAGGCAAATGGTAGCACATCAGGAATAAAGAAGGCGTGCACGTGTATTAATTGGTCATCCGATGTTTATTTATCACTTAAAACACCTAACTGATGCTTAAATTTTCCCTCCAACTCCAGACGCCACCTCAAGACCCGAAACAGGGTCTCGGACAAGATCCACCTCTCACTCAGACGTCCACGACAATCTGGCCATCAAGGCACTTTGTGCCCTTGGGTACAGCTTGAGGCAGGGCCCAGCCGCGGTTACAAAGACCGAAAAAGGTCGGCGACATGCACACGAGCTGTCCAGGCACGGGGCAAGGCTCCATGCCAACGGCCCACCAAGGGCGGTTGCTGTCGTCGCTGGATGGGGCTGGGGCTGGGGCAGCAGCCTGGCTAGAAGGAGCCGGCTTGTTGACAGAAGAAGCGGCAGGAGCTGATTCACCGGCAGAGGGTGCAGCAGGTTGCTGAGTAGGAGCTCCGGCTGCGCTGGTCGCCCCGGTGGGGGCAGTGATAAAGACAACATCACCGCCCTCACTGGGCTTCGCGGGCGCAGGGACGCTGAGTTGAACGGGTGCTTGACTGGGCTGCTGGGGCGCTGGAGCACTTGGCTGTTGAGGTGAGGGAACGCTGGGCTGAGCTGCGACTGACGATGCAGGCTTCGAAGGAGTCCCAGGCTTGGGTGCAGCGGCTCCGCCAGCAGGTTCCTTGAAGTTGGGCTCGGCGGCGGCAGGACACTTGCTAGATTCATCGTGGCCCGCAGGTTCAAAAACCTTGCCAAAGTCACCAGGCTCAGGGAATCCGAGAACTCCCTGGCCAGTGGTGCATTGTCCCGGAATATTAGCGACAAAGGGAGGAGGCAGAGTGTCGACGAATGAACTGTCGTCTTTTCCTCCCACAACCTCAATAGGAGCGCAGACCATGTACATCTCCCGGTTTCCAAGCTTGTTGAACCAAGTCCAGGCGAATACGGCAGGGCCGTTCTGCATGTCCTTGGGGATTGGGATGTCGAATTCGCGGATACACTCCTTGCCGCTGTCGTTGCCGCACTCGGGGCCGTGTTCACGACCTTGGGGGTCCTTGGCGATGCTGGGGATGTTGCCTTGGGCTTCGGCTGGACATCCGCCGATGATGGAGTAAATGGTTCGCCATCCTTCAACGTCCTTGGAGGGTTCCTTGCCATGGGAGATGCTGAACTGGCATGATCCGCCGGCGTGAACGGCGCTGCCCCAGAACTTGACCTTTTGGGTGGTTCCGGCAGTCACCTTTGTCACCTCCTCAGCGTGCTCGGTGCGGCCTTGACAAGGGAAGGGGGCGTTGGGGCCGAGAGGATCGACCTGCACAAAGGGCGCAGTGTCGAGGTTGAAGGGGTGAGGCTCTACCATGATGACGTGGGCCCAAGCGCCGGAGATGGCGAGGGCCGAGAGTGTGATGAGGGATCGCATTATTGTTGTGCGTCGGGGTGATGATGAGTATGGTGTTGTGTTCTCGATGCGATGGTTCGTGGTGTTGATGGATGATGGAGAAGACATGAAGAGAGGAAGGCGATCAAATTAATACCTTCTGTGAATTCATCTATTCAGGTTAAGTGAAGTTGTAATGATATGTTCATTGATGGTTATACTTCCCGTTCAGTCACTCTGGTGAACAATAGCATTGTCGCACTGATGCCTTGATGCGGGTGCTCAAAGAATGGCGCATTCACCATTCATGTTCTATTCACACTTCCTGTTTGGGTAGTCATTCATTGTTCATTGACCAACTTACCAAAAAGGCGAAAGCGAACAGGCAGTCGTCGAGGCCTGGCTGTGCAGTGTTCGGTACACTCGTTTGCGGTTCATGATGCGACCGTGGTGGAACAAAGGCGATGGACGTAACACGGTCGCATGTGGGCATATCGTGGGCAGAGATGTCACTGTCCGCAACAAAATAATTAGACGAATGTCGCATGACAAGAAAACACGCATTTTTATCCCTTGAACGCCGAATCCCTTGGTCATACAGTATCGTCATACAAGTACAAGATGCGAAAGCAGAAAGACAACGACCGAGAAGGAAACAGCGAAGACAGAAACGCGAAGAGAATGACGAAGGAGATGAGAAAGGAAAACAGAATTAAAACACGGCGATAGAGAAAAATGAGAATAGAGAAAAGAAAGTGAGAACGAAAAAAGAGAGACGACAAGAGAACAGAACGTAAAGAAAACCAGCGCGGAAATACGATCGCCACGTGAAATGGACGAAACAGTGAATCGCCAAGGGGCGTCTGGATCAAACCGAAACCGAAGGGCGAAAGGAGGAACATGTCGAAGTGCGAGCAACAGACTTGACGAGCTGGGCGAAGAAGGCGCGATAAGTTGGCTGACTTTCTGGTCATAACAGAAACGCTCGCGAGATAACCTCCGGCTGATCAATGTGTATGCAAGTCATTGAGCCAACCAGTATGTCATAAACGACAACGAGACGAATGTGCGCAGGATTGAGCAAGATTGTGTAGCAAGACGAGGCGACCGAGTGCTGGAGACGATGAAGGACTGAAGTGGGACGAACATACTGGATCGTTGATGAGCAGCATGCCAACGTTCCCGAGGCTGGCTATCGCCATGTGTGCTTATCGTCGAGAATTGTTCGAAATGAGCGTCGTTCTCACGGTGTCTGGTGCCCCAAGTCCTCGCTCGGGCAGAGGACGAGGGTCTCATCGACACCTAGACTAAACGAGTAAACCTCTTCGTCGGACGGCGGGCGTGACTTGGTCTTATTGCGACCGCAGCCGGTGAACGGAACAGAGGAGTATGCCGAGACGAGCGACATGCTGTCCAGACTGGCTCCTCCGGTGCCCTGCATTAGGTTGATATCTTCAACAACGTCCTCCCAGCTCGGGTCGAGATCATCCAGGCTACAGTACGCGATAGTCAGTTGTTTCAGGGTGTTCGCATGTCGACGAACGAATTGCCGGATCTCTGTTCTAGAGACTAGGCCGCAAAAGAACGAAGCACGCTTGAGTTGTTTAAAGACAACTCCGTCCGGGACTGCTCCGATGACTCCAAGATTGTGGCCCTCAATCGAAAGCTCAGTCAGTCCAGGCATAGAAGCCAGAACGCTGCCCACCAGGCCATGGTCAAGAATAGCTTGCCCAGCACTACCGTCGCGACCATTGGAGAGGACCAAGTCGAACTTTGAGATGTTGGCTGCGGAGAAACCCGCTGCCAGTCTTGAAGCAAACGGAGGGCTCACAAAATCGAACAGGCGCATGGACAATCCGGGTTGCTGCACGTCGGATATTGTGTCCAGAGACGCATCCACGCGAAACGAAGTGAGACGGGATTGGACTGCGCGGTTGGACAGGACATCGATGACGACTTGTAGGCCACGACTTTCTCGGCGTAATGCTCGGGCTCCAATAAGAGGGATGGCTGGATGGTGGGGGACTGGGTGGTTCTCGAGGGTATCGGGGGTCTGTATCATTGAGTTAATAGTCATTCTCTGTCGGCTAGATGGTTTCACGACTTACAGGGGCCTGGCCCTGGGCGTCACTACCGGCATCTGAGTGCGCGACATCGTTATCCTATGTCTCCGGGTCAGCAATCGTCCATTGGTCAGGGAATCGGATGCTGGCTCACAGCTTCGTTATCATCCTGTATCATCGAGTCAGCCATGGCAAGTCAAAGGTTAGACCCTGTTACGGCTTACGAGTTCCTCGACTTGGTGATGCTCGTTCATCGATATGTGCCCCTCAAAGCCATCGACCAGCCAGTCTGCGTGAAATGCCTCGTCGCCCTCAAACTCGTCGTCCTGGAGGGGGGCCCACCAGTCCACGCGAGGGGGAAAGGGCGGTCGTTCCCGGCGAGCCTCCCCCAGCTCGCGCCACATTTTGACAACGGCACTCGAATTGTATCTGCTTTGCGCTCCCTCGAGGGGAGTGTCGTCAGCAGTTCGGTTGCTCAGGACCAAACTCTGAAGTGAGAGCATCTTTGGGAGGGTACGGCGAAGAATAGCCACATCGGCGTTCATCGCTCGGTTTCTGTGATGATTTTCGTAGACGCGCTTCAGAAGGTTGTGAAATTCGTTGTCAGCGACGGGGGACCAAGCCCGACCGTCCTGATCCCAGGGCTGGCTGTCATGGTCTGGGAAGTATGGTAGCTTGCGGTTCTTCCAAAGTTCTTGGTGACTTGTCATCAGTTGGTAGAATCTTCGATCAAGCAGGGTGTTCGACACGGTCGTGTCATCAATCACTAACTCCTTGACTGTAGAGATCAGGAGCGCGTTGTCTGCAACAAGCTCGAAGAGATACAGATCGGGGTCGTGGCAGCTCAAATAGAGCGTATGGAAGAGGTGGCGGGACGAAACCAGGGAGAGCCTCTTGCACATTACACGGATCGTCTTTATCTCCTTTCGGTCGAGGAGGGCAATAATGCCATCCAGGAGCTCGTTGGGGAGATCCGGCAACAAAAGCGGCATCGTGATTGCAAGGGAGGTGGGAGGGGGGGGTAGGCGTCGGGCTATGCTCGTCAAATAATGACTATACAGTTGGTGGATTTGGCGATGTCCGATCAGAGTTGGGTGTGATGAAAGTTGCGAGTAGAAAGTGGGAGCAAATTCGGCTTGAAATACCTGGAGTGTGGGTCGCGTTTGCGTGCAGCGACTGCACTGCGTATTGACACTGGCAACCGATTGTCGCCAGTTTCCCCCAGTGTAAACGACCAAATCGGGTATTATATGACGTGAACGAACGCGTCTATTGATGCCATGAGCACATGTAATCGTAGTGTGAACGCCCATTGTCCCCGAACATGCCTCCTCAGACGGCACGCACCACACCATGACACCAATTGCCAAACGAGGTCGTTGCAATACACCAACTTTTCATTAAGATGCCGCGTTGGGCAGGGTAAACGACATGAGATTGAGCCTATTTGCCCTGTTCTCTGTACCGTACATGTATGTATAGATAAGCAAGTTCAAGAAAATGTCACCTCCAGAGCTACCAGTCTAGCTATCCTCGGTCCGTCCCCTCCAAGGGTATTTCCATGCAGTGCTCTCGGGGGTATACGTTAATCAATGAGTGAAGTGAGTAGGTGAATGGCTTAGCCCTGGTAGCCCCAGCGGGGAGCGTTGATGATGATGCCGCAGATGCAGCCAGAGATGATACCGGCGACGGGGAGAGTGATGATCCAGCCCATGTAGATCCAAGCGACCATGCGCCAGTTGATGGAGCGCCAAGTACCAGAGCAAAGACCAACGCCGACGGTGGCACCGGTGATACACTGGGTGGTGGAAACGGGAAGCTCTGTTGATGGTCAGTGATGCACCACATAACACAGTCAATGGCACTTACTAAGACGGGTGGCCAGGATAATGGTAACAGCGGCACCCAACTCCATGGAGAAACCACGAGCAGGCGAGTGAAGAGTCAGACGGTTACCCAGGTTGCGCATGATGTTGTAACCATAGGTCCAGATACCAAGGGCAATACCAGCACCACCGAAGCAGCTGTTCATCAGGTTAGCCTCGAGCCAAGTGAATGCGTCAATCAGTCAACTTACAGAATCCAAACGGGGACGTCAGACTTGCTGCTCGTGATGGCACCACTCTGCCAGACCTGATAGATGGTGGCATAAGGGCCGATGGCGTTGGCAACATCGTTGGCACCGTGAGTGAAAGAGGCGGTACAGGCGGTCATGACCTGCATAAAGGTGTAGAGATACTCAGCGCGGTTGTCGTAGTGGGGGACGTTGGCGTGGATCTCGTCGAGGTCGCCCGTCAGGATGCTCTTCTTCTTCTGCATGTTGATGATGTCCTGGTCAACACCCTGGAGGAACACGAACTTGAGGTACCAGAAGAGCACGGCGCCAGAGTACCAAGGACCATCAGGCTTGGGACCAACGATGCTACGCTTCTCCTTGACCTGAACGGGTTCGGCGACGGCCTCGGGAGCGTCCTCAGAGACCTTCTTGCCCTCGTTGCTGTTCTGCTCCTGGGCACGCACAAACTCGTCGCTGTTCTCACGGCCGGCACGTCGGAGATCCTCAAGCTCCTCGCGGGTAAGGTGACCCTCGTAGAAATCCTTGATACCTCCCTCGGCACCCTCGGGCTGAGCAGGGGGGTCGGGGCGCTTGAGCAGGAGAGGACCCATGGGGATGTGCCACCAGCGGAGCTGCCAATCGTCAACGATGACGATACGGTAGAGCCAAGGCAGGAGGAAGATGGCAACGATCAGAGCCCAGGCGGCACCGACACCGATGATCAGACCAGCAGTCTCGGCATCGTTGAAGGTAACCTTGATGGAACCACCCTTCCACACGATGAGCATGGTAAGAAGGGAGGCAGTGATACCGAAGTAGACGGGAGTGAGGAAGAGACCCTTCCAGACGGGCTTGCTTCGAAGCATGACTCCGTACTTGGTGATCATGAAGATAATGGCACCAAAGGCACCAGCCAGGCCGGGGGCGATGATCCAGGCGAGGAAGACAGACACGACACCAGAGCTAATGCCCTTATCGAACTCGGCCCAGTGAATACCGTCAGCGCCGACGAGAGCAATACCCATGCCAATGACACCGCCCATGATAGAGTGAGTAGTCGAGACGGGAAGACCAATGCGAGTACAGAAGGTGAGGTAGATGGACGAGGCGACAATGGCGCACATCATGCCGAGCATGAGGAGGGCGGGATCATCCTCGAACTGGTCAATGTCGACGACCTTTGTTCGGATGGTATCAGCGACTCGGGCGCCAACACCGACGGATCCTGCGAATTCGAGGATGGATCCTAGGGTCATGGCCTGGAGGTAGGTGATGGATCGGGACGAGACCGATGTGGCCCACGAATTGGCGACATCGTTGGCACCTAGAGTGTGTTAGTTGGGATTGCTGGAAGGCTGATGGAAGCTTCAAGGAAGCAAGCCGGGAATAAAGGGCCGACGTACCAATGTTCCACGCGTCGAGGAACGAAAAGATGGTGCCTATGGCAAAGATGTAGTCGAACTGGTGAAGCACCATTGCGACGGTGGCCGATCACTCGGACTTTTCAATCCCAACAATTAAAAAATTGAAGAGCCTTTTGTATGAACAAAGGCTTCTAGAAGAAAGACTGTTGAAGAGAAGAGTGGTTGATGGTTGCTTGCAGAAAGATTCCAGACATGATGACAGCAGGTCCTTATATCGACGGGGGACGACAGGAGAGCACCTCATGGGGTGCAGTGCACAGTCTTGGCAAACAAGCTTATTATTATGCTTCTGGGGCCACTGGCAGGTAGCATGCTCCCGTTGGTCGAGGTGTGTGAGCCTAGTCGTAGAGCTCGGTGAACCCATTCGGACGACATTTCCAGGCTGAGGATGCATCTCCAGCCTTGGCGGATCTTTGTGAGAAGAGACTTGACGGATTCTCAGCCTTGGCACGCGACAGGGTGCGAGAATGGAGGGACTTGGCACGCGACGAGGTGGTATTCTCGTGCTCGTGTCCTGGATGCCCGTTGGATGGCTGAGAGGGAGTCCACCCCGGCAGTCCATCCTGAGGATCAGATTCTGCCTCCTCACAGATACGCAGACTTCGCCCTTGACGAGTACCCCTCCGCAAATCACCAACGAGTATTGAGCAAAGGACGTAGGATCGACGACAGCCCACAGAGTTGCCTTGAAGCACACGACTGTCCTGCGCCCTGCTGCATTCGCGGGATGCGTCCAAGACGGGTGAGGCGACAAGGGAGGTGCGGATATGGCGTTTTCTGATGTGACTCGACACGCAGAAAAGCCAAGACTGTCTCAACAAAGGACTCTGGATCAAGAAAACGGAACCCGAGTCTTTTCGCGATAGTGGATGAACAGACGCAGGGTCCCTTATCCTAGCTTAATTATCCGCGTTGCGATAGCGTCTACGAAACGAACGACGCACTGACGGATGGCATCAGACATGGAGACGTTTAACCGTAAAAATTGGGGACTTGTCGGGTCTGACCTGAAGGCCTGGGAGACGAGTGTCTGAGCAGAGGAGGGGGAAACAGTGAAAGGGTCAAGGCAGATGGCACGTTTTCGCACAGGGCACCTCACAGTTGAAGCGAACCAGGGCGAATCGATCCTTCAGGGGACATGATAATCTCACAGGGGTCATTAAACCGCTGAGGAACAAGAGACAACCCACGTGCATCAGTTATCGTCGTTGAATGAAAGAGATCGGGAGAGGCTCTGCGGTGTGGGCCAATGAGATCTGGAATCACTCCACGTGTACGGGGCGGTTCGCTCTGAGCCCACAACACTCCAGATTTGCCAAGCCTGGAGATCGAGCAGGGGTTTTGGAGAGTCTGTTAGGACTACGGGTGTACTTTTGCTTTCATGTGCTACCACTCTGCTGTTGATACCTACGGGTGTAATTGGCTTCTGGAAGATGAGAGGGATCATGCTAGAGAAAAGAGTCAACGGTCTTTTCTCTTTTAATCCAACGTCCGCTCTTCGACTCGAGCTTTCACAGGCTCATATCCAAATCGCTTGCCATGCTCCACGTTTCTCAGAGAGAAATCCCACTCTTCCTCCCCTCCTCCAACAACGCCAAGAAATCCGCCCCTCGTCGCAGCGTCCCGACACGCTGCAACCCCTTCAGAGCTTCAACCACCCACAAGCTCTTCCCGGCGGCACGTTGACACTCTGGTTCGCCAGCTTTGCCGCGCCAAGAATCCCGCGCCAAGGTGCGCCCACTGCGTATGGGGACACCGAGGAGTGATTACCTGTCGGCCCATCTTGCATGTGCCGCGTATCAAGCTTCCTCGTCTGAGTTCAACTATCGTCTTGGCCTTGATGATTCTAGAAAGAGTGCCCGTCTTGGGTTTATGGATCCTGGGCTGAGCCACGGTCGTCATCGCCGAGATGGGGACTACTCGAATTGGTTCTCATCCGCGTGAGGATCAACAAGACCCAATATCCCAAGCTAGAAGAACCTTCCAGACCAGAAATTAGTACACATCTTCTCCCGGATGTCTAGACCATCAAGATAGTCCCTCATACAACCGTCGATCCCACGCCTCAGTGGCGTTTTACAGCGACAACGTGATGTGTTGACCTTGAAGCTCGTCCTCCCACTGCAGAAGCCAAGACAGCCTCAGATAACCTACGCTGTAGCCCACGCCAAGTTTGTGACCGAGGCTCCTCTTGGCGATGCGCACACTTCAGGCCCTTCAGGTAAGAAAGGTCCAATGGTGGGATGAACGCGTCGTCTGCCAAGCTGCCGGCTTCACCTTGGCTGGGATACCGAGATCTCGAAGGGCATGGGGCGTGGCTTACGAGGGGGCGTCTGGGGCATCCTAATTTTTTGCATTAGCTTACGAACCATTGGGATGCTTTCCAATAGAGCAGGAGCTGATTCTGCTCGCCTTGACAGCTTTGTTCCGTTGTCGTGCGGCATATGTCGTCCAACATGTCGTATGCTGTGGCCAGAGACACTCGGGACGCTACGACGTCCTAGCGACAATCTTGTCCTCTTATCGTTTAAGCTTAATTGGGTTTGACTTTTCGTGCGTTAGGTCGTGTACCCATTTCCGTCATCCACTTGACCAGCCTGCCTGTTAAGCTGGTGAATAACCCGTTCCAAGTCGGATTTGTCTCACTAGGATAATCACTTCTTGGCCTCAGATCCGCTTCTACTGGGATCATCAACTCTTGGCTTTCACAGTCAGTATTGATAGATCGGCTTCTCCGGGCGGTTGTGGTCCATTCGAGGCACCCATGTGAAGAGCGCTGTCTACTCGCCTTCCCTTTTGGAACAGGACCTTGTCATCGGCGATGAGCCGATTTGGCCAGCTCATTGGGCCGTTGCTCATTTGGGAGATCCCGGTGTATGGGTAGTCTAGTTGGCTTAGCTGTTCCGAAATTTTCGAGTGCTTGTGGGGTTGTGTCAGCTCGTTTGCCTCCATCATCACGAAGAGTCTTGCCCAACTCTTCCTTTTCTCGACCTTTTCATTGCCACATATCACATTAATGTATAAATGATTGGGTTTATGGGGTAAAATTAACATGTAATAAGAATCGAGGCGGAATCGTGAAATTTCACAAGCTGTGACTGAGTGAAGGTGACGGGTCTCATCAGGCTCGGACACCAACACCCATTTACCCTGGATTTGGATTGCCACTCATCTCGCAACACTACAATGCTCGAGGTCCTCCTCGCGGGTCCTGTTTCCGGGCCCATCCTCTGAGCCTGGTATCATGCAATCCACTGTTGATGAACATCAGCATCCTGACACTCGAGCTTGGCTTCCAGGGACTGGGTTACTATCGGAATCTCTCGACATTTGTCAACTTCTAAAAAAAACATGCAATGGGCTATATGAGCTTTCCAAGAAATAGCACATGCAGCCCAAGGTGCACACATCAAAACATGGTGATTTGCAACCTGGACTTCAAGGTAGCTGAGATTTTGGCCAGTCACATATCCGAGGCCCAGCTGAAAGTTGCCTGTGGGAAAGAAGACCCGCTGGGTCATTTCTTAGCTCCCAAAATAGCTCTGGGTCTTTTGTGATTTTGTGATTTTACGGTTCCTGCGAAAAGATCTTGCATCACTAGTTATCCTGCACAAATTCTCATGATTATTTCACAAGTTTCTCAAAGGGCAACATATGAGTGAAAGAGTAAGCTTTAAAGCAGAATTTGGTCTTGATATAGTCTCTTCTCATTACTTACTCAAGCCTTGTCCTTGGGTGCTCAGTGAATCTTATCAAGTAGGTCAACACACAGCTCAGTTGTGCCTCTGCCCTACGCCGGCGGCACCCAAAAGATGTCTGGGATAATCGCCTTTCCAGTTCCCGGAAACAATTTCCTAATGAATCTGATTTCTTTATCTCAAATAGTGAATTAAAACTTGAGTGTCTTTGTTTGACAAGACTTGACCCCATCTGGGCTGAGTAATTCTCGTACCTCGGGTCATCATGCCCGACTGATTACGTGCTGATAAATCACGACACTTAATAATTCGTAGAATCAAGGCAGCATCACGACATCCTCAGTGCTTGGATTTAGTATAAATAGAGTATCCCCAGTGTCTTGGATTTGACACTCACTCATTTATCGGAGCCCGAGCAAGCATCCTTTTTTATTTTTAACCTTTGGAAGATTAAACTCGAGATCTACAATGGCGCAGACTCAGTTTGCAGTGGTAGACGTCTTTTCAAAGACGCCCTACAAGGGCAACCCTCTAGCCGTCGTCAACGACTTGAAGGGAGAGCTCAGCGATACTGAGATGAAGTTGATCACGCGCCAGTTCAACCTCTCGGAAACCACCTTTTTTCTACGCCCATCTCTCCCAGGAGCCCACTACAAGCTCCGTTCGTTTCTCCCAGATGGAAGAGAAGTCTTTGGAGTTGGTCATAATATCCTGGGAGCTTGGTGGTATCTTGCACATGCTGGACTATTGGACCTTTCGAACTCTGGGATCAGCAAGGGAGAAGGCGTCGAGGAGTTTACCTTTTACCAAGAACTGGGAGGATCTGTGACGCCGGTCAAGATTCTCAAGAGTCAGTTGTCTTCAGATGAGCTGGCCGAGTTCTCTGTTTCCATTACGCAGGCGACGCCAAAGGCTCATGGACGACACCCAAGCCCGTCCCAGCTTGCTGAAACTATCGGCCTGAGATCTGAAGATATTGGACTGACGTCCAAACAAGACTTCATCCCCCGGGTGATGTCAACATCGACAACTCATCATCTCCTCGTTCCTGTCGCGTCCACTGCAGCTCTCGAGCGTGCATCAGTGCAGAGAGAAAAGCTCCTCGAGCAGCTCCAACTCGCAGACGAACGCGCTTATGGGCTGTATCTATTTGCAAAGGATGACCGCGAGGGTGTATCCGCAAACACTTATCAAGCGAGATTCTTCAGCCCCGGCATGTCAACTGAGGATCCAGCCACTGGAAGTGCTGCAGGACCTTTGTCAGAGTTTCTGCATGATGAGGGTCTTCTTGATTTGGTTGATAACAAAGCGAGCATTGAAGTCTGGCAGGGTCTTCAAGTTGGGAGGGAGTGCCTCATCAAGGTGAATCTGGCTGTTGATGGGAATACGCCGGTTGTGGATGTTTCTGGCAGTGGTGTATTGTTCTCGGAGGGCAGATTGGCTGCCCAGGGAAGTCAGGCTGGTTTGTGATAGATAATGTTTGTTAATTGGCGGTTTGCCATGTCATATTTTCACTAGGATACCGTACCTCTTGAATGAGCAACTTGCCCAACCCGTTGCACGGTTCTCGGCATCATTGGCATCCTCTGTGACGTCATTGGAGAGCTCCTCCCTCCGGGCTCGGTCAGACGTCGATGAGCTCCCGGTTTCACATATCACCGTACCTATTCAAGCTAATGAGCTGCGGGATTATGCTACTTATAAGCCGTGATTGAATAAAATTGCCATTATTAATCCTAATTCCCCCGCGGGATTTGGGGTCTTTAGCTTGTCCTCCCGCGGGATCACGAATCGCGACCCTCAACTCCAACGCTAAGCATCACCAAATTTCACCCCCCAATTGCCCCCACGGCGGGGTAAGCTGCTCCTCCGGCGTCGGGACCTGACAAAATCTACAAGCCCATTGGTCTTTTGGCTCACGGCTTTCTTTCCGATCCCATTGAATCCCCCCATGATGCGCCCGTTGTTGCGAATCGGTACATATACTGCCTGCACCCGGTTGTCCTGGGCCTCGAGAAACACAAGATCTTTTGCGACCACTTCTCGACTCAATCAATTGCCCGCCATGAAGCTGCTTTACCCTACTTCGCTCAAGCTCGACGTCCCGAGCCTCGAGGGCTTCTCGGTCGAGCTCAAGCCCTACGACGTCAAGAAGCCCATCCCTGAGGACCTCATCGACGCAGAGGCCCTCGTCACCTGGACAAACAGCGCCGAGAACCTCAAGGATGCGGCTGCGCGGATGAAGAACCTCCGTTGGATCCAGTCTCTCGCCGCAGGTCCCAACGACGTCCTCAGCGCCGGCTTCGACACTTCCAAGATCACCGTCACCACCGGCTCGGGCCTGCACGACCGCACCGTCGCCGAGCACGCCCTCGGCCTCCTCCTCAACGCGGCGCGCCGGTTCTACGAGATGCGCGATTATCAGCTCCAGGGCAAGTGGCCTGGCCACCTCGGCGGCCCACAGCCCGACCGACCTGCAGGAGCCTTTACCACACTGCGTGACGCTCGCGTGCTCATCTGGGGATTTGGCAACATTGCAAAGACGCTCACCCCGCACCTCCTCGGTCTCGGGGCCGAGGTTCGGGGCATCGCCCGCCGAAGGGGTGTCCGTGACGGCATCGAGGTGTACGGCGAGGACAGCCTGGCGGAGCTCCTCCCCGAGACGGATGCCCTGGTCATGATCCTCCCCGGGTCCGACTCCACCCGCCACGCGCTCAACGCCGAGCGCCTCAAGCTTCTGCCCAAGCACGCGTGGGTCGTCAACGTCGGACGAGGTACTTCAATTGATGAGGATGCTCTGGTGGATGCTCTTGAGAAGGGAGAGATTGGAGGAGCTGCTCTTGATGTTTTTGAGACGGAGCCTCTCCCCGAGCCGAGCAAGCTCTGGAAGGCGCCTAATGTTATTGTGTCGCCACACGCTGCCGGTGGAAGGCCACAGGGCTCCGAGGGCTTGATTGCCGACAACCTGAGACGGCTCCGAGCTGGACAGGAGTTGAAGAACATTATTTAGAATGCACAATTAGAGCGACAAAAAAATGAAGAAATGAACAGATCCATCAACACACAAGGCAACCTTGTCTCGCTTGTTACAGTGCACTTCGCTTCGCAGCATTACAGTGACGCTTCGGTGGGTTGCATTGATCTCCGCGGCCTGCATGCTGCAAGACCGAGATCCTCCACCCACGTGACCACCTTGAAAGCTGTGGACATGGTCCCTACATTTCAGGCATCAACTTAGATCAGGCTGCAAAGTGTTGGGTGACTATTGTTTACTCTTATACGAATTACCCTTCTGTGGTTATTTAATGTACATTTAGGTTAAGAATGGCAGAACCACTAAACTATCACGATTGCAGCTTCTGCCAAACAATGGCCATCGACCTAGAACAAAAGGCAGCCACAGAAACAGAGAAAGCCCCGGGCACTATTGTCTTGTTCAGGCCAAAGCTCGATGCTTTATTATCAGCGCAATCTACCTGCCAATTCTCGCAGTGGCTCGTCAAGGGGTTGTCAACGAAATGCGTCAACTGGCCTGATCTGGAGCAGAGAGCTGGAGACATTAGCCTCTGTATGGATTATCTCACCTACACCTTTGATCCGCTCCCTTTGGTTGAGGTTACTTGGTTTGGACTATGGGATCCGAGAGAGGAGTTTGATGAAGAATATGGCCGTTGTCGGGTTAGGTATCATTCATTTCTTGACGTGATTGCATGTCCTGGTAGGTAGCAGCCCTTTTGTTGCACTGATGAGTGGTAACTCACTGGTGTCTCCAGACAACCCAGCTTCAGAGTTCGTGAGCACACGACCAATCAACCCAAGCATCGGATCGCAGAAGAACCTATCACTATCTCGTCGATGGATACAGGAGTGTGTGGAAAACCACGTCGACTGTCCCAGGTTGACTGGCAAATTCATGCCTAAATATGTTCTGAAGCTTCTCCAGAACGACACGAACCAGTATCACATCAGTATTTATCAACCATCCTCGCCTGAACCCTACACAGCTCTAAGCTATTGCTGGGGTGGCGATCAACCACACAAGACAACAAGAGCGAAAATCAACTCGGGTAATCTAGAGTTGAGCTACCACATCCTTCCAGCGTCGATCCAGGATGCCATTAGAGTAACCGTTGGCTTGGGCTACCAGTATCTCTGGGTAGACTCGCTGTGCATAGTGCAAGATGAAGGCCAAGAGAAAGCCGAGCAGATTGCTCTGATGCCAAACATCTACACCAGCGCCATCGTCACCATCGTGGCATCTAGAGCAAACCGTGCGGTAGATGGGTTTCTCCAGGACATTGACGTCAAGGCCGTTACCAAGTTCTGCTTCAAACTCCCGTTCAAATGTCCTGGCTCATCCACCGTCGGTACCGTGTTTCTCTCTAAAATCAGCAATGTGGACGACCCTGAGCCTATTGACTTTCGAGGGTGGACTTTTCAGGAGCGCTTCTTGTCCCCTCGCGTCTTGGACTATGCAACGAAACAACTCTCGTGGACTTGTTCTTCGTCTAGTGTGGACGAGGGCTTCAGGGATGGGTGGAAGCTCCGGTCCTTGAAGCAAGATAGGCTGCTCCTCGAGAGCAACTTTTTCACTAAACAGATGGGTTCGGCGGTACCGGCCGTCAATGGGTCCCACATTGATGTCCAAAATTGGAGACTCATGGTCGCATACTACACAAGAAGGAGACTAACCTTCCCAAAGGATCGCATCCTTGCCATATCAGGCGTCGCTGGGATGTTCGCTACCGTTCTCAAGGACCAGTATGCTGCAGGCCACTGGAGACAGAGCCTTCCGTTCGATTTGTTGTGGTCAAAATCCCCCGACTCTACGCCTGAGCGCCGCCCTTCTGAGTATCTAGCACCGTCGTGGTCGTGGGCTGCCGTGACTGGTGAGGTTTGGTTCTGGTATGCCCACAAAGCGAGCCCGTCAGATATGCCACCTGTCACACCTGACGTTCATTTGACCGACGTCCTCACAGAACTAGAGGAACAAACTGCCGTGTTTGGAGCCGTGACGAGTGGCTGCATTAAAGGCTCTGGGTCAATTCGAAAACTCGTCTGGTTTGGGAACCAGGAAGCGCCAGATCATTTCCACGCGCTCCACGACTACACCATAGAAGGAGATACAAGACCAGTTCCATTGTTACGGATGATTCCTGACGCCATCGAAGACGAGTTTGCAAAAGACCCATCTAGAAAGGATGTATCGATCCCGGTCCATCTCCTCCATGTCGGTACCTGTACCAATTGGGGAATCAGAGGTCTCTTTGGGCTTGTTCTTCGTGAAATGCCTTCCGTCGAACAGAGGCGAAGGTTTACTCGGCTGGGCATCTTTCACAATAGTCCCTCGCTAGCACGAAAGCGAAGAGCACTTGGTGTTGCTCGGCCATGGGACAGTTTGGCCGAAGGAGATAATCTGGCCTTCTTTGCGGATTGCGCCAAGGAGGACTTTGAGATTATTTAACACAGCGGCATAGAAGCAAAAGTTGGATTTTTACCCATCTCCAGTTGGTTCTACTCTTGTCGCCTTGACTCTAAGATGCCACTCGGTATATTAATTGGTCTAATGTGTCTGTCATCTATCAGTTGTCTATCGCTCCCAACCCCTTCTAGTATTCCTGTAACTCCCGTGGTATCACCCAGTCCTCCCTCTAATTGTTTACCGCCTTTGGCTTCCACAAAGCCCACGAAAAGCTGATGCACAGCTTGAGAAACGCAGCAATCCAAAGAGCACCAGCAAATCCGACCCAAGACTTGGACAGGAAACCACCTGAAACAGCTCCTGCAAATAGCAACACGGCTCCAGTAGCCCTTCGGTTTCGATCCGCGTTGTCGGTGATGGGTGAGGTAAATAGCTTGGCGTCGCTCATCATGTCGCAATACAGACTCGTCAGCACAACTGTAGGCATGCTGTTGTATTTGAGGACTCGGCTGGCAACGATCTGTCCCGCACTCTGGAAGGCGAGCAGAATGATGGGCGCATAGTCGGAGTAGGGAAAGTCGTTGCGCACCCTCTCAATGATCCATCCATCTTTGTGCGTCGTGGTCCTGTCATTGGGGCTGTTGCGGACCGCACCAGTAGTAGCAAGGAGGGCCACGAGACCGGTGAGGACGGCCTGGATGAGAAAGGACGCGACAAGGACCCAGCGCCTCTGGGGACCAAAGTAGCGATGAAAGTTGGAGAAGAAAAGGGCGCCGATAGCGAAGAAGATTATGGCAAGGAAACAGCGGGACCAGGCCTTTCCGGGGAGGTTTTCGGGTTGGCCGCTGACGCCTAGGCCGACGAAGATGGTGTTTCCTGGGGATGTTAGTATCCACCGTTCAAGATGCTGCCAAGGGATACAAACCTGTCTGCATACTGACGAAACAGCCGTACAAATTGAAAGCAGCGCTGTCAACCAGACCGGCGACAAAGAAACAAACGAGAAGCAAGATGTCGCCCCATCGTACATCGACCTCTGCTGTGAATCGTCGAGAGATGGACGATGGAGGAACTGATTCCTTTGACCCAGCCTCGGGGTTATCGCTAGAATCTGGCATGTTGGCAGATTATTCCAGATTGTTGGACGTGAAGGTTGCTGCCCTCGTGACGCCGACGTCCCGTACAGGAAAAGGTGACTCAAAGGTCAAAGAAAGAAAAGTCCTCTATTTAAAGGCCGACCAGCCGATGGTCGTTCTCCTGAAGCGGATGGCGTGCTCGGCAGCGGTGGGCCGTTCGGTGGGGGTCACCCATGTCCGGAATGCCGGCTTATCCAGACGTCATCTCGAAGAGAGAGTGAAAATGGCATCGCCAAGGATCCCGCCATTGGACGCACGGTCCCTAAGGGTCTTGGACTGTCAGTCGAGACCTTCTGAGCAGATGGTGAATGACGAGAATTGGGGGTGAAAATTTTGTGTTGAGCACGTCAGCGGCCAAGATTCTTTTCTGGACTAGGGCAAATGGCCTCACCTGGCTTTGTTTACACTGGTTGACTTTTATCAGCCCTTTTTCGCAAAAAATATTAGGTCAATGCGCTATTGGGTCATCAAACTGTCCCCTGCTTTTGCAATATCAAATGCCAAGTGCACCGCCTCGGTCATTGATCGAGGGTGCTTTTTTTGCCAAGTCGGTTGTTTGCCGTCACGGCCGAGCTGGGCTTTCGGCGGTGACACACGTCAACCGGGAAGTAAAAAAATGTTAGCAAAAGGAAAATGGGAGGGACGAGGTCATCGTGGTATCATTAGCTCGAGCTTTTTATTCTATAGTTAACCCTCCGCTGGCTTTAGTGCATACATCTTGACGGGCATCAAGGCTGTGTTGCCGACCATGGGGAATCCCCGTTGGAGATCAGCTCGTACAACCTGCAGACCAGCCTGCTTGAATAAAGCCAGAAACTTTTCATCCTCCCTAATCTTGTTAGAATTTTATCATCTCTAGGTCATGCACTTACCGAGTAACACTGCTATCCAGGTCGTCAAAAACATCAACACCATTAGTGCTCAAGTTCTCCTTGATGACAATGACTCCATCCGGTGCCAGAGCAGATTTGCATCGCTCAAAGTATTCCACTAGAAGATCATCTGGTAGATGGCCGACACACCACTGCGTCCAGATCAGGTCATACTTGACTCCATCCTCGGGCTTCCAATCTTCGAGACCGACGTTGAAGATGCTTCCCACTCCAGGCTTGTTCTCCAGAACGTCTGTAAACTTGGTGATGGGTTCGATGATATCCACCTTTTCAGCCACTTGGGTGAGAAGTCCTTCAGTGACTCTGCCGATACTGTTGGTTCGCAGAAAGATTAGCAACCCCAACTTGAAAATCTCGACCGCTCTTTAAAGAAACCGATAACCCGCGTCTAGGAGTGCACCCACCCTGCTCCGCCCTCAAGCGCCCTAGAAACCATCTTCCTCCCAGTCTTGATACCGATCCCCAACCTCGCAAGAAACGTCCTCGAGCCCTGCAGGTCGATCCTACTGACGGAGGGGATACCACCCAGCATGCCGTTGACATCGGCCTCGATGCCCTCCCAGTACTTTTTGCCGTCCTCCATCGATATCAGCGAGTCGGGCGCCGAGCCATCTTTGGAGTCGGACATGATGGCTTGAGTTTTTGTTGCTTGGTGGTGATGGCGGTGCAGATTGTTTTGATGAGGTTTGCGGTGATGCTATTGGGTTGGCGGTGATGCCTGAGGCAGAGATGGGGTTTGTCTCCGCTGTGGTCATGGTCTGTTTGCTTTCGTTATCAGGGGATGCCATGATACGGATTGTGAGCAAGACGAAATGATGGTGTAAAAGCTTGAAGTCAGTTCATTAACATAAGTAAATTACTAGTTCAGTTATATAATATTTATAAGTAATAAATCCTTCTGTTTTTAGAATTTGCAAGGTGAAGATCGACCCGGCATATCGCTGCTCTTATAGAGAGAGGGTGGCTCAGGCTAGTCTCAGGCGTGGCTTATCTGACGATACAAGACAGAAAATTCAAATTCTGAATTCCATAACTTGGCCTATTATAATCTTGGTTTAACCTGAGCCGTCAGCACTCCCCGCTCAGAATGAACAATGTGCACTTCCGTGGTTTGGAGTCTGACAAAATCAACTTCGCATGCCCGTAGAAACAAGTCTTTATCCACAGGGTCTCTAGCAAGCTCATCCGAGGTTGCCACATAAAATGTCTGCGTTGGAGTCACGCTATATCGGGTACTGGGCTTCGGCATGAAGAGGGCCAGTGGGCCGATGTCGTGAAGAAGCGTGCTGGTGAGAGAAAGGCCAAGGATATAATTACCTGTTGATAGGGAAACAAACACGTGTCAGCTATGTGATAAAGATGGGGAGAAATCGAGTGGTCAGGAGAGATGCAAGGCGTCTTACGTGTTTTAGATTGTGTATAAGTGAACTCATCACTCGTCTTGATACAGAAAGAGTTCAGAGGTCCTTGATCCGGGCTTGTCGAAGGAGGCGCGAACACAAGAGCTTGATCTTGCACCCTGACATCGCATGTTGTCCCAGGGGTGAGGCCCCCGTTTGGGAGTTTTTGGCCTAGACTGACCTTCATAGCATCCTCGACCTCAATGGTTATGCCATGATCCCTCAGCTCATCGTTGCTGGTCCCACACAGGGCATACATGGGATCTGTAGGCATTGAGAAGTAAGCATCCGACGAGACACCACGAAGCGCTACGACCACGTTGGTATTGACTATATCGGGCTTGGGAGAGATCTCGGGAGCTTTGGCGAAGATGACATAGTTCTGTGGGTTGCCCATGCGATTGGTAATTGTGAAGCGATAGTTCGCGTTCACGTCTCGGCTAATGTCTCCAATTGTAGACTCGCTCCCAGCAGGAAGCTTAATTTCCATGATGAAAGGTAGAGGAAGGTCACTTTGGCTCATAGGCAGCAGGTATCGATGTGAGGCAGCGATGAAGCAAAGGCACCAGATTAGAGAAGGTTGTGGCAAAAGATGACGAAGCGGGCAAAAGACAAACAGGCAGATCACATCCAATGGGACTTGCGGGTATGTATGTATGTTCACACCGAGTTTGAGACCAGGCCTCAGCTATGCTTGAATAGGATCCCTGCTGCAGGCCCATGTCACATGAGGCGCAACCCTAACGCTCAGCTGCATGTATGAGGCTGGCTGAAAGTATACACATGCGTCCGACCGCTCTTTCATCACATTTCCGCTTGACTAGTCGTCCCGCTTGTTGCGCCACTGTGGAATCCAGAAATCATCCGGAATTCCACGTACCATTTCCAACGCAACCCCAAGTGGTGTGTCTGTCCTGACCCTGGTAGGATCCAGCTTGGCCAGACCGGGGAACTCTGCATTCCAGCGATAGTAGTTTCCCCTGGCATCCTGAAGGAGATACTCCTGGGTAGTCCTCTCTTTGATGACTGGTTTCAGGCCTTTGATGTTGTAAGAGCCACCGATGCTGGGTTCTTTACCGAAATAGGTCGCAATGTCAAGATCTTTTGGATCGTTTGTCCAGGCAAATGCTTTGTCGAATTTGTCGCCCAAAGGGACAAAGTTTTCCGTGGTTGAAGGTGGTGGCATTGGTTGTTCTGGAGCCATGGTCCTTGTTGTTGGAATCGGAGATGGAGGGGAGATGTGATAATTGTAGAATATGATGGCATATATCTTGACTTTTGGAAAGAAATAATGTTCAGAAAACCGGCCCCAGATTCTGCGATGAGGGGGAGGAGCCAGCCTACTTATACTTTCTACCCCAAGCTTCACGTAAGCCCTGCAACCCTAATCTTGCAACATCACACAACGGAAAGATTAAGCAAGTTTTGAGACCAGAACAGACACTCTCTGAGATGCTTGAAAAAACGTCCAGCATGTACTACTGGACGCTCTGGTGCGGCGCATTCTTAGCCGCTGTGGCATTCGGTTACGTAGCCGAGGCACTCGCATAGCGATGAATTTCTGCCCTTAAATGGGCCGTACTATTATACTCCGTAGGCGAGTTGCTATTATAGGACTTGAAAGCCAAAGGAAGTCTCACCGTCAACACCGCAGGTTAAAGTAAGGCGCATCGTTTTGTGGCAGACCTTTGCATATGGCCCCTCTTCAGGAGCATGAGCAAGACACGGGACAATAATTGATGAGAATCAAAGATGACCCTTTTAAAAACTTCAAGTATCAGGTGGATGGAAGACTAAAGACAGAGAGAGGATGTATTGGACCTCATCAACTAACTATCTGCTTTTCTTCGGATCTTTGAGATACAGAGCACCAACACCCACCAGTTCCCTCCATGATTCGCGCCAAGAGAGAAGTTCTTGGAAGTCTCTATCCAACCTGGAGAGTCATCTTGCCAACATCGTTGTGAACAACGGTAGCATTGACAGAGTCGCGGGTGCTGAAGTCAATGGGAACAATAGTAGTGTTGACAGAGGCAACCTTGATCAGAGCACCCCTCTGGTAGTCACCGGTGGCAACCCAGAACTTCTTGACAGGCTGGATCTGATAAGACTTTCCAGGCTGAGGAACAAACGTTGCAGCAGGACCGCTGAGGCCAGTTCCCTGGAGATCACCACCGAGACCGATGAGGTAGTTGTCTAAGGAGGAATCGTGTAAGTTTCTGTCTCATCCATTCATCAAAACTATGATTGCTTACTGTTCTTGGCCTCAGCAAAGGTAAAGCTACTATCAGTGACGATCTCAAAAGCTTGGATGGCACCGTTGGCAGTGGGTGGGTTCTCGGTGAATTGAGGAGCGCCATCGATGACGGTCATCTGAAGAGATGTTCCCTTGTTCCTCAAGGTGCCATCGTCGTTGGCGACGCCCAGTTGAACAGGAATAGGGTTTCCCACCGAGACGCTGCTGCCGGCGCTGAGATCAGAGTCGGCTGAGCCAACAACTGCACCGTAGTTGGAAGCAAACTTGAAGATACAGGTCTGACCCTTGGCCGTGGCCTTGCGCTGGAAAACGTTGAGCCAGACGTCAGAACTGACAGCGTTGTTGATCTTGGGGGCTTCGTTGAAGATGAAGTAGTTCTGCTGACTACCAGAGTTGTTCTTGATGGTGATTTGGTAGGTGGCCATTGTGAAGAAATTGCAAGGCTTGAAAATAGTTTGGTGGGATGTTTGTGTGAGGAAGTTGGGATATATTGACAAGTGAGGATGGTGATGAGTGTCTTTTCTCTGCCATGTTACCAGCAGCAGACGAGGTTCTTATAGATTCTCCCTGAGTGACAAGGTTCGTATTCTGCAAAATATCCACAAGTTCACTTCTTGCTCCCTGTGGAAGTGTCTTGAATGAACCTCGATGTGCAACTACCTCTGCCTCTGGAACACGCCGTCGTCATGGAGCAGACCGTCTTCTCGAGTTCTGCAAAGGGTCAGATGCCGACGGTACGCAGAATATCCTCTGCCAAATGTGCCTATCAAGTTTGTGGCTTCCAATAATGTCTCAGAAATCTCTCAATAGTCCTGCCTGCCGCAATCTTAGGTGGAATTGTTTACAACCACTCAGCCAGCCTCATCCTGCATCTGGTTGCCATATCTTGGCTAGAACCCGACAGTACTGAGGGTACATCTTGCAGAGTGAAACCCTTCTGCAGTATCATAAGCCCCATTATCCCTTCAATTGTCGAGGAGCTCCGGCAAGTACCCCCCTGCTAGCGAGGAGGTACATGAGGGGAACCACCCGGAGACCGGCTTTTCCTGTCAGGGACTTCAATCAGGGCAGCCAAGGTCAATAAGCTCAACGAGGCCGTCGGCGCCAGACAGTTTGGGGATGTGAGCAGTGTGATGTAGCGATTTGTAACTCGAGAGATTGCTGGTACTTCTACCATAGGCTAAGATAGTTGTGGCTTCTAACCCCTGCTGTGACTCGACCGGAGCTCCTCAGCCGTTCTTGTCAGTGCAGTGTTCAGCCAGCCATCATTATGGTTGTAAGCCTCATTGACTTGTGACTGTACTATTGAGGCTTGTGTATAAGCTTTGGTTGTGTTCTGACTGTGTTAGTTTTGTTGAGTTGCTCCGAGGCCGGCCTCCGCCCCCTGGCCTTGTGCAGCCTTTTGAACAAGTTCAGCCAGCCATGCGGTCCACGCCGCCTAGGAAGAATGTGACAGAGTAGCCAAGAATCTGCATGGCACTTTTTCTTGTTCTCCTTTGGATTGATCATAACGCCACGTAAGATGTAGGATTCGTCTAATCTCTACGTATGTAACATGTCTATTTCCCCTCCCCATGACGGCGGCATGGCACTGGCTTGAGGAGGATGAAAGACTATCTTTTTTTATATATCTACATTTAGAGTTGGATATGGATCTTCTATATAGCGCCTAGGCTCTAGAATAGGCGCTTTGCCGTTCTGTCGGGGAGACCGAAACATGGCGTAGTTCCAAGGCGAGATCCGCTCAATTCACTTGCGGCTCAGCTCCACAGACGTTGCCATGCAAAGTTTTCCGTTAGTGTCTTAGCCTCAAGGAATTTGACAGGGGATGGGAGCGTTAAAGCAGGCTAAACGGTCTGGACCTCGTCGTCATCTGACCAGAAAGGATTATAACTGCAGCATAATCAATAATGTCTCAATTGCGCTGTAGTACATGTGGAGATGTTTCAGATTTTCATACTGTGCTCGGAACCGATATATTTACAACTTTCTATGTTGACAACGCCAGTAGGACAAGTTCCCCTCATCGGTGACATATCCTGAAAGGATTATGGCGTTCCTCTTCCCCACACCTTGCTTGACCTGATCCAATCCGATTGGACGAGAACAGAGGCAACAGGAAGCCTCATGCGAAACTAAGAACACATAGGACCTCGAGGGACTGTGATATTGGTTCAGTGGGAATGTGATATTGAGAAGCGGTGAAGATCGGGCTGTTGGAGGCGAACTGAAAGTAAGACGTGGAACGAGCGGCAAGCTTCACATACATCAAAGCAAGAATTGATTGGGCATGACTTCCACCCACGACTTGTAAGGGATAACACGAGAACTTGTTCAGTTGGGCTTTCCACTCAAGGGTATCATAAAGGTTCCCTTCCCATATCTATAAACAGAATTTCTATCGAGTAACCACTCAAGTTAGACTTCCACAGCCAAGTCTTCACGAACCAAACACTTTTTTTTTACTTCGTCGGTGATCTTCAAGCATTCATCATGAACCCTGTATGGGATTGGACGAATTTTAGTGCCTTTGATGGCACGTTGAACAGGCAAACACTCTTCGCGGTTGAGAACCCAGCAGACACCACCCCGGCTGCAAAGCTTAAGCGTCAAGCACAGACGGTATGTCGCAGTGTTTCTTCCAATGCAGTATGAGAGGTGGCTCGGAGAAAGCTGTAGAAAGCCACTCCTTTCCCTGGTCACTTAATCTCTGACAGATCGATCTAGTTCTATGACTGGTTGGCAGTCATTAGAGGCGATGCAAGACTCACAGCTGTCTTTGGGGCAAGCAGGGAAATGGCGGAATTGGTTTTAGATCATTTCTTCCCGAACGGGTAAGAAAACCATTTCATCATTCTCTTCCATATCACTAACTCTCCACTGCTTGATGCCAGAGGTACTGCGCTACGAGTTTCTGACGATGCTCAAGGCCATGATCCCACCAGACTTGCCGTTCCCCTGTCTTTGCCACTGGGGAACACAGGAATCCATGTCAACGTGATAGATGGTCCTTCTGCCTTGGCCTATCTCTTCTCTATCGCAGAGCCCCCTGAGGGGCAGGAGATGACGCTTGACAAGTACTATCTCCCGATGCAGATCCTTCTTAGCCGGTCCATCTATCTCGCCTTCATGGGTTCCATCACGACTGACCCTTTCGTCTATGACCTGGACTCGGTACCCTGGATGACTTGCCTCATGTACCTTGATGATCCACAACCGACAGCTGTACCGCAGTATGTGTTCGGAAGTACTTACACACCCGGCCTGGCCACGGATGCAGACGAAAATGCCTTGTATAATCCGAGGATGCTTCTGCTTGACGACTATCGCAAGGGTCAAATGAATGCTGCATTGGCCAATATGGACCTGGCGGAGCTCCCTTTTGGCCTCTCCCCTGACGAGGTGGAATGCTTTGCCACAAGGCTTTACAAGGACACCTTTAGACGACAAGCCGTCAAGCAAGCAGCTCAGGCTACCTTAGGAGTCTTGGGTCCCATATTTAGGACCCAGCGAGCTGCCCAAAATCCTCCACCTGAAATCCCCCAGGGTATCGACCAAGATCCGATTGCGTATGATCAGCCGTGGGCCCTAACTTACTACAAGCAGTCCATGGTGGACTTACTCGTCTCAGCCATCTATCAGGTTTATGCTCTTTCCGCTCCCATGACGGATGAAACACTCTTTCCCATGTTTCGACCCTTCCTGCGTCTGTGGCTGACTCCTCATGTCTTGACCGTACCTCCACCGCCTGGCCAACCTTTTGAGTTAACCATTGATAACCCTATCCAAAGCGCAGTGCTGGACGCAGCCTTGAACACAGCGGTGCGGACCTTTTGGGAGGCCACGGCTGCCACCTATATTGCACGGCTTCAAGCGATCCATACAGAGATCAAGAATCAGCCTCGGACCCGGAGATACGGTCGATGTGCAGAAACTTATCCCTTCGCTGCCATGACGTGAGTCACTCCAAGAAAGAACTTCCGTCAAGAATCACTCGTTCCCAACGTAACTCGACTTGACTAACATGAATTTTGCCACTTGGCTAGATACCCCTTTTGGAATGGCAAGCAACTGGATGATCAGGCTAGGATTCAAGGAGTCTCGGTCGATGTCCGCAAGGTTGGCAAAGTCAACTTTTCCCAGAACTTCACGGATGTGGCGTTTGGTGATGGTGATCCGGATATTTGCACTGGCTTATATCGTAAACCATGCCAGACCTGCCAGACTGCCTTTCCCAAGTTTCGGATGGATTTAGCGCACTATGAGATCCCAGTGGTAGCGATCCCCCACGCCGTGGGAGTTGCATGATAGCTTTACTTGGATTCAAAGTCTGCTCTCAGATGAGTTGGGGAATTACAGATTAGAGGAGATGACATGTGAATCTGGTCCTTTGTTTCAATATAGTGAATAGCGTACCTGTTGTAACATTGCTTTCTGGTTTTGTTCATGCTAAACCATAGCATACCACACCGGGGCAAATAGTATAGTAGGTCAAATGACACGGTTAACTTCTGCAGGTTACTATCTAGAATGTCTTCCAGGCATCAAGAAGCCCAGACAGTTGAGGAGTGCGACTCAAGCATACCCGGCCATCTTTAATCACCGCCAAAATCTCCTGCTCCTAACGCTCAAACACCGTAATGTCATCTAGTGGATCGCTATTTAGAATCAACAAGTCCGCCTTGAACCCCGTCTTGACCTGGCCCAAGGTGTTTGCTTCGCCAATCATCCTTGCAGGATTCACAGTTGCGCTTTGAAGAATGTCAAGATTGCTCAGAGCTTCTGAACGGATGCTAAACTCCCGGGTTTGATATCTCCCAAGCGGTCCAAGAAGATCACTCCCGTAGCAAAGTGTGAGACCTGCCTTCTTGGCAACCTTGAGGGCGTCGATTCCCATGGTGAGGACTTTTTTGTTCTTTGCCTGCGAATCCTCGTTCAAGAATTGAGGCAATGCTGGGTCCGCTAGGGTTTGATATGTGACGAGCGTTGGAGTGAGAAAGCATCCTTTCTCCGCCATGAGCTTGGCTGTTGGCTCATCGATGAGATTGCCGTGCTCAATGCCCTTGACGCCGTTTTCGATGGCGATGCGAATGGAATCAGGCGAATAAGCATGGCATGTCACGTACGTCCCGTGATTCGATGCAGCTAGAACTACTGCTCGGATTTCTTCTGGACTGAACTGTTTGCCCTCGAGTCTGTCGGTTGGACTGACGACTCCGCCACTGCCCATGATCTTTATAAAGTCTGCTCCTCGACGTATCTCGTCTCTCGCTGTAGCCAGACAGGCCGATACACCGTCGCAGACTCTTCCAAGTCCGGAGACAAACCCGGATACACAGTGTGAATGGTCATGGCAGCTTCTGAAATCACCATGGCCACCTGTCTGGCTCAATGCATGACCACTGATGTAAAGCCTGGGTCCAGGGACCAGCCATTCCTCTGTTGCCTACTTCAGGGCATACGGGGCGCCGCCACAGTCGCGGACAGTGGTGAAGCCGCGGGCGAGAATGTCGCGACAGATGTAGGTCATGCGGAGCATAGAAACATGCTCCGGTGTGGACATGACCTTGGAGAAATCCGAGTCACCTGGTGCAGCGGCGATGTGGACGTGGGCGTCGATGAGACCAGGACAAATATATTTGCCAGCAACATCGGTGATGGTAGCCTCCGAGGCTTCTGCCGGGAGTGTTGTATCGTCTGAAGTAATGGCCGCAATTATGTCATTTTGAAGGAAGATGTGTTGGGATGGAGTAGAGGTGCCGGTGACAGGGTCGATAATGGTGGCGTTCTTGAAGACATATAGTGGAGGGGATGACTTGGGAAGCCAGGGCTTGATGAATTGGGGGGACAGCGATTTCATGGTGATTGTACCAAGATGTGATGATAATGCGATACAGTCTACAGATAAGTGTCTCTCGATGCCAGAGTCAACCAAATCATTTATAGGCTTTACTGCGGAAAGCGGTAGACATTAACCGAAGAGAACGTGATGCGAGCTGTCAATAAGGATTGCTGAGACACTTCTCCTTCACTGATGCCGTGATGACGTTGACCGGCATGTTGACCGGTGTTGTACAGGGCACGCAAGGGGGGACAACGGGCGATTATTATATCTTCTGATGTGCCGGTACTAAGGTACAAGGACCGTCATCACCGGCCAAACTACCGGCAACATCAGTGTCGTATTATCTGTGTGGTGCCGGTAGCACATCTATGGCTGAGCTCTAAGAATTGTCTGTCTTATCTCCGCCCTAATTACCGGCCATGTCATCGTCACATTGTCTGTGCCGGGCCGGTAGGTTACCGACTACCTATGCACTGTACTTCCAAAGCTGAAGTTTGGGAATCATCTCTCTTATCTCTACCCTGATTACTGTCAGGACAACATCATCTATACCTTACCGGCAGCACACCAGTCATACCTGAGATTTAGGAGTAATCTTTCATGTCTCTCTGCCTTAATCACCGGCAACCTCAGCGATGTATCACTACGGCGTGCCGGTAACACCAACCATGGCTATCGCCAAAGTTTTTGAACGGTCGATCGTCTCTCCGCATTTTCCTCTTTGAGTCCTGGATTGAGCGTGGGGAACACCCCCGCAAATGATAAGGTCTTGCAGGGCGTTATGGAACGGATGTGACGTGGAAGCACGAACTACCTGTCCCGGATCTTCGGTGCCCAGCGACTTACTCGCTGATGGAGAGGGGAATCATATTTGCGACCGGCACGCCTTTTTCTATATAATTCGTGAAATACTGCGAGCTTGAGCTTGAACACAACTTTCTCGTTGGTTTCCTTACTTGCCATTCTATTCAACAAAGCTCAAAACTCTTCAATATGTCAAACAAGGATGCTCTCGAAATGACCACCTCGAAAGCCGTGTCTCAGCAGGACCGTGAAGCCGGCGATGTCGAAAACCTCCATTTGAGTGCGGATGTGGCCGTCAAGTTTCCAGCAAACCTCGACCCTGCCATCAAAGACGTCCCAATTTCTGCTAAAGAAGCACGCAAGGTTCTCTGGAAGATTGATCTAATCGTCCTACCCATCATAGCAGGAACTGTCATTTAGAGTGCCGTGGATAAGGTCAGTCCTTGTGCAAGAATCTTTTACTCAAGCTAACTTCCCCAAGGTTGTTATCTCCAATGCAGCCATCATGGGCATGAAACATGACCTCAACCTCGTCGGTAACGAATATTCCTGGGTCGGAAGCATCTTTTACTTTGGCTTTTTGATCTTTGAGTATCCGCAAGCCATCTTGATCCAGAGGTTGCCAGTGGCAAAACTATTGGCTACTTGTATTCTCTCCTGGGCTGTTCTCCTCTTTTGCAGTGCCGCAACACACAATTTCGCTGGACTTGCTGCGGTTCGTTTCATCTTTGGTTGTGCTGAGGCAGGGGCTTTTCCTACTGCGTCGATCCTCACTGTTATGTGGTACACGAATCGGGAACAACCAGTCCGTGTGGCAATCTGGTACAATCAGGTACGATAATCCCAGTCTTCTTTTATCAAAACTCCAGCATCTGACTATTAGCACCAGTTCTCGTCGGTTTTCTCTGGCATCATCTCGTACGCAATCTCGCAGACCCATACACACTTGGCTCAATGGCGCCTCCTCTTCATCGTCCTCGGAGGCATACCCGTTCTCTGGTCCGCCACCGTCCTCACTTTCCTACCCGACTCACCCGTGTCCGCCTAGTGGCTATCTCCCCGAGAACGATATATCGCCATCCGCCGAGTTCAGAAGAACAAGACCAGTATCAAAGATAAGAGAGTCAAGTGGTACCAGATCAAGGAGCTCTTGGTCGACCCAAAGACATACCTGCTTGCACTGTTTGCTTGTGCGCAGAACATCCCCAACGGCGGACTCGTTACTTTTTCTTCCATCATTGTGTCTGGCCTTGGGTACTCGGTTCCCATCACGACCTTGCTTGGTATGCCAACTGGGGTTGTCGCGACGACTTGGCAAATCATTCTTGCAGTCTTTTGTGCCAAGCTCAAAAACATGCGCTGCATCATTATTGCCGTGGCTAACATTGTCCCCATGGTCTGTGCTATCCTCATGTGGCAGTTACCACGAGATAATCAGACAGGCCTTCTAGCTGCGTACTATGTCTTTTACACTTACTGGGGCGTAAGTATTGGCCTATTCCACAGTAGGTAGACGGAACTGACGAGTCTCTTAGTCGTACGTCATGTCCACATCAGTCCCGATGGCCAATGTTTCCGGTCATATAAAAAAGGTCACTATGAACGCGGTCTATTTCTTTTCCTACTGTCTGGGCAATATCATTGGACCTCAGGTTTTTCAGAGGAGTGACGCGCCCAACTACACTAAAGGATACACTGGGCTCCTCATCTGTCTGGTTGTTTCGGCAGTATCCATCTTGGTATACGGACTTTTGTGCAGACGGGAGAATATTCGCAGGGATAGGCTGCATGGAGTCGTGCATACTTCGGCCATCACAGAGGAGGAGAATGAGGCGTTTGCCTTGTCGGATATGACGGACAAGGAGAAGAGTGCATTTCGGGACTCGTACTAAGGAATGTACATGAAGTGGGCACGTCGAGGCAATGGTCGGAATTGGGTTTGAGGCAGAAATGTGGCTGTGTTACCCACTGTGTTAATTAGGATATGATGCTGTGATGTGTTGACAACGTGTTCTTAATGTTCTTTATTATAGTTGAAGCCCGGCCCCTGATGGGTTTACCGAGGTAGAAATGTGACTGCCTTGTGCTTTTCGCTAGGCTTAATGATATACTCCTCATAGGAACAGTCACCCCAGCACTAGATGAATCTCCTCCTTCTCTAATCCCTCCCAGGCATCCCTCTCAACTCTTCCCATCGCCTTCCGATAAGCAATCCCGTCCTCCCACTCTACCCAGAGAACATTGTAGAATGACCATGATCCAGTTTCGCCATCGTAATCCTCTCGGGATATTTCTACAACGTCTATGGGAACACCCAGTGCTTCAGTCGACCTTATGCGGTCATAATCATCATCCGAGTCTATGGAGGGAATTCCAACTCGACCCCCCTGATTATACTTGAGTACGGCTGAGTGCTTGAAGATCATATCTTTGATCTAGGAATCATTGATTAGCTTTGTTATCTCACTTCTTTCTGATTCTGGGATGCCGTCTCTGCGAGGTTTGGCAGCCCAGAGCTGTGCCTGATGTGTAGGGTTGCGAAAAAAACTACTAGTTTTTGAACTAAGGCTAACTAAACTAAGACTTTAGTTAAAAAACTACTAGTTAATTAACTAATCTTAGTTTTAGTCTAGGGTAAGAAAAACTAAGTTAGTTTTTCTTTAGTTTTAGTTTATAATTTTACTTAGTAATTTTAGTTTTAGTTTTTAAAAATTAACTAATAGTTTATTAACTAATAATTAATTAACTAATAATTAATTAACTCTTTAGTTAAAAAACTAATAATTAATTAACTAATTAGTTAATTAACTATTAGTTTTTTAACTATTTATATATAAAAAAGTTTTTTCTTTATTTTAATAAATAAATTACTTCTTTAGGCTTAGTATAAGGCTATTTATATATATATATAAGAAAAATAATATTTATATATAGAGTATTATAATATCTAGAGTTTTCTAAGGGAATAAACTAGGCATATTAGGTTTATTATTAATAGAGAGTCTCGGCGTTACTATATAATAGGGGAATTATATCTTAGTAATAGGTTAAGAAGGTCTTAAAGGTAACTAAAGTCTATTAATAGCTTAAGAGCTAAGTATTTATCTAAGGTATAATAATTATTATATATATATAAAGGGCCTTATATTTATAAAAGTAAGGTCTAAGTAAGAGCCTTATATTTATAGAAGTAAGGTCTTTTATAGTTAGTATATTAAGAAGGGAAAATATAGGGAATAAAAATAATATATAATAGGGGATATATTAAGCTATAATATAATCTCTTTTCTCTTATTAGTTCTTACCCTTAATATTATAGATCCCTTAGCTCTAGTAAGGGATAAAGGTACCGCTAAAAGCGGCAATAAGATAGCTAACTTTAATAGCTATCTAATTAAAGTTATATAATTTATAAAATATAGAGAGTAAAAAGGCATAATATAAGTAATCTAATCTAAGTTAATTCTTCTTAACTAATAGCTATTAGATTTAATTATTATAGCATTAGATCTATTATATAGGGAACCTATATAACTAGGGCATATAATAAATATTAGGGTCCCTAAAAGCTCTATTATCCTAATAGAGTCTAAATCTATGCTCTCTTATCTTTCCTTCGTTAAGTCTAATAATAAAATAAAAATCTATTTTCTCCCTATTTATATTCTAATTATTCCCTAAACTCTATATTTTTATTTATCTTTCTATTAAAATTATCTTTTTATTTAATTCTTCTATTCTTTCTCTTAGCCCTTACTAAAAATAATTTATCTCTATTTTACTTATTATTAAAAAAGTTCTAATCTTAGCTAATCTTATCCTTATTAGATATATTAGTCTTATTAGTAGACTTAGTAGGTCTAAGAGTGTAAGGGAAAGTCCCTTACGTAAGCTAAGCTTACATAAGCTTGCTTAGTCAGAGGAAAAGTGGGTCACAACGGAAGTGCTTAAATAAGCAAGGAAAGAGGAAGTAAAAGGTAAAAATAGAATTAAGATTATTTTTAAGGTCTAAGTTCTTCTTTTTAGAGAAGGAGGAAAAGCTATTATTATATATTCACATAGTATATATAGTGCTAATAGCACTATTTTACACAGTGGAAATCAAGCTCTTACAAAGAGCGCATTTCTTAGCGGGTTTAATAACTTACTAGAGAAAAGTATTAGCCTTTAAGATACCTCTATAGGCAGCGGTACTACTATAGGCGGCTAGGTTTTATATTATTAGATTAGCCTATTTCTCGGTAATTAGATTAATTAAGATAGGGGTTACTTTTAGCTTATAGATAGCTAGAGCTAGCTATAAGATTACTAGCTATTTCTTTACCTTTATAACTATAATCTTTTTTATCTAGGTATTAAACTCCTTAAGGTTCTTATTATACTTATTAATTATATCTTTTATAGCCTTATAGGTAATAATTTAGATTACCTAATTACTAATTTTATTATAATAATAATTAAATTCTTATTATAACTTTAAGACTTTCTTTATAATTTATTTTTATTTATTATTTATTTATTATACCTTATTAATTAGCTAATTATAGAGTTTATTTATATTTACCTTAATTTTATGAATTTCTTTTAATATAGCGATTAAGATAATAATAATATTTATAGCGATTATAGATATATTATTATTAATTCTAGCCTATTTATTATTAACTCTAATAGCGAGGTATCCCTTAATCTAGATTATTTAGCTATATTATATAATTATAAGGTATCTAGTAATAATTCTATTAATAATACTATAGGGATTAATAAAATATAGAAATATAAATTTAGCCTAATTAGGTAGATAATTAATTTATTACTTCTTATTACCTTAATTCTTATTATATCTATTATTTATATAGGCCTTTATAGTATCTTAAATATAATTCTTAGTCTTATATATTATATTTGTAAGAGCTTGATTTCCACTGTGTAAAATAGTGCTATTAGCACTATATATACTATGTGAATATATAATAATAGCTTTTCCTCCTTCTCTAAAAAGAAGAACTTAGACCTCTAATTATCTTAATTCTATTTTTACCTTTTACTTCCTCTTTCCTTGCTTATTTAAGCACTTCCGTTGTGACCCACTTTTCCTCTGACTAAGCAAGCTTATGTAAGGCGCCGTCTAGGCGCACAGGTCCTGTGTGCTCGGGGCACAGTCCCTTGACTAAGCATTTCCTTCCGTTGAATCAGGAACTGACTGAATACACCAACGCATTTAACAGAGTCGATTACTACCTTTCAAATATGATTGCTGAAATGGGGGTGGGGAGAGTTATCCAATCCAAATTTACACAGCTACGGCAACTAGAGGATACTCGACAGCTTTTGTACCAAGTGATCGTCTAATACCCATTACTTCCAACAATGATACAGTCTTCTGTGCGCCCACGAGCTAAGTGCAAAGCATCTTGTTCCCTACTGTCCGCTTCGATTCTCCCCCAAATATCTTTGACTCCCCTTCTTCTATTCGCTAAAGGATCGTCTCCCATCTCCTCGGCAACCTGTGCTTCAACTCGCTCATCCTCCGCTTTACTCCAGTCCAAATACGCCATCATCTCTTCTTTCGTCCAATCTCTTGATCCTGTTGACGTGACACAGCGCTTGGACATCTGCTTGTAGTCCAAGCACCACTCGTAGCTCGGCTTGTCATACCTTAGTGGGAGTCCCATTGCCCTGCGATATTGTTGGTTCGTCTTGATGCTGCCAGCCGGCTGCGCTGCGTACCACGCGCTCCTTGCGGCGACATATCGTCCATATATGGCCTGTGGCGAATCGTACCTCGGTGGCGATGGCGATGGCGGGCCAGGCAAAGGAGATGGTTCATGAACAGGGGATCCTGGCCGCCGAGAGGCGCCGCCGGTCGAGTCTTGCAGGATCCCGGTCATAGTCTCTGGCTGATCAGCGAGGGCTGTCGGTGCCGTTGTCATTGCCGATGCTTCTGTTACTGCCAGTGCCTTTGCCTCTGCTGCTACCCTTTCCAAAAGCTCTTGATGCCGCAAGGGACATGCCTTCGAATTCATTTGGTGACCAACTTCATGGCATCTACTACATTTTGACGGGGCCTTCGCTCTTGCCTTTCCTATAGCCTCAGCGGCCTCAAAGGAGCTCGGTAGTCTTCTTGTGCTTGATTTTGGCAAGTTCGATACGGCGGGCCTTGCATCTATTCGAGCGCGAGGCTCAAGAAGCAATTGTTGCTGCCCTGAGCGCTTGAGGTGCCAATGCTTGTGGAAGTGCTCAAGAAGAAGAACTTTGCCTTGTTCTTGCAGGGTCTGAAGTAAGTGAGCGCAAGGCAATCCCAGTGTTCGCATAAAAACGCCAGTGCAGCGGGGCAGGGGGAAGTTTTTATCCAAAAGCCGCTTTCGTTGCTCTTCAACCTTCCTCAACGCCTCAAAAGATACCCAGCCTTGAACAGCGCTATATAGAGCTATACGAAGCTCAATTGGTTGTCGAAGTTGCTGCTGGGCTTGGTTTGACTGTAGCTGATGGACTTGGTTGGTAACAGCTCGTGTAATGGCACCCCAAGCCTCAAATAAATCTAGTGTAGACGTATTCAAATAGCTTTTAAGCAGGCTATGAATACCTTCCACACGGGAGGTAACAACAGTACCAAAGTGGAGATGTTGATCAACCCAAGCTTTTACAAGCTTCTCCTTGTGGGGGTTTAGCCACGTTGCATGCAAATATGCAATCTCATTGGCGTAGGCGGGTAGATACCGCTGCTCAAGCTGCTGAACCCGCTGATCGAAGGTTATCTGATCAGCTGATTGAATGATCGAATGCCACTGGTTATAGAACTCCTGCCACCTAAGAAGCCCTGCCTCCATTATCTTTGGGTCCGTCCGGTATTGAATAAAGGCTGGTCGACAATAAGCAAGGACTGCCTTAT